AACTCAGCTGGAATCGCCGCGCGCGGCCCCTCAGCGGTTTCCCCTGAGGAGGGGATCAACCGCGAGCTCGATCGTGAGCATTGGAGGTGTTCTGGACTCTTCTCACTATCATGGCTCAATCGCGGAATCTGGGCAAAATGGTTTGTGACCTTGGGCGTTTCCAATTGCTCGATGATTGACTTGTTAACATCGATGTAGCCATTTCGACCCTCCTCCAGCCCCCAATCATCCGCACTGGCATGACCACTGGTAGTGCTACAGCATCCGTCGGCTTCAAGCCACCTTCGACCCGTGATATCCCGCCGGTTACCCTTACAAATATCAAGCATGTGGATGCAAAGGTCTTCCAGCCATATCTCTCACAAGTGGGCACTTTGTATGATGTGTTTCAACAACCGAAAGAAGGCGCAGAGGATACCCTGGTTCAAGCTCCCAAATCTCCCATGCCTGATTCTGATCGCGATTCGTTGATGCCATGGTCCCCCGACCGGAGGTCTTCGGTCATGTCTACCGGTTCAAGATCATCTTCGCCATACGGTGCCCGCGGCCGACGTCACTCCACTGCCCGTGGTCGTGCCCCCGCGGTGACACCTCTGTCCACCATCCCTCCGGTCTACTTTGACGAGGGTTTCCATCTGGAAAATCCCCGGACCTTCGATGTGATATCAGAGAAATCAGATGTAGTTCGGCCGCCGAGGCCTCCGACCAAAGACGACAAACACGCCAATGGCTTAGTTGCGGAGCCAGTACAAACTGGAAGAAAAGCACTAGCAACGAATGCTATTTTGCAAGAGAAGCTCTCGTGGTACATGGATACTGTGGAGATCCATCTTATTTCGTCTATCTCAACCGCATCGAAATCATTCTTCACTGCGCTTGGATCTCTCCGAGAATTGCACGCGGAAGCCGCTGACTCGGTCAACCGGATACAAGTATTGAGAAAGGACCTGCAGAAAATTGATAAAGAAATGGCTCTGGGCGGTCTCAAGATTGTTAATTTGAGACGACGAAGAGAAAATGTACGAATGTTGGCAGCTGCCGTGGCTCAGCTTCGTGATGTTGTAGAATCTGTCTCTCGGTGCGAAGAATTGGTAGAGCAGGGCGAGATTGAGGAAGCTGCCGATGGACTCGAGGAAGTCGAAAAACTGATGGCCGGTGAAAAGCTCTCCGATCGTGCACCTTCTGAGGACGAGGAGGGTGCTCCCAGGCGCATTATCGACCTGCGAGGTATCAAGGCCCTCGAGGGGGCATCCGATGATCTGGCCCAGCTCCGTCAACGTATTGGCATGGGCTATGAGACCCGGTTCTTGAATGAACTTTTGGGGGATTTACGACAACATGTTCAAACTGTGCCATCGAATGTGACCCTCCAGCGCTGGGGAAACTCATTCCAACGGCAGCGCGGTGGTCAGCGGTCTGGAGTATCCGTATCGCCTGCCTACATGAATTTCAATAACGAGCTGCGATCCCAATTGAACACCCAGCTCAACGGACTCGCACGTGCTCGGTATACTATGTCAGCGGCAACTTCTTTCAAAACTGCTGTTTTACGAGAAATGAAGGGCCTTATTCGCAAACACCTTCCCAGTTCTAGTGATGATGATAATGAATCTATGGTGTCGCTATCAACACATGCCGGTCCTCAGCTAAGCCAACAAGAGAAGTCGTCAATCCTTGCTCGCAATTTACGCGCACTCGACCCAGATGATGCTTATGCGATGTTGATGAATGTCTACACCGGGATTAGCGAATCGCTCAGACGACTCAGCGTCCAAGTCAAGGTTCTTCTGGATATTGCCAGCGGCTTGGGGAATTCACCAGCTTCCAGTGTGAAGTCACCACCACGGAGCCCCAACCCGCAAAGCATGGATCAAGCTATAAAATCTCCACCTATCGGGCCAACCGCCTCTGATATGGCCCAGGATGAGATCCTGCAGGTCTTGGATATGTCGAGTCTTCTTGGCCAAGCAGTTGACATCGCCCAATCCCAGATAACGAAAGTGTTGAAAGTACGGTCTGAACAGACCGCACAGCTTTCCAAGGAGGAATTCCTCAAATACTTCACTCTCAATCGCCTATTCGCCGACGAATGTGAGGCCATTTCGGGACGCAGTGGTGCTGCTCTGAAAACTATTGTCGGAAATCAAATCCGTGATTTCATCACCCGTTTTGGTGATGGTCAGCGCCATCAAATTGTGAATGTCATGGATGCCGATCGATGGGATGCACGCGATTTCGGCGATGCCGAGAACACCATTCTTACTAGGATCCTCGATGCAAGCACGAAAGACATCGACGCCTGGGTCGAAGTTTCCAAGATCTGGATTCAACCTGCCGAAAACGAGCAAGGCAAACTTGCTGATAATGCTGCAAATGGGACAGACAAGTCCAAGGTTCGCAGTGCTGTTATCGACGAGCAGAAATACCTTCTGCCTGACTCTGCTGTTGCCATGATGCGCAGCATTGAGGAGTTTGAGTTCCTCATGTCGAATATTCCCAGCATGATCCAGGATATTGCGCCACATCTACTAGATATCCTGAAACTGTTCAACTCGCGGTCATCGCAGTTAATTCTTGGGGCTGGTGCTACGCGTAGTGCAGGCCTGAAGAACATCACAACTAAGCATCTCGCGCTATCATCACAAGCATTGAGCTTTGTTATTGCTTTGGTCCCGTATGTACGGGAATTTGTCCGTCGCCATGGACAGGCAAACCCCTTGATGGCGGAGTTTGACAAAGTCAAGCGACTATGTCAGGAGCATCAGAGCGGTATCCACGAGAAGCTGGTGGATATCATGAGCTCGCGCTCTTCGGTCCACGTGAACTCGATGAAGAAGATCGACTGGAATACGAACGGAGCAACTCCTGCTGTAAATGCTTACATGGAAACCTTGGCCAAGGAAACGGGCACTCTCCATCGCGTCTTGAGCAAGCATCTTCCAGACATGACAGTTAGCATGATCATGGTACCCGTATTCAACAGTTACCGTGATCAATGGACGAGGGCCTTCCAGGAGGCCGATGTGCAGACAGAGGCTGGAAAAAAGAGGTTAGTTTGAATTATCCCAATCCCGTTCACGTCTAATACTAACCATATACACAGAATGGAAACCGATGTCGAACACTTCCGAACCAAACTGAGCAAAATCGAAGGCGCCAGCGAGGTTGGCGACAAGCTCCTCGAAGTCGTGCGAGCCAAGACCATTATCATTACCAGCGAACCCGAGAAGTCCGAGAAGAGTGAGAAGCAACAAGATAAGGACGATGGCTCTGATTCCACGAAGTCCTGATTTATATTCTCATCGCCTTTTTACCCTTTTATACATATAATTTTGTTTCTGCATGTTCCTTCCTTGCGCGCTCATTCCCGAGCTGTACACTTCTTGTCATTGCCGCTACTACATAACTGTCTACTTGCATTTATAGAGCTAGCCCGGCGTTTGTGGGTATGAATATAAGAGCAGATGTGACTTTCATTCTAATATTCTCGGGATCACGCATTACACTTACACTGAGATTGTCTCACATTCGCCTACCTTACTTCACCCTTCCTACTAACCAAGAACCAAAATATAACATGAAAATATCGCGTATCATTCATAATATATGCAACTCATCACTTAATACTCATACAGGATAATCGCCATCCATCACATAACATCATATCAAACTCGAAGCAACTCCTTATTTCCCAGCCGTGTTCTTCTCATCAAGAGAAACAGGCTTCGCAGCACCACCGTTGGGATGAGCCGATCCAGCAGTCGGCAAACCAGGGTGGACGTCACGGCCAGAGCCAGTCTGTTCAGGCATGGCAGCAGCCTTGTGAGAGCGGCTCAAGTCGGCGGGCTGGAATTTGTTAGGAATTGAACATTTGACGATTGGACTGGAATTTAAGCGGAACATACCTCGTTACCGGTTCCGTGGGCCTTGTTGGGACCGTTCTCGATTGGGTTGTCGCTCTGGGGGACACCGTTATCGTAGTCTGCGCCGCGAACCATTGTGATTGATTTTGTAGAGGGAAGGTTGAAAGGTAGTTTTTTGTAGAATTTGGTTTTGGAGAGTTGAGGATTGAGTTTTTTGTGTAGGAAATGAAAGAGAAGTATTTGATGCTTCTACTTATACTTGGTTTTTCGTTCATGTTGGTAGCCCGTGACAGCATTCTGAAATCATAGTGGAGAATATGACTTCATGTCCCGTTGTATATCAAGATCTTGGCGATATTGCCTTGGAAATGGGTCTGGGTCCAGAGGATGGAATGCCAGAGAGAAAATGATTATTCTGTCGTCCCCGATGATGTTATAAATGATTTAATTAGATTGAAAATATTTCACGTGTGCGTTCATTGCGTGGAATATACAGAACTTGACGGAACCGGTTGTTTTCGTCTTTGGGTCGAATATCCACCATTTTGTACTATCTATATTATATACATTTTGGTTTAATATAGTGAAATAGAATAGTAATATTATATTCTTTCTCGTGTATCAAACTTTATTATACCAAGATGGTACTAAAATCGCCTTCCGAGCCAAGATACGGGAAGAATGGTTTCGCTGCCTATGTTAGGGCTATAACAGCTTCATTTTCATTGTTTTAAGTTGTTTCCGCAGTATACTGGGCCATAGTATCCCTGACAAGGTCCACAAGTACCTAGGTAGCTACTTCGATTGTAAAATGAGGCTACATACAGCCCGATGACGTCGATTCCTTTAGCATCCATGGATTGTCGGCACGACCCAAGGATGGAAAAAGTGAATGGGGGCGGTTTAGACCTTGGAAGGTCAAATCCAGGAACATGATTGATATGAAAAGATTTATCCTTATTTATGATATGCTTCTATTGGCAAATTCCAATCCGAGCTCCAATCCAAGTCCGACAAAAGATTGACTCAAAGACATGAGAAATAAGTGAAGACCAACGTATGGAACCGTAACAAAAGAAAGCGGGTATTCCGTATCGACTCTCACTGAATATGAGCATGTGAGGACCAACTCGTCCATTAACGGTATCTTCGGTTTTGCGCAGCCGATCCAGCACTTAGACACATTTCCCAGCCAGAAGGATCAACATTCTCATCGGTGAGATCAGTTTCAATACGCAAGGGAAAGTCCTCTTCGGAGGGAGCATAGAACCCCATATGGCCTACAGGACCAGCCCAAGAGGAGTCGGGTGCGATGTCTGAGAAGGAGATTGAGACGCGATTCAGGGCCCGAGACCCATGCAACGACCGAGGACTGACTAACTCTGTGGGAGACATTGTCCCAGATCGACGGGTCTTACAGTGCCGGCACTGCGGGCCAGATCTGAGCGATGATGGCAGACTGTCACCGCGATTTTGAAGACGGTTTGCTTCTCGGGGGCTAGGTGGGTATGGGAGTGAGGGGGTTCCAAGGTGAGGGCTGTTGTCACCGCGGTGATGATATGGATGACTGTGGAGAGCGCGGTGTCTTCCTGCTAGACAGTCACCGCACATTGAAGTTGGTCGGTCAGGATATTGTGGGACATCAGATGATGCTGCCGCAGGGAAAGAATGAGTGGTTGATGAGATGCCAGGTCGCCGAGAGCTGGGCTTTGCTGCCGATGAAAAAGTGGGTGAGGTACCTGGTAGATGGGAAGTGGATGTCGCAGGAGGCAGGGGAGGTAATGGGCCGTGTTGGATTTTACGGCTGAGACTGTATGGTCGATGGTGTACTGGTGAAGTCACATCATGGGTTGTCTCTTCGGGAATGGGCAGTAGGGCATCATTCCGGGTTTTGTTTAGAATGACACTGCACGCTTTTCGAATTATGAGTGGTCGGGTTATGACATCCGAGGGGATCTGCCAGTTGTTTAGGATGAAACTTCGCTTGTTGTATGTATGGCGGATGATGACTTCTGCAGTGGACGCCCGGGCTTTGGCCTTCCTGATGGAAAATCGTGATATATCTGATGAGGGCGAACGTTGAAACACTGGGTTAACACTTTGTGGGGGCTCTGCACACGAACAGATACCGTTCTCGAAAAGAATTGGTGAGGTGCAGTCGCGAAGGGCTGAGGTGATAAGGCAGCATAATCGTGGATCGGGATGCCGTGCGAAATACAAATCTGGGAGTTGAGGAGGTGAGTCGTCAATCACTGGGAGATTGGCCATGCCAAAATTGAAGTCAGCGAAAGCAGAACGGAACTTCTCAGTTTGCGTTCCTTCACTTAACTCAGCAGGTATGGCTGGGCTCATTTCCCTAACTGCGGAAAGCTCATACATATTCCTATGAACCTCAAATACAGAAACTGGGTCTGACTTCTCAGACTTCCCATCGTCACTATTCAAAACAGACAAGTCCGGATTCATAATTCTCAGCACAGAATGTCCATCCCCTGGCCAGCTTCCACGAGGATCAGGATACCTAGGTTTGGTAGCCTCAGCGAGTGCAACTCTGTCAAGCAGAGAGCCATTGGCCGCATCCATATCAAGTTTAGAAGACTGCTGTCGTGGACTCTCTGCCGGTGGGGACATAATCCAATCATCCAGCATCTTGTTATCCTTGTCGCTGAACACCGATCTCCTCCGTGGGCTCGATACTGGGCTATCACTGCGATGCCGGAAAAAGCGACTCGGATATCGATCATTGAGGGCATCAAAAACGATGCGACTGATCTCGGAGTCAGGGACAATTCGACAGCGCTTTCGCTCAATCTTGTTGATCAACTTGATCCTCACGTTGCCGAGGGGAGTGAACACCCAACTTCGCAGCCAACGCTTGACCTTGATCCACTTGCGTTTCTTCCTTTCAGACATGCTTAATGGGACTGGTGATCGAAGCTCAGAAGTCGCAGTAATCAGAAGAGAGAGGTGCTTCGGAGCGGGATGCTGCAGAGGATCTGTCTCTTGGGGTCTCATCTCAATCACCCTTTTATATATGTCTGACATGATATACTCTCTCCGAGCTCGACATCAATGAGCCTTTCAGTTGATGCATATCGCAGTGACACAACATTATCGGGTATCAGGGAAGACTCCATCTCAGTTACAATGAGGTTGGGAACAAACACAGATTTGAGACTTTTGACGTTCTTTGTTGACGTTGTCAACGATGAGCTCTTTGTTTCCGTGTCTCTTGATGACTCAACTGCGGTACTAGCTACCCATATCGCTAGCAACATATAAAAGAAACGTGGTCTCATTATGCTGGTGTCCACAGAATCTACATCTTTGGATATAGGTGTATAGTACTGACTAGAGTGGAAGCTGTCCCGGTGGAAGCACTTGAGTTAGGTTTAAGACATTTCAGGATCTCGGAGATATCCTCTCCCCAGGAGAAGGACTACCTAGGTAGAGACAAGGAGTACAGTGTTGTACAAAAACAGTAGTTTGCATCTGCTATGTTGTACGGTATAGGCATATTTCAACACCAATAAGGAAGATGGACTGCCAAGACGATCATCCCCTCCAACATGGTCTGCGCATTCTTCCCACCAATAAATTATGTTGGTAGAAGCCCTCTGAAGCCATTTGAAGCCATTCATGCCCATCTTGGTTGTCATTTATGAAGATCGAAGCTCTGGCGGGGCCGTGGAGTGACAGATGACATCACCAGCTTTCCCCAGATCCGATAAACTGCAATTGGATGAGCCCTGAGGATTTTTGACTGGGATTGATGGCAAATAAATGTAGATCACCTGTTCAATAATCGGAAAACCCGGAGAAACACTAAAAGGTCAGTAAGGGAGAGAATATATCGGGAAGAGAGAGAGGGAGAGAGAACAAGGCAGGTCGATCCCACTGTACTTCTGGTTCCACTGTTACTACAGTTACATGGGAAGTACCAGGTACATCATACCATCTCATAATCTAAGACAATTGTCTAATTTAAATATGAAATCTCTTCATTCTAAAGTACTTTTCTCAACAGTCTCGGGTGGAATTTCCCTAGCAGAGACTTTTTTTCTTTTTAGCCTAAGCGCACGGTAGCTCTAGGGTCACACCCGTAAACCAGTCCGAAGAAAAACTCTTGACACACCGGGACAAGGAACGGGAATCTTTCTACGGGAATACTTCTCTGGCCTCTTCAATTTGATCGACATCTCCCCCAACTTCCCAGCCCCAGAAGCTCTCAAATCAAAGGTCCACTTTCTCCCCGCACAGACCGAGTCCAACAGCTCTTCCAAGGTTGCGCTCAATCCCCCCCCTCCTCCTCGCTTTTTCATTTCTCTTTCGCTTTTTATTTTCGAGCATAATGGAGGAAAACGGCGAACCCATCAAGCGTGATGTGCGCAACCACATGCTCTTCGAGGTGGCCACTGAGGTGGCCAACCGAGTAGGAGGAATCTACTCGGTCCTCAAGTCTAAAGCTCCTGTGACCACCGCGGAATATGGTGAACGGTACACATTGATCGGTCCGCTCAACAGGGCTTCTGCGGCGGTGGAGGTTGAGGAGCTAACGCCAACCAACCCGGCCATGCGGGAGACGATCAAGTCTATGAAGGAGCGCGGCATTGAGATCGTCTACGGTCGCTGGCTCATTGAGGGTGCTCCTCGGGTTCTACTCATTGACACAAGCACTGGCTATAAGTGGTTGGACGAGTGGAAGGGCGATCTTTGGACTACTTCGGCCATCCCGTCCCCCGCCGGTGACAATGAGACCAATGAGGCCATCGTTTTTGGATACTTGGTCGCTTGGTTCTTGGGAGAGGTACGTTCCAATTGTTCTTTACGATATGGTAGAAGCGCATGACTGACACGTATTCCTCGCTGTAGTACATTGCTCACGATCGTCGTCGCGCGGTCATCGCCCATTTCCATGAGTGGCTGGCTGGTGTGGCTCTGCCACTGACCAAGAAGCGCCACATGGACCTCACAACTGTCTTCACTACCCACGCGACATTATTGGGCCGTTACCTCTGTGCTGGCTCGGTGGACTTCTATAATAACCTCCAGTACTTTGACGTGGATGCGGAGGCCGGGAAGCGAGGAATCTACCACCGCTACTGTATTGAGCGCGCTGCTACTCATGCCTGTGATGTCTTTACTACGGTATCTCACATCACTGCGTTTGAGAGTGAGCATCTGCTGAAGCGCAAACCCGATGGTGTGTTGCCCAATGGTCTGAATGTCAAAAAGTTCTCTGCCATGCACGAGTTCCAGAACTTGCACTCCCAGGCCAAGGAGAAGATCAACGATTTCGTTCGTGGCCATTTCTACGGCCACAACGACTTTGACCTGGATAATACTCTATATCTCTTCACCGCCGGTCGTTACGAATACCGCAATAAGGGTGTCGATATGTTCATTGAGTCGCTGGCCCGCCTCAATCATCGCCTGAAGGCCGCTGGGTCGACCATGACCGTGGTCGCATTCATTATTATGCCAGCACAGACCTCTTCATTGACCGTGGAAGCGCTCAAGGGACAGGCAGTCGTCAAGTCCCTGCGCGACACTATCGAGAACATCGAAAAAGGGATCGGTAAGCGCATGTATGAGCGCTGTCTTTCCTGGAAGGAAGGCGACAACATGCCCGATGACAAGGATCTCATCACCAGTCAAGATCGCGTGATGCTCCGCCGTCGCCTGTTCGGCATGAAACGCCACGGTCTTCCCCCCATTGTCACCCACAACATGCACAATGACAGCGAGGACCCCATCCTGAACCAGCTCCGTCGTGTCCAGTTGTTCAACCACTCCTCCGACCGGGTGAAGGTTGTCTTCCATCCCGAATTCCTCAACTCCGCCAACCCGGTATTGCCGCTTGACTATGATGACTTCGTTCGCGGAACCCATCTGGGTGTCTTCCCCTCGTACTACGAGCCGTGGGGATATACACCGGCCGAATGTACAGTGATGGGTGTGCCTAGCATCACCACCAACTTGTCTGGATTCGGTTGCTATATGGAGGAGTTGATTGAGAACTCCTCCGATTACGGCATTTACATCGTGGACCGTCGCGCCAAGGGCGTTGACGACTCGGTCAACCAACTGACCGAGTATATGTTCAACTTCACGGAGAAGAGTCGTCGCCAGCGCATTAACCAGCGTAACCGCACGGAGCGTTTGAGCGATCTGCTCGACTGGAAAAGAATGGGCTTGGAATATGTCAAGGCTCGCCAGCTGGCATTGAGAAGAGGTATGTAATTCTATTTTCTAGCTTGATTGTGACTAATTTGTACAGCTTACCCATCCTCCTTCGAGGGTCAGGAGGATTACTTCGATATTATTGGAGGAACTGAGCAGAAGCTCTCCCGCCCGCTTTCCGTTCCTGGATCCCCTCGGGATCGGTCCGGAATGATGACTCCCGGTGACTTTGCCTCTCTACAGGAAGGCCATGAGGGATTGAGCACCGAGGATTATATTGCCTGGAAACTACCGTAAGTTTTCATGTTATTTCTCTAATATTCAAATACTAACACATTCCACAGTGAAGAAGAAGAGCCCGAAGAGCACTTCCCCCTCACACTGCGAACTCGCAAGATGAACGAACGTGCTGCATCCCCACTGGACAGTATAAATGTCAGCCGTCGAACCAGTGAAGATTCCGGAACTCGGGCGGAATAACCGAGGGTATTGGATTTGCATCTTCACCTGGACGTCATTTAATCACTTTATGATCTTTTCCCTAGCAGTGCATTTGAAAGCCTATGTTTGTTTGTTTTTTTAATTACAATGAAATTGAGATTTATAGTACCACATACATATTGCAAGGATATTGTAACTAGGTGCAGCGGAGGGATGAGCTCCGTGTATATCCACCTGTGGACTCACCTGACATCCATCGGATCATATAGAGTTCATACGGTGAGTCCTTTATGACTTCATGCATGAAATCCTCGAGTATTTCTAGTATTTCTACCCCTCCAACCCCTCCATCTTCTTTCACTCTTCTCAACTCCAAATACTCTCACGTCTACCATCGGTACGACTCTCCCATGGAGCCGCGCACGTCCACCCTGCGGGGTCGCAGGACTATGTCCTCGCTATGGGATCAAGGTATTTGTTCGTATAACAGTCGTTGCCCACGCATGACAGGTGTTCGGTCCAGCCAGTTGATCAGGAAGAACCATAAACCCGTCTTCAGGACACCGGGTTTCCTCTTCCCCCCCCAACTGGCTGGCTGATCTGAGATTATACTGTCAAAACTTGATCTAGACAATACTAGCGAAAGGACATGCGTGACTTTGATTGTTCCCCCTTGTGTTTTTTGTGTCTGGCTCTGCTCGTGCTGTGCTGTTGACTGTTCAATTGAATACATAGATTGAATGGAATCGGCAATTTGACAGAGCAGAGCTGGATACTTTCTCTCTTGGCATGCTGACCCAATGAAGTATTCAAATAGCTTTCATCTGCCATCATGTCTACCGACAAGATTACTTTCCTGACAAACTGGTATGCTGACATTATTCCAGAATCGTTTCAGAGCTCTCAGTGAGGGCTCGATCTTGTAGTTACACTGGCTAAGTTATTCTAAAGGCACGCCACCCCGTACCACGCCCCCCTCTACCTCGCTCAGGCCAGAGGCTACTTCAAGGATGAAGGTCTCAAGGTGGCTCTCCTCGAGCCTAATGACCCCTCCGATGTGACCGAGATCGTCGGAAGCGGCAAGGTCGACATGGGTTTCAAGGCCATGATCCATACCTTGGCGGTACGTATACTCCCCCAATACATACAACAATATATCAACCATACTAACACCACATCCAGGCCAAGGCCCGTGACTTCCCCGTGACCTCCATCGGCTCCCTTCTCGACGAGCCCTTCACCGGAGTCGTCTACTTGAAGTCCAGCGGAATCACCGAGGACTTCCGCTCCCTGAAGGGCAAGCGCATCGGCTACGTCGGCGAGTTCGGCAAGGTAAGAACAACTCCGCTCACCCAATTCACTCCCACCAATCCTAACCAATCCCAGATCCAAATCGACGAGCTCACCAAGTACTACGGCATGACCGCCGACGACTACACAGCCGTCCGGTGCGGAATGAACATAACCAAAGCCATAATCCAAGGCACCATCGACGCGGGCATCGGCCTTGAGAACGTCCAAATGGTCGAACTGGAAGAATGGCTCGCCACCCAAAACCGACCTCGCACAGACGTCCAAATGCTCCGCATCGACCAGCTCGCCGAACTAGGCTGCTGCTGCTTCTGTTCGATTCTGTACATCGCGAACGACGCTTTCATCGCTGCGAACCCAGAAAAGGTCGCTGCGTTCATGCGCGCCGTGAAACGCGCCACCGACGATGTCCTCTCGGACCCTGCTGGCGCGTATGCGGAGTACATTGACGTCAAGCCTATCATGGGCACTGATGTTAATCGGAAGATCTTTGAGCGGTCGTTTGCTTACTTCTCGCGCGATTTGAAGAATGTTCAGCGGGATTGGACTAAGGTTACGAACTATGGAAAGAGATTGGGGATTTTGGATGAGGGTTTTGTGGCGAATTATACCAATGAGTTCCTTTCTTGGGGACTTGATGAGGATTCTGTTGATCCTATTGGTGATCAGAAGCGTATGGCTGCGCTTCAGCAGGAGGTTGCTGCTGATGGTGGTTATAAGCGTCTTGAGGTTAAGGCTTCCGCTTAGGTTGGGCTTTTGCTGGACTCCACTACTTGGTGAAGATGTTTATCCTAGGCTTCACTCTTTAGCCTTGGTTGCTTGAGATAAATTGGAAAATCTGCCATCTTGGTATATCACTTGTGCTGTAAATGATCTAGTGAAAATTCGTAGAATGAATGCCTAGAAGTATACCTGGAGTTTACAAATCGACAATTTCAGTATGCTGTCGCAAAGAAATCATATTGACAGAAATATAATGCGTGAGTTTCGTACGAATTGTTTGGTTCCAAGTTCATTAACATCAGTCATTATGTGGCATATCTCGTAATAAGGCACCGTGTTACGGGTCCTCAAGCCACAGTTGAGGGCGTACCCTCATTCCCTGGACGTTCAAGCATAGCTCGTAGCCGACCTTCTGCAGACTGCAAAGCAGGACTAGATTCTGGCCCAGCAATAGTCGCACTCCACTTCAACCAACCAAGGAGGGATTGAATGATTTCCGGGCCCGAATTTCCAATGGCAGGCGAACCATCACCGCCCAGATCAGGTTGCGAGAGAATATTGGATTCAGAGGAAGATCCATCATTTGCAGTCGCCTCTAGATGAACCTCCGACACGACAGCTGGAGTGGCCATCTGAGATGATCGCTGTTCGCGATTGCCAGCAGCAGCATTCTTTGCAAGTAGATCACGTCCACTGTGTTTAAGCCTTGATGCGAATTCACGCGTGAAAGGGGTCGATATAGTCTTCGGGCTAATAGGAGAAACAGCCTCCGACTCAGAGTCCATGCCTGTAGACAGTGTAGGATGCTGTCTCTGTGTTTGACCGGGTGTCCCATTCTGTTCCAGCATAGACGCAGTCTGTCGCAGAGTTTCTAAATACCGATGAAACGAGAACGGATGCATATCACGAGCTGGATCAATCGGACTAGCCTCCTCATCAACAATAGCCGCATTGCCATCATCTACACGTCGTTCCTCACTAGGCCTAGCCTGCTCGACAGATCCCGGCGCACCTGACGGAGCACAAATCTCACCCAACGGCGCAATGTGACTCCCATACTCGTTGGAAAGACTCAGTTTGCTCCGTCCACAGATCTCAGCAATAGAGTCCAGAGTACCACGGATATCAGGCTCGATGGCCTGCAGTATACTCTCGATACTGAAGTCCTTATCGGATGGAAATATAACATCTGACTGTGACGGACGAGGAGCCGAGCTCCTCGAGCCGGAGAATGAGAGGAACCGACGCGCGGACATAGCAAGCGGTCGTGTGTTTCTCTCCTGGGCATCGCCCGAATACGCCCTGACAAGCACGGGGCGCGTAGCGAGTGTCGACGAGCGCCGCTGAGAGGTATTATCAATTCGGACAGGACGGGACTGAGGTCTCGGGGAACCGTTCAGCTGGCGTAGAGCTGTGGCACGATATGTGTTTGCTTGGTCTTCGACGACGTATCGCTGGTTTGTTTGGTGGCCGGCAGCGGCGATTGAAGACGCGTGGGATGGGGATAGTCGGGGCCATTCTTGTCGAGGCAGGGAAGACGACGGCCGTGTACCGGTCAATGTATCTGACTCCATCTCCGGACCGGTTGCGGTAGCGTACAGCTCGCTGTTGTGCAGGAGACAGCGCAGAGACTAACCCCGCTCTGGGAGGGCACAGGACTCCGAGAGTACTGGGTTCGGCTCACGAGGGATGTATTCACGTCCCATGCACAGTGCATATTCTCCGGCATGGGTTGGGTGTTTTGTCTGAGTGGATGTAAATCATCCGATGGGTAGTGGGGAGATGGGGTGTGTTGCGCTGATGCGTGGGCACTGAAGCTGTTAATAATGTCCACGGGTGGTCCAGGTACCTTGCACTATTAGAATTACGAGTAGATGTATAGTAGAATATGCCCTAGAGTTCTCGTCCAAAGGCCAAAAGGAAAAGCACAAAATAGAAAGGCTCCGCCGCGAGTAATGATTCGTGAACAACTGACAAAAAGCCATTTTATGAATCTCCTAAGCTTGGCGTTCTTAGCACCGAGGCATCACCACGTTTCCCCAGTGTTTACTCATCCACTAACCACCCACACCATGAATCGGTTTCAAGTATGACTCCATGTCACTCCAATTGGTACCTCGTCTAACCTCCTATAGTTCAGCGACTCCGACGGGTCCTCCTCCGACTTCGACGAAGACCCATCCGGCCTCCCCTTCCCGGAACCGCTATCCCGCACCTCATTCCTCGCCCCTGACTTCGATCCAGCCACTTTCCTGTCATCATTGACGAACCGACACCAGAGTCTTGAGGATCTGCGACAGGAATTGCGGGGACTAGAGCAATTCTTGAACAAGGAGCTACTGGATCTTGTCAATGAGAACTACCAGGACTTTCTCTCGTTAGGAAGTGCGCTTCGCGGCGGCGAGGAGAAGGTCGAAGGTGTGAAAGTCGGCGTGCTTTCGTTCCAGCGCGATGTCAAAGCTATCCGGGACAAGGTCGAGGCACGACGTCAGGAAGTGGAAGAGCTGTTGAACGAGAAGCGGCGACTACGAACGAACGCCGACGTGGGCAAAGATCTGTTGGACTATGCGGACCGGGTGGAGGAATTGGAACACCGTTTGATGATACAGGACAAGTCATCGCAAGAAAACACCACACCAGACGAATCCGATTCAGAGTCAGATCTATACAGCGGCGAGGGCGATGACAGCGATGATGAGCTAGCAGATGGCACACCCGCAATTTCATTGAAGAGGATGGAACGCCATGCCCAAAAGTTTGTCTATTTGACCTCAATAGCTGCCCGGGTCGGCGAGAAGCATCCTTTCCTGCTTGCGCAACAACCACGAGTCGCGAAGATCAAGTCCACGGTACTCTTGGATCTCAAAACTGCCTTGGAGCAGGCCACCGCGGCTGGTGGTAAACAAGGCAAACGCGATGCTAGAACAATGGCGGTTCTCCGCCTCTACGATCTTATGGGTGAAGACGTCAGTGCCGTCGCCGCGCTGAAGAACCTCAAGCTGTAAAAACAACGTGCTTCGTCCTGAAAATTGGCAATGTGCACTGGTTTGCATACATAGCGTCGGCGTTTGGTCTTATAAAGTTCTAATTCAACAATGATACCATGATACACCATGTCCTTTCCTAATAAAACAATAAATTTGTACACGCCAAAGGATATAAGAAAATTGAGTATGTTACATGCCGGTCAAGGCGGAGGTTGGGGGGATGAGTCGGAGCGGAACTCGCCGTTGAGTGAGAATCCGGGTCCGTTGGTCGAGCTCAGTACCTATAGTGTTGTTAGAGGCTGGATTCCACAAGGATCAATTGAAGTACTCACCACCTCGTAGATCTCCTTGTTGACACGGTCGGTCAGGGCGGAAGCATCCTTCTTAATCTGGTCAAGGGTCACGCGCATGTTATCGCGCAATTGCTCCGGAGAGAAGCCCAATTGCCCGACAGGCAAACGGATAACGGCATCACGCTCACGGTACACAGTACCACCGCGGAGATCTTCCACGCGTGCAGCCACGTCTTCCACAACGGTACCAGTCTTCGCACTAGGCATCAAACCGCGAGGACCGAGGATGCGACCCAGTGCGGCCTTGTTCAGCGCCGGCAAACTGTCCGGGTGGGCGAGACAGCGATCGAACTCAATAATGCCAGCCTTGACAGCCTCGAACACTTCTTGTTCACCGACAAGAACGGCACCCGCAGCGAGCGCTTCCTTGGCTGCTTTCGAACCGGGAGGACAGATGACACAGATGCGGGATTCGGTCTGGACGGCGTGCGGGAATCGGAGCATGTTACGGATGACGGGACCGTCGCGCTTTGTTCGCAGTCGGATGTGCAGTTCGTATTTTTGAACGGAGGGTTCGCGGCCGACTTCGATGGCCCGGATATATCTGCAGAAAGGAAGGTGTCAGTTGATAGTCCGGGCATTGGCTGACGTCTCAGTTGTCCGATGCTCAGCACATACCGCATAGCATCACACAGAGCATACTGCGGCATATCCTTCAAATTGATTTGCCGGAACTCCTGGGGTCCTTTGCGGCTCTTGGTAGGCTGCTCTTTCCCCTTCTTTGGCTTGTTCTTGAGACCTCGGACCTGCTGGAAAGTCGAGAGAACGGGGGCAATTGAGGCCTCCCGCAGCGGATTCCGGCATGCTGAGAGGATTCCGCGTGCCGCTGTGGGCAAGACCGAGCCGTAGGACGACATATTGGCAGGCGTTGATTTGAGCTGATCGACTAGATGAAGCCGTGGAGTAATTGTTTTCTGCCGGAAAGCTGTCGGCCTCGGAGAAACATAAATCCGGACGGGGACTGTAGATAATGACTCTGCCCCTCCAGAATTCACTTCACTTTCCACACTACGCAATGTCTACATACGAATTGAAAGTGGCCACTCGCGGCAACCACGCGGCGCTTCTGCCCGTGGTCCTCATCGTCACCTCTATCAACGAGGCCCGCCCTACCCCCGTGGTCACCGTCACCCTCGAGGACACTGCTCTTCTCCAGGATGGCGACAAGGCCATTGTCCAGCTCACCAGTGGCTCCAACTCTGTCTTTGGCACTGCCAATGTTATCCAGGAGCTTACTACCCACTTCCCTTTCCTGGCTGGCAAGGATTCTAAGGTGGTGAGTTAATACTCCTACTACCCCGCGGTCGAGTCATTTTTTGTCTAACACGATTACAATAGGAATCTGAGTGGATCTCTCAGTTGGATTCCCTGACCACCCTGGACTTCAAGGCCCTCGACCCCGTGCTCCAGCGTCTTGACACTCACCTTCTTATGCGCTCGTTCATTGTCGGATACTCTCTCTCTACCCCCGACATTGCCATTTGGGGTGCTCTTCGAGGCAACCGTGTCGCCGTTGCTGCCCTGAAGAAGGGATCCCTTGTCAACCTTACCCGCTGGTACCGGTTCTTGGAGGAGCTTTGCCCCTGGACTACCGCCGCTGTGGAGTCCCTGAACGCAGTTGCTAAGGAGAAGAAGGTGGCCAAGTCCAAGGAGGGTGCCAGTTACGACATTGCGCTCAAGAACACCGAGAACGGTGTGGTCACCCGATTCCCCCCGAGCCTTCTGGATACCTCCACATTGGTCACGCTAAGGCCGCTCTTCTCAACGACTACTTTGCCCACGAGAAGTACAACGGTACTATGCTTCTTCGATTCGACGATACCAACCCTTCGAACGAGAAGCAGGAGTTCGAGGACGCCATCGTGGAGGACCTTGCGCTAATGGGCATCAAGCCTAACAAGATGACCTACACCAGTGACTACTTCGACGAGTTGTACGACTACTGCATCAAGATCATCAAGCAGGGCGACGCCTACGCAGATGATACCGACAAGGAAACCATGGCCGCCCAGAGATGGGATGGCTTGCCCAGCCAGCGTCGCGATCTTTCCCCCGAGGAGAGTTTGGCGCGCCTAGAGGAGATGAAGGCCGCCACTCCCGAGGGTCTTCGTTGGTGCATCCGTGCTAAGATCTCCTTCGACTGCCCCAACAAGGCTATGCGTGATCCCGTCATCTACCGCTGCAACCCAGCAACCCACCACCGCACTGGTAACAAGTGGAAGATCTACCCGACCTACGACTTTGCTTGCCCTATCGTTGATTCGATGGAGGGTGTCACTCATGCTTTACGTACTATTGAGTACCGCGACCGTAACCCCCAGTACCAGTGGATGCTGGATACCATGAAGCTGCGCAACGTGCAGGTGTGGGATTTCGCCCGCATGAACTTCGTTCGCACTCTTCTCTCTAAGCGCAAGCTGACCAAGCTGGTTGAGACTGGTCTCGTCTGGGGCTGGGATGATCCTCGCTTCCCTACCATCCGTGGTATCCGTCGCCGCGGTATGACCATCCCTGCTCTCCGTGAATTCATCTTGAAGCAGGGTCCCTCTAAGGCTGTGACCAACTTCGACTGGGGTCTTATCTGGGCTACCAACAAGAAGTACATTGATCCCATTGCCCCGCGTCACACCGCTATCTTCAACAAGGATGTTGTCAAGACCACTGTCACCGGTGGCCCTGCCACTCCTTACTCCGAGGAGAAGCCCAGACACATCAAGAACGCCGCCGTCGGCATGAAGAAGGTTGTCTACAGCAGCTCTATCATCCTCGAGCAGGAGGACGTCAAGCTCTTCAAGCCTGACGAGGAGATCACCCTCATGAACTGGGGTAACGCCATCGTCCGCAAGATCAGCACTAATGCTGAGACCGGTATTATCACCAACCTCGAGCTCGAGCTGCACATGGCTGGTGATGTCAAGAAGACCGAGAAGAAGGTCACTTGGCTCGCCACCGAGGGACAGGATCTCGTCCCCGTCGAGTTGGTCGATTTCGATCACCTGCTGACCAAGGATTCTCTTGGCGAGGATGATAAGCTGGAGGACTTCCTTAACATGCACACCGAGTTCCGCGAGGAGGGTTTGGCCGACTGCAACGTCGCTGACCTCAAGGAGAGCGATATCATTCAGTTCGACCGCAAGGGTTACTACCGCGTTGATCGTGCTTACTCTCCTGGTAAGCCTGCGGTCTTCTTCAACATTCCTTCCGGCAAGTCCAAATAGATTCTGTCTCAATTATGATGTGAAGCATGTTTTATGAGTGTAGTGAGATATGAAAAGAAGAATCAATGGTTATTTATATGCTTCCACTTCGTGTTTAGTAAAATGACCAGCCCTTGAGGTCTGCAGAGTCCCATGGGAGTTGGGAACAGCTTCTTTTCTTCATCCAAACATGGTTCAAATGTCGTTTACCTGCAGTATTGGAATGAGTTCTGCCTGTATACTTACGCCTTCCTCTCACCACACCAGTCAGCCATCTCATCCATGTTTACTTTGTCATGCGGACTTCACCCATCTACCCAGGTCACAATCCTGTATGCATCTACAAAGGGCTGCGTTGGACGGGATTGGACGACATCATGGTCGCTCTAGAAATGCGCATGTAGGGCTGAGCATGGTCACGTGTGGGCGAAGCCGACTGCGATGATCTCCCTGGGTAAGTTGTTCATTACCATGCTTTTTATACTTTCCATTTCCCGGACTATCTGGTTCGATTTCCGGCCATTTGGTTTGTCCCGACAGATCATGAAACTGGTGCCGAATGGATGTGAATTCCGTCGGCCGGCTCTCAGCGGAATGGGCGCGAATGACGTCGAGGAATACCTGCCTACATTCAATCGACATCCGGACAACCGCTCGTCCTCTACAGCAGAAATTGGTCTAGCTCATTCGCTCACCTATTCTTCATTGGCTGCCAAGCTTGCTTCGACTGCGTGACTTTCGACCGGTATTATGGTATTATAACTGCTGGACAAGCTTTCGGATATTCAACACCAATGGTTGTGTCCGTACGCTACCTTTATATCTTTAATACTTTCAGTATAAGACAACATCCTGCGGCAATACGACACACCTGAGTCCTTTCCCAGTCGCGTTTGTTCTGGCCCCTGCCAAGGGAACATTTTCTATGATCCATGGATGAATACCCTATTGGTTCAAAGTCAATTCGGGTACCTGCTTACCATCAGCTTCATTCGAGCTTAGCGTGGACTAAAATGTTCTAGCCTTTATCTGGATTGGTCGAACCAATATCCTATCCGTCAAAAACCGGCGGGAGTTCTTCGGGTCGTCCGCGGCTCGTCCCTTTCGAGACCTGGTTCCCCGGCTTCATCCTCCTCCAAGTACCGAGCACGGAGACCAAAACAGTAAACATACATGCGTTAGCATGAAATCGCTCTCCCGAGGGCTTCCTAGCCCGACGTCAGCATGATTTACTTGAGAATGGAAAATTTCGTTAATCTGGCAGCTTCTTTCTTTCTTACCCCAGATAGAAACGCTAGACCTTCGATTCCTGTCATCCTACAGGTGCTGAGGCGCGAATAGAACATTGGAAAAACTCTTTTTCTTTGGTATCATTGTTCCTTCATTTCTATATCCCTTTGCTTCGTGCATTCGTTCTTATTATCATCAATAATCAATAATCTCATCTCTTTTGACAGGTATGTTTCTATCTGGTGTCTGTGTCGGAAGAACTGTGACCTGACTTGGACAGCCAAGCATGGCCGGCGAGGGGAAAGGCGAGCGTTCCGAGGCTCGCCGCCGCAGCTCACGTATCTCACGGGCATCTCTGAGCGGGGACTGGAATAGTCTGGACGAGTACGGCAAGCTCGTCAAGTATGTGTCGACATTCCGTGATCCAAATGCACTAGACGAAGAGCAGGGCGAAGTGACCGAGAAACGAGTTTGGTACGCCCCTTGGATCAAGCGAAAGGTCCGCGTCAAAAGGGTCGAAGCAGAAACCGGCAAATTCCCGGATGAGTGGACCATGACGGATATCCGGGAGGGACTTTCTAGCGATGAAGTTCCTCTTCGTCGTCGTCGGGCTGGGTGGAATGAGTTGACATCCGAGAAGGAGAATCCCATTGCTAAGATCCTTTCTTACTTTCAGGGCCCAATTCTCTACGGTGAGTCCTTATCGACCCTTCCTTGACTACCACGCTGACTTTAGACAGTCATGGAGCTGGCTGTTTTACTTGCTGCTGGTCTAGAAGACTGGGTTGACTTCGGTGTCATTATTGGTATCTTGTGTCTGAACGCGGCAGTGGGCTGGTATCAAGAGAAGCAAGCTGCCGATGTGGTTGCGAGTCTCAAGGGTGACATTGCCCTACGCGCGCAGGTTATTCGTGACAGCACTCAACAAGAATGTCTTGCTCGAGAGTTGGTTCCAGGCGATGTCGTAAGTCTATTTTCGATGGGGCCCGATATTGGTATACGACGACTGACCAATCATCTAGGTCATCATTGGTGAAGGTCAAGTCGTGCCTGCAGACTCCAGAGTTATCTGTGACGTCAAGGATGAACATGGCTGGGAAGAGTTCAACCAGCTTCAAGAGCAAGGTATGCTCGGTGGAGGGTCCTCTTCTGATGAAGAGGACGACCCAACCAAGAAGAGCGATAAGGAAAAGGACGAAGACGATGGCAAGGCCAAGGAGGCCGACGAACATCAGGCGAAGAAGGCTCGCAGACGTGGTTATCCTATTCTGGCTTGTGATCACTCTGCCATCACGGGCGAATCACTGGCCGTTGATCGTTATATGGGAGATATGATCTTCTATACGACTGGCTGCAAGCGTGGCAAGGCCTATGCAGTGGTTCAAACCGGTGCGAGGACTTCCTTCGTTGGCCGCACCGCAAGTATGGTGCAATCTGCTAAAGGCGCCGGTCACTTCGAACTTGTCATGGACAATATCGGAACATCTCTCTTGATTCTAGTTATGGCCTGGATTCTCGCTGCCTGGATTGGTGGGTTCTTCCGTCATATTCCTATCGCATCGCCCCCTCAGCAGACTCTGCTTCACTACACTCTGTCTTTGTTGATCATTGGTGTACCTGTCGGTCTACCTGTTGTGACCACTACCACCATGGCTGTTGGTGCTGCCTATCTGGCGAAAAAGAAAGCCATTGTGCAAAAGCTGACCGCAATTGAATCTCTCGCTGTAAGTCTGGATCAACCTTCTCCACCAACCCGGGCTGCCATCAAATGCTAACACCGAAATAGGGTGTTGACATTCTATGTTCCGACAAGACCGGCACTCTCACAGCAAACAAACTGAGTATCCGTGATCCTTATGTAGCTGAGGGTGTCGATGTCGACTGGATGTTCGCCGTTGCTGCCCTTGCATCCTCGCACAATATTGAATCGCTCGATCCGATTGATAAGGTCACAATTTTGACGCTTAGGCAATACCCAAGAGCACGCGAGATATTGCGACGTGGTTGGTCAACAGAAAAATTCACGCCCTTTGACCCGGTTTCAAAACGCATTGTTACTATTGCCACATGTGACGGCATTCGGTATACGTGCACCAAAGGCGCTCCGAAAGCCGTGCTCCAATTGACAAGCTGCTCCAAGGAGACTGCTGACCTATACAAGGCCAAAGCGCAAGAATTTGCGCATCGAGGCTTCCGATCTCTCGGTGTTGCTGTTCAAAAGGAAGGCGAAGATTGGGCTTTGCTTGGAATGCTGCCTATGTTTGACCCACCCCGAGAAGACACCGCTCAAACCATTAGCGAAGCGCAGAATCTCGGTATCAGTGTCAAGATGCTCACTGGCGATGCCATTGCTATTGCGAAAGAAACTTGCAAGATGTTGGCTTTGGGCACCAAGGTGTATAACTCAGACAAGCTGATTCACGGCGGCTTGAGTGGTGCAATGGCTAGTGATCTTGTTGAGAAAGCGGACGGCTTTGCTGAAGTGTTCCCAGAACACAAATACCAAGTCGTACAAATGCTACAAGAACGAGGCCACTTGACCGCTATGACCGGTGACGGTGTAAACGACGCACCGTCTCTGAAAAAAGCCGATTGTGGCATTGCCGTTGAAGGCGCCTCGGAAGCTGCTCAGTCTGCATCAGACATCGTTTTCCTCGAGCCCGGACTTTCGACTATTATCGACTCTATTAAGGTCGCACGTCAGATCTTCCATCGCATGAAGTCATATATCCAGTACCGCATTGCACTTTGCTTGCACCTTGAGATCTACCTTGTGACTTCGATGATCATCCTCAATGAAAGCATTCGTGTCGAGCTGATTGTCTTTCTGGCATTATTCGCCGATCTTGCGACCGTTGCAGTGGCATATGATAATGCATCTTTCGAGCTGCGACCTGTCGAATGGCAACTTCCTAAAATCTGGTTCATTTCCTGCCTTCTTGGTGTGCTACTAGCCCTGGGTACGTGGGTTATCCGAGGCAGCATGTTCCTGAAATCGGGAGGCATTATTCAAAACTGGGGATCTATTCAAGAGGTACTCTTCTTGGAAGTGGCGCTCACAGAGAATTGGCTCATTTTTGTCACTCGCGGTATTGACACATGGCCATCTATTCACTTGGTGACCGCGATTCTGGGGGTTGATATTTTGGCTACTATCTTCTGTCTGTTTGGTTGGTTTACCAATCAAAACATGAAGACCAAGCCCGCAGATAAATACGTCGAGACTACGAATGGCTGGACCGATATCGTCACCGTTGTGCGAATCTGGGGTTATTCACTTGGTGTGTCGATTGTGATCGCTCTGGTATACTTCATCTTGAACAAGATTGAATGGCTTGATAATCTCGGTCGTGTCCAACGCGACAAGGGAGAGGTCAAAATTGAGAATCTGCTCGCTCACCTGTCACGTCTTACAGTTGAGTATGAGGAAGCGGGCGCGCCAAAGGGCCGATTCTGCTTGACTACAAGCAAGGAGGAAGAGGAGGCCGAGTAAAGTGGTGGGATATGAAGTGGAAGGTGTGATGTGCGAAGTCAACTATCATTTGATGTCGAAAGTTGTTTCTTGGTTCTGTTCCTGGCCTAATTAAGTATTGTCGATGGTGATGAACGTTATTAAGATGACATGTTCTCGGGGGCCAACTTAGAAGAGCACGATGGTGTTTATGTTAATCTCTAATGTGTTGAATCTGCTTGCAAGTATCCTAATGGCGCTCAAATACCTCTAGTTTATGTTTTTTTGGATTTCAAATGATTTACTATGGATGGAAGCCATGTGGTACCGTAGTTTGTAAATCATACCCATTGTATCATAAATGAAATTACAGAAGGACCCGATTCGCACAAGGCACAGAGTAACGTAGACGGTTTGATATTCCAAGGTTCGAAAAAGGCAAGATTAAATAATGGGTATCATATAAAGAGAAAGACAGGAAGTTAGATGGGGTGAAAGAAATCGAATCTGAGGTGCGAAAGGGATAAAAGAAGGTTCGAAAGACAGAATGGAAGCGTGGCGGGTCTGGAACGAGGTCAGGTTCATTTTCACGGCTCTTTATATGTGCCCAAAGGTCTAATCATGTGCGTCAATGGTACCGGGAACACAGAAGCTCCCAACTGAAATAAGATTCATCATCGGCAATGTCGGTTTTCGCCAATAAACTCAGACACTCAGGTCCGGGGATTGGTTAGAGCATGGACGAAGCCGCCAGCAGCCTGGTTCGCCTTACGGATACCACTAAGCAAACCAAGAAGGTCGTTGCCGATGATTGTGCCGAGATTATCCGAGTCATCGTCCGATTTATCGTCTGGAGTATCGTGTTTGTTATCCTCACTGGAGTCACTCTCATCTTGCGGACTAGCAGTCGAGGTTGGAGCCGCTGTTGTGGAGTCCTTGGGCTTTGCGGTTGCAGTCGCAATATCATTCGTCGCAACAGGGTCTTTCCCAGTGGTAATGGTGGTGGTAATGGTAGTCGTAACAGTAGTCGTGCCGACGGGCTGGTGTTCCTTGGTGGTTTCATCCGCCTTGGGCGAAGCAGAAGCAGATGAGGAGGAGGAAGATGAGAGTGAGGAGTCGGGTGCATTGGAAGATGGCAAACTCGTTGTCTTCGTTGGGTCAGTGGACGTAGAAGTAGATGCCGAGGTTGACACCGGATCGGGCGACGACGAACCGGAATCATTCGCAGGGCCCAGGCTTTTCCGCACGTCCTTGATAAACCCATCATTGGCGTATGCCTGCGTTGCATCCCACATCATCACACCCCCAAAGCTCTCGAACTTCTTCGTGTATGCAATAACTTTGGCCAACTGGGACGCTGGGATATATCCCGTGCTTGCCGCAGTTGTGAATGCCGGCACTCCGATGATGACCTTTACATCTTTGTTCTTGGACACCGTCTTAGCCCAGTTGTCCCACTCTTCGAAGTTGTATTTGCTGCTTGAGCTGTCGGTGTTGAAATTGTTGACGCCGCAAAAGTTGTTGTAGAACTGTACCCAGATCGCGTCAATATATACGGGGCCGTTGAGGATCTCTTTATCTGCCTGGTCGGGATAGGGACATTGCGGTGCTGCTGTCAAATAAAATTTCTGCTTGCTCTTATCTGCCTTCATCAGTGATCTCAGCTCGTTGGCAAATGCGGCCATGTTTTGGACATTGGCCTCGAAGTCGAAATCGAACCCATCCAAGGCAGCATCACCGAAAGGACGAAGGGCTTTGGAACCCTCTTGCTTGGGACCAAACGTCTCCCACATTAGTTTTGCACCGTTCTTGGCCTCTTCTTCGGATTTGAAGCCACCCTCGCTGTAGGTGGCTCCGCCGATTGAAAGAAGAATCGTCTTGCCCTTCTTTTGGCACGTCTGGATGTCCTTGCTAGAAGCTGTCAGTCATCTAGCTAGATATTAACACACGCGACTTAGCAATGCTTACCCAATCGCAGGACAGTTCTTTAATTGGGTGCCCTCGAAGACATCGCAGTCCTTGCTGGTCACAGAGAAATCAATCTCTGGAGCACCTCCTGGGCCATTGACCATCATATTGAAGGCCATTGGTATCACCTATTTTATTTTATTAGTGCATCAATCCGAAAGCTTTCCTGATGATCTGGTTCGTACATCAATGTCCTTGTCTAGTTTCTTTTGTTAGTTCTAACAACATCGAAAATAGATAGTTCACTCACTATCGCAATAGTGTGCCAGGGGCTGCTGTGCCTGGTCTCCCTTTCCATTAAACGAATTTTGGCCTTCAAAGTATCCCAAGTAAGTATTTATTAGCCCAAACAATGCGCGACTACATACCCCAGTAAGCAACAATGTTGCTGCTCGAGTTCAAGTCCAGCTTCGCCTCTGCTCCTCCTAGCGAAGCCAGCAAAATGGACCAAGAAAGGAGACCCTGGTAGGGACGCATGGTGGTAAGCGCAGTACAGTGTCTGCTCGGGTTATATATCTAGGTGTAGAAAAATAAATTAATGTATGGGACTATACAAGGTATAGAGACGGAAACCACAACGAGCCTCATCATGAATGAGCATTGCCCATCATTAAATAGTATAAAATGGACTTTTTTCCTTGGTATTTTCACAAAACAATGGTTGCGTTCCCGGTTCAAGTGCCTCACCCGGTGCCCCCAGCGCATGGTATGATCCACATGTCCACGGCAGCGATCTCAAATGAGCTTTTTAGTCATTCCTTTGTCCTGAATAGACATATTGTGTAGCTAATATTTTCAAATAACTATTTTGATTGGATTGTGGTGTGCTTCCGGCGCCCTAGTCTGCATTCCCCTGTTGTTGTCGGGGGACTGAGGGCAGGCCCAAGAATGCACCGAGGGATGAGCATGTGTGCTATACGATCAATTTCCCGGATATTAGCATTTGAGTATCCTGTTATAGAGACTGTAACCTATGTCCAGCTGTGAAGGTCAGAAGCCATATCCCTTGTCATCTGGGCGGCGGGGGCACACCTCCAGTTAGCCGAACTATATGTACATGCTACCGGCCCATATAAGGCAAACGACACAACGGTATAGGTTATTTGGCATGCTATTTCTGTAGAAGTTCTTCCAAAAGTTTCGAGGCTAAGGTCAATAAAACTAATTTGGTTGTTGGGTGACATTATATGGCATAAACAAGGCCTGTACTTCCAAATATATATGTGAACAATCCAATACCACAACCCATTAACCGGTGCAGAAACACCCAAAGCTTGGCCTGTCCAATATTATTTAACCCTCTAATTGGCATAAGTCCGACACTATTCCCCTTATGCAGAATGCAAGCCTCTATGTATCACATCTCGATAAGTCAATGCGGTTGCACGGGGTTACCAAATTGGGTTAGCGTCAAATACTACATGGAGGGCATTCTCAATTTATTTCGATCGCAAAAAACACGCAGCAAAAATGGCGAGGATAATATAAATAACACCTGCCAATTTGAAAAAGAAAATTAACATACAATCTCTCTAGGAATGTATCGGATCGCTTACCGAAGACCCAATTCATGGAAGTGTAGCCAACCTTTTCCCAGAGCAATCCAGAGATGGCCGGGCCAATGGTCATCCCGCTGGTTACAGCTACATCAGTCATAGCATAAACACGAGAGAGCCCACCGCGAGGTCCAAAGATGCCCGGAGTCGTTTTCTCGTAATCTCTAACAGAAGCTAGGAGTGTGTCAGTCAACGGTCTTACTCCAAGTCAGAACTCGGCAAACCGGGACTCATCAGTCACTTCTACAGGCCCAACACCAGTTACAAAAGGTTGCAAAACACCGAGGCAAATTATAGATGATATATACAATACAGGACCCCGATGGTGCAAGCTTGCCCAGGGGAAATGGTCATTCCCAGCTACTCCAACCAGGACATGGAACACTGCATGCAGGGCAAGACTGATGGTGATAGGCAATCGGACCCCGATGCGGTCACGCAGCCATCCAGCCGGTGTACTCAAGAAGAGAGCCTGGACCGAGAGGAGGAAGAACACTATTCTAACCTGTCTTGGTTTCCATCCAAATACCTCCCCTGTGTGTAGAGGAAGTGTGGCATGAAAACTCGTGAGAATGGCTGTAGTCAAGATTGTAACAGCCAAAGCTGTCAACACGCGACTGTCACGAAGCAGGAAGATCCAGAGACCGAATGTAGTCGACGCATCATGGGGCTCAATTTGTTCGGGGAGAAGGGACGTTGTTTCATCCGCATTGTCAGATGAAGCAAGGCTTGAATTTTGCGGAGTTTCTATCATCAACAGACGTGCGATGATATCAACAACCAATATTCCAACTGGTACACACCACGTCAACCAGTATCCCACAGAATCTAGTAGGATACCGGAGACCATCGGCCCGCTGATTATGCCAGCGCTGGCAAAAGACATAATTATACCCATCATTTTACCCATGTCACCTTCATGCACGGTATCTGTTGCGGTGGCAAGACCGAGAATCCAAACGGCGGAGCCAGCAATGCCCGGGAGGACTCAACCGAGAAGTACAACGATTGAAGGTGACCATGCAACAAGCAATGTTCCCACGACACATCCTGCAAGCGAGAAAAGCAGTGGTGTCCTCCGATTAGGCATATTGTCCGCGAAATTTCCAATTAGGGGACCGGCAATTGTAGAGACGAGGCCGTGAAGAGTAAGAATTCCAGCGGTCAAACGCTGAGTCTGTGAGGGATCTTTGTGGAGGCGATCTTGGAATAGGTAAGATAGCATAGACACGAGGAAACCGTAGAGAAACAATTCTAGATGCGTTAGGGAAAACCACAAAGATGGGGTACGAAGGAATACCAATAAATAATGCAATGGAAACCGTACTGATGATGAATCATCTTGAGGAGCGCCATGTATAGCCAATAGGCCTTGTGCCGGGGACGTCCATATTTGATGAACCATTTCTGAGTGAGCCTTAGAACAAAATTCAAGGGTGATAGTGGCTCAGAAAAGGTGATGACCAAGTCAAAAAAACCCGGACGTACCATGTACGGGGTGTCCTTATTTTGGTCCAAATACTTCACTTACGCTAGAATTTGGACAATGATGTCCTCATGATGGAGAAAGACCCTAAATTGAGACTGTTCATAGGCAATTGCCTAGAAACTAAGATGGAAGAACGTGATGAGATCTGACAGTGCATAATAGAGCCAGGGTATTCATGCAGGCTAGTGTGGGGTATCATGCATCATGCATAATGATCATTAGGGTCCCGCTCAGCCTGCAGCTACTCATTACTATTTGTTCGTAGGCTTCACCTGGCCTACCCAAATAGGGATATACTACCGATTTACAGCCAGCCAGAGCCAGCCACATTCTGCAGAGCAAATTGACAGTTAACAGCCACATTTCGCACGGAGTACCCGTGGATCAAATCAGTTCATTTGCTATTCCATATTAAATGCTAGTTTCATTCATCTTGATCTACTCCGCACTTAGAAGCCATATTGCGATTGAACGTGTGAGGTTGGAGATGAAATCAAAAAAAAAACCAAAACTAACAATATGGAAACTCAAAATCAGGCACTCTTGGCAAGGTCGTGCGAGCCTGCAGGTCAGAAAGATCGTGGGAACTTATATTGGAGTTCCTGGAGATGAGGAAGGTAAAGGCAGTTAGCATACCGTTGATCTGCAACAATCGTACGGCTTGGTTCTGTGGTGGATTGACCCCGGGGGGTATTGGGGGGAAAGAGAGATTGTCGCAGATGAAAGGAAGGGACATTGATGAATTGATTGCTGTTCTATGGGCGTGTTCTACTTGTATCTTGTATAAAAGTTTTACCACCTCATCGATGGCACAGCATAACCGCTTCTCTAGCATCAAGCGATACGATCGGGCGGACTACGAAAAATGATTCGCCGATTATAATGGAAGATTTCCTTCGCATCATCCTGGGCCATTAGATTAACGTAGTGTAGTGCCTAGTTGAAGTCTCAAGTTTCTTCGGAATAGTAGTGAGGGTGTATGCGGATGATCCAAACGTCAAGTTCATCCTCACAGAACGAGAACCCGAGAAATGCGTAGCTTCTTTCAATAACACTGCTGGTACCTTGATGAAGATGCCCGATAGCTTTCCACTTGTCATTCTTCGATATTTTATGGCCCGCTGGACTTATTCTTGAAGCTTAACCAAACTATCTACTAGGCACTTTCCGACCAGACTAATCCGGGTGATCCTGATAATGCACATGCGATGCGTCGGAACTATATCGAGTAGTACGTGATATCCCATTCTTGCAGTGTGCTCACTAACCTCTCTAGTATCGAGATGGCCAAGAGAACAATCCCAGTCGACCGTCTCTGTCATATCAAGCTTGAAGATGGACTCGGCTGGGAGCAAATCTGTCCGTTCCTTTATATGCCGATTCCCGATCAGGAATATCCCGATCGCAATGAGCCTGCGAGATATCAGGCTATTGTTACTGAAGTCATTCAGCTGATGATTACCAGAGCGATAATTAGATTTGCCAATGTTGCGGTTCCTACCGTCGGAGTTATCGGGGTGGGCAGCCGTGAAGTATGGGCCGATACCTTCTGCAGCTGTAAAGAAGGTCTGATCTTTTGAAATTCACAGATTATTTGCCGTGTTCTTTCATATCGAGGTATAATTTCAATAACTACAACCCTGCTCTCCACTGAGAATCATTCGTCTACACCTCGCTTAATATAGCCTCAGATGCCCAAAGGTCAGGGGCAAGAACGCATCTCCACATACGCTATAAGACACTAACCCAAGCGGGCCCCAGCCTAAAGATCTGATTTGACTCGATTCTTGCCAAGCCGGCCAGACCGACATTCGCTTGGCTAGCGAGACGAATGGAGGAGATTAATCCACTGAGAACCAAGCTCTTTCTTTAAGCCTCATTCGATTTCCACTAGTGATGGTAGCGTAAATATTCAAGCTCTGCTGAAAGCCTACAACTAGGATGTGCAACTGCACGAATCTCTTTTAACAGATCATTTATTTTCCTGCTTGCTTAACTTTCGCGATGCCGTATCTCGAAAACTTCGGCCCCCTAACAATAACCTTCACCCCCGCGCCCAGCTGTATCGCGACGGATAGACTGTCCCTCGCCCTGATCGATGATGACAGGACTCAAGTCCAATTCCATGTCTCCTGTCCTACATCAACGAGCAACTTTGACTGTATGCCGTCTCCCACCATCACGTCGGCAACATGGCGCGATACGCGCCTCCCTTGGGTTGGATACTACTCGCCGGGTTTGTACTGCCCTTCCGGCTGGGAGACAATTGGTATGGCAGCGCGCGATGGGGAGTCGCTATCTACTTCGGGATTTTTTACCGCCTCGGAAAAAAAATTTCGTTCTCTGATGTGCCTGTGACTTTTTTGGAGAGCTGGTTGGAGCCGAGTCAAACGATAGCGCTTTGCTGTCCCAGGTAAGTCAGCATCGCTTTGTTTACGAACTTGGGCTAATCGATCTAGCTCCATGACACCAAATGGTATCGGTCAATGTATCGCTCAAGTCCCGACATATACGCCCACCGTCGGTTGCCAGATCTATGTGTCCACTGAATACATTTTGTGGGAGATAACCAGAACACGTGTGAATTACAATATCACGACGATAACAACCAGGACTATGAGGTCATCTGTAAATGATACTACGTCGACTTTGTCTACATCCTTTTCCCCCGGAGTTGAGTCTACGTTAACGGCTATCTCTTCTGTTTCTATGATTACGATGCTGTATCATCAGTCTGATCTGGAGGCAGCTGCGGCTACGAGTGGGTATACCAGTGCCAGCTCTACTGGAACTGAGACTGGAACTGGCACTGCTAGCTCCGAGGCTACGGGAACTGCTGCTTCTACGTCAAATCCTGCGTATAGAATCGGTGGCAGAGCGTCTACTTTGGATGGATTTGGTGCACTCATGGGGAGTTTGGCTGTTGCGGTGGCACTGGGCGTGACCATGATTATCCTGTAATAGATCCTTGGCAATGTAAGATTCAAGCTTCATGTTCGTTCTAGACGAGGCACAGAGTAGGATTTTCATCTCCTGTAGTGATTCCTGCTTGGATGTCACAGTAGACATCAAGTATAGCACGTTGTCAAGTACCCTGGAGTGAACGTTGAATTTGTACCTCCAACAGCAAGCTTCTCCTGCAGTCCCTTAGCATCGGCAGTGTTTACATTGTATCTCCAATAAACTCGAGCAGCTGGGCTGAATAACTTAAAGTAGATCTCTATCCTATCTCATCGCACATGGATACATGTCACATGCGGCAAACGATTTCATTAGAGCGAGACCAAATATCATAACCAGTTTACCCAGACTTGAGCTATTCGGTATTTGCTATCCAATTGTTTTTTCTCCTCTGGACTCAGTTGCAACCCCCGATATCTTGCGTAACATTCACCCTCCAGTGTACAATAGCCAGCACCACATATTCCATCCTCTCAAACTATCCACACCTACAGGCATAGCAACCACTTCGTCATACACAGTACTCTAGTGAAGTGATCTACAGGAAGGTCCCTCGACCGGAGGCTCCATCGATTCCTCCTCCATAGTTTCAGATTGCGTTTCAAGGCCGCAGAGTTTCTCCTCAACTCCCTGGAGCACATCTAGTAATTCTTCGGTTGAGTCCTGTTTCGGGGCACCAGAGGATATTTCAGAGCGATTTATGGTTGAAGCTATCTGAAGTTGCTGTTGGATATCAGACCGTCCCTGGACCGTCTTCGGACAGTGTTTTGACTTGTTTGTCAGACTGAGCGTTTGCTTGATTGGCAGGGTATAAAGATACTGCTCTTTGCTGGAATGAACTACAATGTTTCTTCTTCCTCTTTCTCCCCTTCATCAGTAACCGTAACAGTTGCTGTATTCCTTGCAACGCTCTTTCGATATTCGGAAACGAATCTAGAAGTAGGGATGGAAAGACCAGCTTCGCTGTCATTCGAAGGCGCCAAAGCTCAAATATAGATTTTATTTTCGCCAGTAGACGCTTCAAGATGTTACATTGTGGAAGGCATTGTGATCACAAAACTGATATAATGATAAGGAGGACGACTAGAAGGGCCTTCCAGTCAAAATCAAGTATAAATCATTGCAACCTCCGCTTCCCAAACGGGTAGTCACGCGTACCTGTCTTATGACAACTTCACTTCTTCTTTATCCTCTTTTCTCTTCTATCTTTCCTCCTTTTTCTCACTCTGGGCCGTTCATTTCCTTCCCATCATACCTACTGTAAGACACCCATATGCGGTGAATCTCGAGTTTTTGGATACTATTACTGCTGCGTCAATTAAAGAGGATCCACCTGTGCGACTTGACAGAAATGAGACCCACCCGCTACTTCTACGAATCCACTCCTTAACATCACAACTCTTCCCAGCAGGTTCCTCTTATCTCTGCTGCCGAGTTTGCGACTGAAGCTCCAGAGTTAAGATTCACACATTCCCTCTTCCAATCCGCAATGGAATCGATACTTGGAACTTTTCCAGACAGATGGTTCTATCAACGACACAGTGAAAGATGGCGGGGCACCTTCTCCGTGATAAATACACTGCAAGAGCAGATAATGACAGTTGATGGAGTTCGAGATCAACGTTGTGTACGGAATGGAAGACAAGCATCGCGAACCGAGCAGGCTAACCTTTATACATCGCCGCTGCCTACCGCATAGTGGGGGCCTCACTTGATTCCCCCTGTCTTCACCTCCCTCGCCCATCCGATGTCCTCAGCGAAGGGGCTACACAGTCACGCACGCAACTATCTTAGTGCGACCCACAAGACAACTCCTGTTCGATAAACAGACACCAGTGTACGGTATCATTACCGTTCAGGAGAATATGCGCGTCTACAAATACTCTGATATGCTCCGAGATGTTATCAATTGGGCTCCCCTGGCATGAAAATGGGTGCGTGCTTGGATCTTCAAGATGAGGAAGTTCAACGCAAAATCATGGAAACCCCGGATTACACAAGGGAAGACCATTCAACCAGATGTCTTCGTGAATGGGTCCAACAAGACAATATTGCCTACACTCCTGTCGACGCCATCCAGAGAACACAAAATTAAAACATGGCAGCTGAATCGCAAACATTCTAGGAGCCATGATTGAAGTGTCTTCGGCAATGACAAGCAACCTCCTCATTTTTCAGCTGATTTATAAGGTCAAACAAAAAGAAAGCAAGTTCATATCGCAGGATATAAGGCCCAAGAGTCCCGTCCTCCGCGAAGGCACGTTGGTCATAGCGATGGACGGGCGAATCCACATGGACGTAATACATGCAAAACAGAGATTACGCTGACAACCGTTCGGCACGTACCCGGGAAATTGCATGCAGCAAGGAGCCAGATTGGTCAGTCCATCCGTACACACCCGTTGCAGATAAAAGCGCTGACAGCGAAGAGCACAGATCCCACATACCACGTCGATTTTGAGATTTTGACCGAAGTTGGTGACCAGTCCCCGGTTCCTATTACACGCACTTGTGCCACGACGGTCCTCTAGTGCGCACCCAGTGGGCCTCATTGCACAATGGCATTGTGACTAACGGCTCTTTGATCCTAGATGCCCGCACTTTGATGCGTCGACCGCCATCCCTAATCTCGTGCACCTCAGCGAGCAAAAGGGGGGTGAGATCATACCCACCGGCACAACTAATGCGGCTTATTATGGCCTTTCTGTTGGTCACCAAGCACATTCACCTGCAATTCTGGTGGACTCGGTGTGAGAGGTTAGAGTATGTCACTTGGTCGCTGTGTAGGTTCTGCAGGAACAGCATGCTGATATTTGATCCAGTTCGGCCCTAAGCTCCGCCTCCGCGACATTGAGCAAGCGGAGAAAGGTGGTTGGCCTCAATTGTAAATAATCCACCGGCCTATTGACGTATCAGTAGCGGTCAGAGACTGTGATTATTATCACAAAGAGGGCTATTTGGAGATACATATATGCAAGAATTGCGCGCTACAATTACAAAGGGTGATCGAACGAACACCTGTTACAAACGTCACTGAAGGCTTTCTTGGACTGGTTACTAGTCAGCGGCCGTGATTCTGTTGCACAAGATATTCGGAACCAGTTCTCGGGCGAGTCGGGATCCTGTCAGGGAGGCGAACACCCATCGGTGAAATCCCAAACTCGTGTGATTTCTGTCACTCATTCGTGAGATTGACACGGCTTGTCGGGTATTCTTGACAATGAAATCTGGAAGAAGCTCAAGAGAAATGGTTCGGTTTATACCCTGGACTCGCCAATCCATGCCTTCCAGGATATCAATGGAGAAATTCGGCGACAAAATTCAACCCTCGAAAGCCATATTGGGGTTTGCAGGTTTCTTCATATCGGAGACAAGATGACGGTGTCTTTTGCATGTCCTCTTTTTGTGGATTTCATCCACTTGAAACGTTACCAACAACATCCTCCAACTACCTGTCCAAAAGGATGTATGCAAGCGACTGATATACTTTTGTGATACCTCCCTGCGTTTGCTATGTGGTGCGGCAGGAATTGTTTGGCCATAGAGCCTTCCTATTCCAAATGGAAGGGAAAAAGTTTATACTGTCCACTAAGTGTTAAGTCCATAATATATAGTGTCGTGACAAGGATTATTATCACTACTGGTAGGGCCTAGAGGGATATTGATATTCCAGTATGTAGCTCTCCTGTTTAGATCTTGATTTGGCGTAACCTTTGTGCCAAGTCTAGTGACAGTGGAACACAGTGGGAAATAGTGAAACAATGCTTCCCATAGGAAATTCTGTTTCACAGAACATCCTAAATGCCAATCTTCATACAAATCGAGGTATAATTTCGCTCTAAATTATTTACAATTTTCTTATTCCGTCCACAATACGCCTCATTCCCTTATAGGTTGATATCGTTAGTTTACTATAGAATACACATAAAAAACAATAAAACAGATTTTCTATTCTATATATAACCTTAGAGAATGGTTAATATAATAGGCTCTTGCTAAATGCGTATATTACTAGCGGCCTAAAGAGGTATTTATATGGCAGCTTGATGTATCTTTGTGTATTTAAATTTGCCACACACTGGTTTTGTAGTGTAGTGGTAAGCACTCTGGTTTTTGAAATGATCTGATCATAAAATTACCAGCGACCCCAGTTCGAACCTGGGCAAGACCTTTAGTTTTTTATTTTATGTTGTCCACATCATCAGACTAATAGTTCTTAAATGGGTTTTTATAGTATACCTTGGTTTTGTAGTGTAGTGGTGAGCACTCCGGTTTTTGAAATGATTTGATCATTAAAGTATACCGGCAACCCCAGTTCGAACCTGGGCAAGACCTTTCTTTTTTTTTTTTTTTTTCTCACCAGACCATAAGACCGATTGTCAGGGAAGAAGCAAATGTATTGATATATACAAAGAGTAGTTAGCCGCTTATCTGCTAATGATGTCTTTTCAGAGCGACAACCTTCGCCGACAATAGACAGTACACGATGGCTATCACCCACACCGACCTGGGATGTAGGCTATATCTATTTCGGAAGTTTTGAGAAGCTAGACCTACCTACGGGCTTGGGTAACTAAAACCATCCAAATAAGGTACGTACTACGGAGAAAACAAGGGTACTACATATATTCTTCGCTAAATTGTGTATAACTATATGAATTAGGTTCCTGTTCTATAGACAAGGGCATTCTTCGCTAGAAAGTTAGTCATAATCTATCAAAATAACTAGATCTTTTACCATGCCCAATATTGCGATTATACATTTACGCTTAAACTTAAGTGTTCTTCTCTAATCAAATTTGTTTAGAAAAGACGCGGACAGAAAGATGACAATGGCAAACACTGCGCCAAAATCCATGGAAAGATCGCTTTCGTTCGACCTATATTATTTGAACGACTAAGCAAATTACAATATGCTCTTGAGGCTGGCCCTACTCATCCCTGTATCCAACTCATGGTTGTTGCAGATATAGATTCTGTGGATGGTTTAGGTCCACTCCATCTTTTATCACATAGGTGATCCTGGGTAAGTAACAACGGAACTTTGAATAAAGAAATTAAATGCATATCACAACACTTAGCTCTATCTCTATACCGATTTTCTTTTACAATTTACAAAGGGGATTGGTTCGCGTTGGATTAAATAGATTCAAATATATCAAAATGTCTTATTTCGTCTGCAATACAACGCCTTCTTTCCCGAATGGTTAATATCATTGGGTACAAACTATAATATGCATATACAAAGCACAATTTCTATATCGATTTTCTACACACCAGTGATAGAATAGTCAAGGTGAGAGGGTTTAGCTAAATGTGTATAGTTGCTAGGGGCGGCCAAAAGAGGTATTTTCGTATTATACTCTATTGACTTTTCACGTTCATTTGGGCATGCACTGGTTCTGTAGTGTAGTGGTGATCACTCTGGTTTTTGAAATGATATCGTCATTAAATTATACCAGTAACCCCGGTTCGAACCCGGGCAGGACCTTTCATTTTTATTTTTGTCGGCAAGACGTAATAATGGTAGAACGAACGCCAGGCACTCACTATAAGGAAAGAAAGTATATGTCAATAATACTAGTCAGTCTATATGAACTTTTATTTTTTATTTTTTATATAAAATCTTGCTTTTTTAAGGAGTTGGGAAAGTTAAGACATTGATCACGAAGACATATATATATCCATGAGATGTAATTTTCGATATAACAACGCAAGTTTTCAATCTACATACTAAAAATTGTATTCACTACTAAGAGTGCGTATCAATGGCTATCGTAAGATAATAATAGAAAAACGTTAGTGGTTGAGATATAAGTGTAGCATATATCGAATTTACTATTGCTACGCAGCTCGCATGTGAAATAGGTTAGAGCATTATTGCAGAACACAATACATCCCACATTTATCATATTGGCTACAGTATACTCTGCTTCATTTAGGAATATGAATAAATGAAAGATAGCAAGAAAGACTATGGGCACCCTTAGGCGTGTCTACTTCTGCAATTCTGAGCAAGTAAATCATTATAGGATCCCCATAGGATTCTGCCCGAAACTGGTGTCACTACATCACTCGCTGGATAGCGTTAATTCCCATAAATGCACCTGGCAGTACATAGCCTGACCCACCAATGTTGTCCTACCACTTCCAACCATCTCCCTATAGCCCGACATGGGCTCCACAGGGAATTCTCTATCTCCCTTCTCCTTGACTTCAATGTTCCTTCTATGAATCTCCCTTTTCCTCCTCTTGATAACCCTCCTCCTCCTTTTCCTTCGATTAATCCTCTTCTTACATCCATCCTCTTCACTTGACTGCTGGTGTCCATCTTGGACACCAAAGTGGACACTGACGTTAGGACGGGTAGTTGGGTCACAGATATGCACGATGACCCAGACTTATGACTCGGAATCGAAATTTCTGAGATCGAAATATTCATGGCAAAAGACAACGCCATCTGAGTGGGGTGACAAAGGGACATACATGGCGTGGGTGAGATTTCCTGATTGTGGTCTCGTTTCGGAGACAAGTTGAAAACAAACCTATCGCTGACCTATTAATACAAACCGATTACAGGGCGCCGGGAACAACAGCAGTTAGCAGGAATGCCTGTTAAAAACCTACCAATCATAACTCTCTTGACAAAACCCCAGGAGGATCGGATCACTTGAATACCCCCCCCAACTCTTATCACGTATCGAGAGATCATTGGAATACCCACTACGGTGCCCATTCTGCGGTTTCTGTGGTATTGCCGACCACATCGAAGGCAGGCCCTAACAGGGGTGCCTACCATCATGTCTTACATCTCCGGGGGAGTAGTGGCGAATCGCAACAAGTCGAAACTGCGACTGACTCACCAGATAGGGTTCATTATATCTCCTATATTGGAAATAATACTACGATGTCTTGATGTATGTCTTTCTGTGCCTTTGATATGTTTTTTATTCCGTCCGCAATACGATTGCTCGTACCAAAATGAAATCTCATTAGCCACAAAGTGTAGAATACCTGTAAGAAGCACAGTTCCTACGAAATGGAGTGTTCATACATAATCAATGATACAGAATGGTTGATTTGACGGGGCTCAAAAGGATATTTCTACTAGTACGCAATAGAAGTCTTGGCCGGCTCTCGAGTATGTAGAATGGGGGGTTTTGATTCATTCCCTTCCCTGTATATTAAGTGGCGAGGTAGTACATTTTCTGAACACGCTATCTAGGAGCATAGCTTGTACACGTCAATGTGGTATATCTAAAATCCACCCCTGGAGGGTACCGAGCATACCACTCCGCATATCGTTTATATCATCACGTTTCCATATTCAAGCGGCAATCTACCTCTTGATCCCAATGACACGCTGGATAGCTTCATCATTGCTCATAGCTGAGTCAATAACACCGGCAACCTTAAGCACATCAACAACACCTCCAATAATCTTATCATCAACTCCACGAGTAGCATTAGTGAACTTAACATCCTTAAGCCACTCCGTCGCATCTTCCTCAATATAATTGCAACCAAGCTCACCAGTACCCAAAAGCTTCACAGCCTGCGCCGTATCAGCCTCGAAATCCTTGATACCCCGATCAAAGGCCCGGAAAAGACTCTCCAATCGCTCGTCTTGCTCGGGGTGAGGGAAAATCGCCGTAGAAGCAACAATCATCCACGAAGGCCAGGGCGTGAAAATCTCGCCAATCTTCTTAAGCGGCGGATTCGGCTTCTCGGATGTAGGGTGGAAGTAAGGCTTCGTGGTGAATTCCTCCCACATGAAGAACTCAGCTGATGGGTTCGCTGCCTGATCGGGCTTTGATTCATCGAGACCAGATACACCATCCCGCAAGGGTCCGAAGGGTCCCAGAGGGACGGTAGTCAAAGAATCGGGTTTCCAGCCTTGTTGCTGGGCAAGAACGAAGGACATGATATGAGAGCCGCTGTAGGGTAACGTTAGTTTTCAAGCTACTGTGCTCGTCATGATTCAATGTTGATAGCTTACCTTCCCAGCCGGCTGACTCCAACCCTCTTATCCTTCAGGTCCGACACTCCATTGATCTCGTCACGGTTGCGGCCTGTGACTATAGCCCAGCGCAGAGGGTTGTCTACCCAGTGGCCGATGACTTTGTATCCTCCGTCTGCGGAGTTCTGGCTTGCTTGCTGCTTTCCGGCCAACCCTGCGACCCATCCTTCTGTCAGACCGATGGCGAGATCAATTTCATTCCCGCGGAGCGATGTGATCATATGGCCCGTTCCGGATGGAAAGGGAGTTAAGGCGAGTTTGAATGGAAGGGAGGAAACGGCCGAGGACCGGAGGGCCAGATGGAGTGGGGTTAGGTAGTGCTCTAGAAGTCGGTACAAGCTTAACGTTAGCTAAATTCTGTCTAATATAAAGTAGGAGTGATAGGCAGGCTTTGTTGAAACAAAGCAAGGAGTTTGGGCATGGCAGTACTGTTTTGCAGCTGATGCCGAAGCTCTGGGAGAGACATACCGGGCACATAGCCAATGCGGATTGTAGGCAGATCAGCCATTGTGGAAGTCCTAGCTGCGTTGAATCGGGAGAACAAACGATGAGAGTCTGGGAAAGATGAAGATGTTGACATTCCAAGGCGGGGCAAGCCCCTCACCAGACGTCGGAGAACCGGACAATGATTTTTTTGAAACACCCATATTGACATTATCTCATTCAAATTACAGATCTATAATGCTGGCCAATGCTGACCAATGCTAGTTATCTACATATTCTAGTCCAAGTTCCCTTTTCAGTTCATGCGAATATCCTTCTCGTGATGATCCCAGCTGCCATTCTGCTCCTTGAACTCGCCTGCGGGTTGGGAGCTGGAACGGGAGTGATAAGTGGTAAGGGGAATAGGGTGAGGATGGGAGAATGAGTTGGAGTGAGTGTGAGAAAGCGGGTTAGAGAACGAAGAAGAGAGCGAGTTGGAGTGGGAGTGGGACGGAGTTTGAGAGGGGGCGTTTCGAGTGAAGAAATAGAACTGGAAGCCCAGGTAGAAGTCGCACACGCACTGGAAGATTCCACAGAGCTTGAACGCCCATGGGATGGTCTCGGTGCTGTTGAAGAAGTAGCTCATCTTCATGGTATCACCGAGAATCCATGCCGCGACAACGGAGACTCGGAAGCCCTTGCACGAGCCGGATCGGTGGTTGGCAACGATTTGAGGAATAGGGAGGGTAGCCTCAGTGGCGAGTCCGATGTAGCCAAGGAGGCTGATATAGAATTCCGATTGAGCGATCGGGGTCAGGTGGATGACGGTCAAGATTCCGACGAAGTAGGCTACACATAACCAGTATCTTTGAAAATCGGCCATTAGCGTGAATCGCGGTTGGTGGAAGCGCCGGAACTTACGGCTTGGTATCCCTCCACTGCCAAAACTCATAAGGTCTCGAGGGTGAGCCATCAGAGTTACCACCGCTGAAGGGTGCGTGCTCAATTCCATGTCTCCCGCCGGCGGAAGGCCGATTATCCAGTGCAACCTTGAGCAGCATGACCTGCACCACGATCATGACAATTGCTTGCGTCAACAAAGTCCCAGAGTAGTATTCGCCAAACCAATAGAAAATCCTAATAATATTAGCCTTGGACCTCGAAGTTTGACGCGCCATTGATCGGGATCTTACTTCAGGATCGACGAAATCAGCATAATCAAAGGAATGTCCAAGGAGAAGCCCGCTGAGCTCCTTGTGCGATGAATGCTAACAATTTGGTCGGCATAGGACGTGATGGGGGAGCTGATAAGGCTGTGTAGCTTTATTAGCACTGGGGACGTGCGGATCAAGAGGTTCACGCCTACAAAAAGGGTGCGGCATAGTCAAAGGCAATCTGGAAAAGAGACATGGTGGGTGTATCCAGGATCGCTATAATCGACTTGCGGGAGGCGTTTTGTTGAATAGTCCCGAGCGATAAAAGAAAAGCTGGGGACAGAAAAAGGAGGTCAAACCAAAAAAAGGTACACTTCGGACACGACGGTTTTTCGCCGCTCCCGGGCTGCCCTGGATTATGTCAGCGGCCCACATGGGGCTTGACGGGGGCCACTTGGCGTAATTTCAGCCAATCAGATTTAATGAGAGTTTTTTATTAACACGAGGTCATTTGCCTATCTTGGAATATAAGAATTTATGTATAGATCAGTATGAGAATATAGGTATTGCTCAATTTGGATGTACTTACCTGACATCACAATGAGTCGTCGATTCTAAAATAAACTTGACATTCTCCTACACCTTCCGAATCCAAGGCTTTCATCCAATTGCCCTAAGCGTTGATCTCTCACATCCAAAATGAGCAATACTATCAGCAAGATCACAAAGGAAATCGAGTTCCAAGACCGTGAACTTCAGATTCGAAGGCGTGAGTTGGAGCTTGACTTCGAAAAGCATCAGCTGACAATTAGGCTGGCGATATCCAAGCAATGAATTATGCGGTATACTAAATAGCTGTCTCTCTGTACAGAAGGCTAAACACATCTTTACGGCTGCTAAATATCGTATGGAGTGAGAATTGGAAGGGATATATATTGTCTAAGGGACCATGTCAGGACAGAAATTCGGGCAGTCGACTTCGCAAAGATACTTGCGACACATCCCTCAATATGCGCGGTGGAAATTTTGGTGGAAGGTGAATACTGAATACCAAACAGAGGCAGTGGATACGAACAAACTCAGAAGGGGCCAAAAGTGCAGAAAACTCATTAGACTGGCTTCTCACCTAGAAGGGCAAAACTCCCTTCCTTGTCAACCTTAGCGTAAGAATGTCCATCGTGTCCAGCCTGTCTGCTAGTTTCCACGGCCTCTTTAGCACGCGGGCGCATCTGCTTCTCATAAGCTCTGATGGCGTCGCTAATTGACATGTGGCCATCAGCAGCCGACTTGATAGTATCCGCAAGTTGACAGGCGTCCACAATGGCATGGTTCACTCCCTCGCCACGGTCTGTTCAAGTTAGTTGGAGGCCTTGCCCTCCCAGCTGAATAGACAATAGACTTACAGATCACCATACAATGCGCTGCATCGCCGATCAAAGTGCAGGTACCGTTCCAGTTGTCCCATTCAACAGAGGGCCAATCAACCAGGTTGACCTTGGTAACGACAGTGTCCTCAGGCAGTGCCTCTACCATGTCCCGCATACGAGGGAAGAATGGTCTGCCTTTCTGCTTGAACACATCGAGTAAGGGCTGCTTTAACAGCTCCTCATCGGCGTCGGATTCAATCCAGGAGAAGTACACTTGGGCATGGTAGGGTTGCCCGGGAGTTGTAGAAGTGTCCAACAAAGACCAGAAGACAAAGGTATCTGTTTCTGGGTGCGTACCCATGAAATAGAGTGGATCGACATGGTCTTTAAAGTACTTGACTTGTTCCTCACTCATCGTCAGGGCACAGCCCACAGCATTGATGGGAAGGTGATGCAGCTCGTGGGTTGTGGGCGCGAGGAACTTGCGAACAATCGAGGTTGAGCCATCTGCACCCACCAGAGCATCCCCGAAAACATTTGAGCCGTCTGTAAACTCAGCTCGGACACCATCCTCGACTTTCACAATGTTGACAAGACGTTTGCCCCACTACAATGCGAATTAGCATTATGTCGTCAAGGGTGGGGACAATGAAAGCAAATATCAACCAACCTTGATATTCAGACCCCCCATAAGAGCCTTCCGGATTCCATCCCGTCTCAGCCGAAGTCTCTTGCTCTTCGGAACAGACTGCTCAACCTTTCCAGTGGCGCCGTTAATCCACGGTACACCGCGGACTTCATCACGGCCGATAGCAGGATTCACCTGTGCCTCACAAACGCCGTCATAGATCTCCGGCAGGATATGCGCTTCCCACGTAGTCAGGGTCGAGTGGATAGAAACACCCCATCCCTGGTTTCGCACCTCCGCGGACTCATCGCGCTCAAATACCGTACACGGAACCCCATGACGACGCAGGCCCTGGGCCAGCGTCAAACCGGCAATGCCTGCTCCGATATACACTTTGTCAGAACGCGATTCCAAGTGAGTATTTGGGCTGGTAGCATACGATGAGGATTCCCCCGTTGGGATATTTGGTTGAAACAGTGGAAGACATGGTGGCTCGATAGTTCTCTGGGAGATAGTGAATTGTAGATTTTACCGGGCGCTACGGCGGGTTTTATATGGGATTTCCTTCAACTGTGCGCCATTTTTGGACTAACAAAATAGGGGTTCGGCATTGTTCTGCCGTCGAGAATGAAAATATGAAACTGTTAAACAGGCTGGGCGATATTTTAGTTTATATACTGGCTGGTGGACCGGCCCACCTCGAGTGTAGATCTTCTCTCGTGCCTTCCCAATTGGGATATCAGGCCCTACCTAGGTAGCGTTATCAAATCTCCTAAACCCGACGCCCGCCTCATTTCCGCTGACAAATATAGCATACTCTATAATTCGTTATTCCACACTATATACTCTGTGCAGCTTAGGTTTAATAGTGTAAGACTAGTAATCATCGTTGTCTATGGTTCATAGTCGCGTGCCTTTGTTTTTTTTAGAAGCTTATAGAACTATTTGAGCCTAAACACTAAGTGAAGTAAGTAGGTAGAATCCTTATGCGGATATAGGCAACCTTTAATGGAGTAGACGAGGTCGGGAGACAAGAAGTGGATCTATCTAGATCAAAGTGGAGACTCAAACTCAAACGCGTCAACGTTAACGCGAACCTTTTCTTCATAAACAAACTTACATTATACAATCTTGTGTCTGAAAGACTCGATTTCCGAAAAAAATCTCACCTTGAACCACCCATCACGATGCAAGAACTTCCAAACTATCCACAAAACCTGCTGGACAGAGTCAGCGCAGCACAGCACACTCCCTCCGATTCCAACGCTAAATACGTCTTCCATGTCATCCACAGGAATGACGAAGATATGTCCGCGCTTGACGAGATAGACTCCGAGGACGAGGAGATGGGTTCCGAAGATGAGAGCGAAAGACAACGCACCTTCGACACCCTCGCCGAGGCCAACAATGCTGCTTTGGCTCTTTTCAGAAGCATGTATTTGGATTTCTTTGGCCAAGAAGACGATATGTCCAACTGGTATGAGGAGGGGACCGGTGAAGAGAGGCAGAATGAAGTGGTATGGGAAGTCAATGGCGACGGGGAGCTTTCGTTGAAAGCCCACGAAACCGAGGATGGGATGACATATGAGATTTATGTTTCTGCCTCAAAGGTCTAAGGATTCTGAGATGGAACGCGGAAGAGAGGGGAAAAGCAAAAGTAAATCTTGTTCTCATTGAATATTTGGTTGCGTACAAAGCTTCTTCTTGATATGGGGAATTTCATGTTGAGAATCAATAGTCGCGAAGCATGCAACACAACCCACCGAACCCAATCACCATCATGGCTTACTATAACAGTGTGTTTAGAAGTAGACACTTCAAGTGGAACGTGGTCACTCACGGTACGCGGGGTTTTGTCACTCTGCCCGGGGTGACCGTGAGCCCAGGGAATTCATCCGGCATTTTCTTCTGATGGATGTCAGTACGCTGTAAGTCATCCAGGAATGATAGTCTCACCAGATGGTCGCGTTTGATATGGGCACGGATCTTCACCACTTGAGGGTCGGTGGTATCGAGAGCATCGAACTTTGGGCAGTAGGGACACTTGTAGGCGCAGGGAGGAATCGTCTAGGAACAACAAGTATTAGCATGGGATTGGAATGGAATATTCTGGGGCTCACTCACAATGACTGCGTGCTCCATCGGCCATTGGCTTGCCTGATGGTCACCACAAGCGCAGAGCTTCTTGTTCTTTGGACTGACAGACTCGGTTAGCCATGTTCAACAGTCCGATCCAAAGCGATGCTTACAGCCATTTGGTTGGCGGCACATCCCTGCTGGCCTTCCAGTAATGACCATAAAGCCCGTAGTAAGGATGCTCGAGGGTCGTTACAGTCGGTTGAGATTCCGACGGGGTTGGCGACGCATCGGTCATGGTGGCGGTTGTAGGTGGATGTGCTTCTGAAGGGTAAAGTGTGGTGATAGTTCGCCTCTCAGATAGGGAAGCAGAGAGAAAATGGAAGGAACATCAAACAGGAAAGTGCATCTGATATGAGTTGACACGTGCCTAGGTGACTTTGCATTTCTGCGAGAGTAAAGGCTTGTAAAAGCAAACAACCATCATAAATTCGTTCCCACTCAAGTATTTACAGCACATACTTGAACAGAGGCGACTTGTCTCCCATATCGAACAACTGATCCTCAGTGTAATTAACCCTCGCATCATCTGCAAGCCTTTCCTTCTTTGCATTACCCAGCTTGTAAGTCCATTCGAGGAACAAAGCAACAAAGAATCCAACCCCGCCCAGTGCTAGACTGAGGCCAAATCCAGTTGGGTACCTGGGACTCTCCGTCTCAATATACATGAAGCTGCCCAGTATACCACCAACATTGCCGACGCAGTTCACGAGCGCAATTCCCATAGCCCGCCGAGACGCTGGGGCAATGTTGTTTGCATTCCAAGACGCTGCTCCAGGTTGGATGGGGTAAATACCGATGACAGACAGGACGACTGCAAAGTATGCCACTCCTTTCTTTTCTTCGAGGGCCCCATTCAGGGACATTATGATCGAATAAGCTACCACGACGATTACCATAGGGATGCAGACGAATGGCATTCGCCAATAGAAGCGATCAGAGAAGCGTGCAAAGATGATAGCAGATATCGCGCCGGCAACGTATGGAGGGGCTGAAGTGAGCTGGGCGTTCGTGGAGCTAAAACCCATAGCTTTGGTGATAGTCGGCATGGTAAATTTGGTACCTGGGTGCAAAATAAATTAGTATAGTATCTTGGATAGGATTTGGAGGGCGTATACCATAAGACAAGGCCGATTGGCAAAACAAAAGGTAGCCTTGCACGTATATCCTCCAGTTCAGGAGGACTATCTTGAGGTCTCTCCACTTGAAGCCCGTCTCCCCGGTACTAGTTCCTCCTTGCTTGATGAACATCGACAGTTCCAGGTAGCGAATTTCTTCGGGAGATAACCAGCGCTTGGATAAAGCCGGGGTATCAATGAGGAGGAAGAAACATGAAATACCCAGTGCCACACTAGCAAGGCCTTCCAGGATGAAGATCCAGCGCCATCCCTCGAGTCCAGCAATACCGTCCATCTTAGCAATAGCGGCAGCCAGGAGGCCGGAGAAAGCACCGGAGAGCGCACTGGCACAGTAAAAGTATGAGATACGAAGCGCTAATTCCCTAGGCATATACCAGTAGGAGCAAAGGTAAATAGCACCAGGGAAGAATCCGGCCCTATAAAGCAGAATATTAGGATGAAGTCAAAAGGTAGTTGATTAGTGTCACTGACTCAAAAGCACCAAGTAGGACTCGCGTGGCCATAAGACCAGCAAAGTTTTTAACCAGGCCTGTGCATGTCATGACAATACCCCAGGTCAAGACAAGAAGACCAAGGTACACCGAAGGGCGCTTAAACTTTTTGAGTAATATGTTACTAGGAACTTCAAGTAGAACGTAGGGAATGAAGACTATATATCACGAGAGTCAGTACACCTCACAAAACACTAGCCTGGCTGGGAACAAGCTAAAAGAAACGAACTTACATATAGAAAGGACAGTATTATACTGCAAACCAGTCATCTTCAGATCCTGAACCATGCCTTCGATTTTCGCATTGCCGATATTCGCTCGATCGATATGGCACATCAGGTAGAGCACTGCGAGCATGGGGATTAAACGCTTATCAACCTGGATAGAGAATTAGCTGGATATTATACGAATGGGTGTCAAATATTCTCACCTTATGGAAGACCTTTTTCCGTTTTTCCTCAGGATAATTATTATAGAAAGCTGCATCGTCGGGAGTCAAACCGACGACACGAAAGTCTCCAACCTGCGTAACCAGCGAAGGCTTAGGAATGTTTTCGATATGAGAACTTTGATCAACGATCTCGACATCGTCTTTCCCGATAGAACCGCGGTTCATAGCTGCGGAATCTAAGTAGTATGCAACCTTTGGCTACTTCAAAAAGACCAAGCTGAAGATATATTCTTTAAGATATAGAATCTCAGAAGAACGACAAAACCAAATCGACCAAAAAAGCAGATCAACTAAAAAAGAGACTATATAGGCTATATAACAAGCTACACCGAGTCGGATATCCTTAATAGAATGGCGGAATAATTTCATATCTCATTGTCTACCCCAGTCTTGGCGACTATGCTCTAATAGCCAAGAAATGCGGGGAAGCTTGGCCATTGAAGGGCCGTGACCCTCCAAAATTATGCTGAAAGATCTATTGGGGTGGCCGGCAGTGGTCTTTGCCAAGGTGAGCTTGTTGACAGATATCCAGTCAGAGCACGACATACTGCGGAAAGCACGGACAATCACCGCGGGTGGGCATGCGGGGTGGATGTTTACTCCAACAGAGTGATGATGGGCTTTTATCCGCGCCATTCTCCGGGCCTTTGTCCGGGTCTTTCTCCGGTATCTGCTCCGGCCTTGCTTGGATATGTGGAAAACTTGTGGAAAACCCTTGAATGTAATACAGTCCAACCGCTAGACCGTAGCGAAAACCAAGCTACCTGTTTATGGCCTAGGTAAGTTACATTATTGTTTAACAGAAACTACTATTTGAGAATTCTAGGCAGAAAGGAGACCTTTCAATGTCCACAGGAGGGTTCTGCCTGGAAGACGTACAACATATGTTAGCAGCATTGTATACGGAGTACTCAGTGTCTTGTCTCGTCAAGAATCATATCTCAAGCCGCAATAAAATAGATCGACACAAACCCGTGGAAGTTAATAACATTCCATTGGTGGAGAATGTGGTCATGCACGAGCCGCAGCATCAAGATCATTAGATTCCACACACGGCTTGAGCTAGCCATTCGGCAATCTGGCTCGCCCGCTTGGGAAAAGCACCCGGGAAGAGCACAAGCCTCTCGATATACGATAAAAAGCATCATACAAACCCTAAACCAACCCAGTGGCGGTTCACAGCATAGTCCGAGGTGGAAACGTAGCTAGAACAGTCACCACTTTTAGTCTTTCCTCTTATGATTACATGTTCCAATTCGAATACAAGCTGGCGGGTCATTTGCCGAGCAACTCGCTCGGTAGTCGTGCGAGACTGTGTAAAGTACCCCGCATACGTCTTCTGTAAGTGTGCCGGACAACTTCCGGGCGGACAAAGAGATATGGCGCAGCGCTAGATCCTGGAGGGGTGTTTCCCTCCACTAACAATTTATATAAAGAACCAAAAATGCTGTTCATGTCATGCAGGCTTATAAACTTCCAATAATGTGAATATTGCATACATGTACTGTGGGAGAAATAAAATATATTGCTCAGAACTCGATCCGCCATGTCTTTCCAATGCCAACATTGGGCTTCTTCACCACAACATATGAAGCCTTTTCACCATCCTGCTCGTAGAACTCCAACGAGGCCTTAGAGGCCGACTTGGCTCCATCTTCAATGACAGTCACGGTGTCCTTAAGCTTCCATTCGGCTGGAGGGTCAACGAGTACCACCCGCTCTATCGTCACACTAGCCATGGTCTTGAGGTACTCAGCAGTCTTGGGTCCCTTGGTTCCAATGTCCTCTGACGACAACACCGACTCGCGGTAGTTGAAGCGGCGGTGAATGTAGGCGCTGCGCTCGTAGTCGAATGTCTCGCCGTCATCCACGTACAGAGTACCTTCCGCCTCGCTGTTCTTGTCTAGCGTAATGACCAAGGTATACGGATCCCATCGCATAAGACCTGTGCTGCGACGAGGACGGTCCTTGCGGGGGATGATGTGACCACCCTGGATCAACACAGGCACTTTCTCCTCTGGGGCAGGGACGGTGTGTTTCTTGCCCCCGCCCTGGTAGACGGTGAAGTCAAAGTAGTCGTAGTATTTCTCGTCGTCGGAGATATACACCTCTGCGCTGTGAGTGTTCTCGTGCACAACGGGCTTCACGAGAATACCCGTGGAAGCAAGGTACAGCTGATCATCAATGGCAAAGCCTTGCTCGTCCTCTGGGAACATGTAGTACTGAGGCCGCACGATTGGCGTACCGTTGACTGAGGCTTCATGGAAAGCAGTGTACCAGGCAGGCATAAGTTGGTACCTTAGGCGGATTGCCTGAGCGATGTAGGACCGGTGCGGTTCGCTGATCAGATACGGCTCACGACGACGAGTATCAATGTGAGCATGTGCGCGGAAGAAGGGATACCAGATACCTGTCTGGTACCAGCGGGTCAAAAGGTCCTTATCAGGGTTGTGGAAGAATCCTCCGACATCTGCGCCGGCAAAGGGGAAGCCTGCGATACCGTTGGTCAGGACCATAGGGATAGAAGCTCCCAGGTGGTCCCAGGTGGCCTGGTTGTCTCCAGTCCACATAGCAGACACCCGCTGGGCCCCGGAGTAGTACGAGCGCGTCAAGATGAATGGCCGGCGCACCTCGCCCTTCTTGCGTTCCAGCATTGCTTTGTAGGTGGCGTTCAAAAGGGTGAGGCCATTGAGGTTGTGAATATCGCGATGCTCCCAGTTTCCATGGTGCAAGTTGTCCTTGGGCATGGTCATGTCAGGCCCGTTGAAAACAGAAGGTTCATTCATATCATTCCAGATGAAAAGATTCTGAAGCGATCCCTTGAATTTGTCGAACTTGTGCAGGGTGGCCCACCAGGCTTGTGCGGCGGGGTTAAAGCAGTCGACCCAGTTCGAGGACCCTGGCCAGCACCACCCATCGTAAATCTCGCCATCCTTGTTCAGGACAGCGAGATTTTTGCTTCTAAGTTCCTCGGAAACAAAGTACTTGTCCGCGTTCTTAATGTGAGGATCGATCAAAACCACAAGCTTTCGCTCAGTTTCATCGAGCTTGTGCTGCATACCCTTGGGGTCAGGGAACGTGAGGGGGTCCCAAGTGAAGTATTTTCGGTCATCGGTGTATTCAAGATCAAGCCAAATCACATCGTACGGAATCTGGTACTTGTCGAACTTGGCGTTGACTTCCTTGACATCCTCATCCGTAACATAGTTCCAACGGCATTGGTGATATCCAATGGCAAACTGCTGGGGCAATTGTGTGTACCCTGTGAGTTCACCATATGTTTTACTGATATCATTCGGCGAGGGCCCGAGGAAGACGAACAGGTCAATCTGACCGGATTCGGACATCCAATGAGTCTGGGTATCTGTCTTGGAGCGAGCACCCAAGGCAAGAGGGTTGGAGGGGGCAGTTGATTTGACAATATCGATCCAAGTCTCTGCTGCATTGAGCCAAAAGACACCGACGGTAGAACTCTTGCGGTGGGCTTGCATCAGCGGAATGGCTCCGTACAAGGTCATCGGGCTTTCGAGTTCATACTCGAAGACATCCGAGTTGTACAGACGGTAAGGATTCTCATGGTTGCCAGGTCCACCTCTAGTCTCCTTGAGCGAGAGCGAATCTGCATGCTCTGGGATACCAAATACATGACTATAACCGGGGAAGGTGATATCAAGAGCAATACTCTCGGGACCACGAGGCTTTGAGTCAGTATTTCCTCCAAACGTCTCTTCCCACCAGGTGCTCTCGTCCTCGCCGGATTCGTGGTCTTTCTCTACCTTCGGTCGCCAGTGCTCCATGTTCAAGAAGCCTTGGTGGTTCAATTGAACATGGGTCTCTCCGTCTCGCTGGAATTCGACACCAAATGGCGCGTGGCGAACGATTGCTTGGAATTTGTCACCCGGCCCGTATAAAATGTTCGTGAATCCGGTTTCGCTTTGGGCATTCAGTGTGGCCGACTTGCTGATTTCCAGACCACCCACGATAGCCCATTTTTCAGTTTCATCATATCGTTTCTTGTTCGCTTGGCTGCCGTGTCGCATTTCAATGTCGCCCTTCATCCGCTTCTCTTCATCCACCACAATGCGGGCGGCTCCCGATTCCAAGAAAGACACCGTGAGAGGTAGCCGGACCTTCTCATTTGTAGTTGTCGTTTTGAAAATGACTCCATTAAGGATGCCACCTTTGAAATGTACGGTGGCGGGGTCGAGCTCATAGGGTGAGCTCCATGAAGTGCCTTGGGAGGCGTTATCGGCGTAGGCACGGTTTCGTTTGCAGAACCCGGACTGCTCGCAGGTCTTGAAATCCTGGTGCTTGACCGCCACTGTTCATAACATGAGAGTTAGCTTTCTGTAATCTCGCAATTTGGCGAAAGCCAGCCTTACAACCGGGGACGACAATGCATCCGAGGAGGATAACCAAGGAGAGCAACATTGCCCAACGGGGCGCAGGTAGACTCCTGGCCATGATGAAATAAATAGTATGATCAATCAGAGACCCTCAATCTCCGACAGAATGGCGTTGGTTATCAATGGTTGACCTGCATTTAGAGGCGGAGATGCCGTCAACAGAAGCTACAAGCTGGCCTGAGCTGGGGTAAGACACCTCAGGCAACAAGGCAGCAACAATAGCTTCCAAACAGCCAATCAGGTTGTTTTGCCTGTGAACCAATTGGTGTACAGTATACACGATATGAAGATATGAACTCCCTACTGCTCTTATATTGTACATCTACAAGTCCGTGGATCAAGGATATTTATTTGGGTTGCTATAAGTCTCGATCTGGCTCTAGCTCGGCTTCTGCCATGACAACCAGGTGTTTGCACAGTATCTGGAGGTCGAAAGTCGAAAACAGCGATCTCTTCTAGCAGCCACGGACCATTCAGAAGCTTGCAAGAGGTTGATCCACCCATGGGGTGACATTTCACTGTCTTCCGGAAGAACCGACGGAAGCGTTTCGGTTTTCCTAGTTAGATTTCAGCTCCCGGAGCTAGATATATATACCTAGGTGAACAGGATAGTACCTCTCAGCGATATAGTAGACACAATCTTCTTCCTCGGACCGGACCAAAAATCAAACATCTCGGAGCTAGAAATTGAGGGCCAGTACCGAAGATTAAATTAGGATGAGATAGTGCACATTCATTGAGCTGCAGCTGAACTTCGGGGGAAACAGCTGGGGGCTAGATGCATGGTATGATCCCATGTTAGAGATTTTGGCATGGGAGATGGGGGTCTCTGAATTGGAATTGAACTGTTATCGTCGAGTAAATAATTATTTTTATCATTGTAGTTGACTGAGTGCATGAAGCAAAAGCGTCTATACAACTTCCAAGCTTTCAACGGTAAGGTCCACAACCGATGGCCTTATAAATCTGGCAACAACACCCCTCCTTGCCCACCAATCAGCCCAACTGGGAGGGCCCGAATTTTTTAAAAGCCTCTATTTAATCTCCCCCTCTTCCCGCTCTCTTTTCCTACTTCATCCCCGAATTATTCAAATACATTCAAGATGTCCGCCAACCAGGAACAGACGTATGTACAATCATCCCTCAATCTCCCCTCAACCCCCCTTTTCTGTCGATTGCCCTCGTTGCCGGTCAAGCTAACCAATTGCTTTAGTTTCATTGCCATCAAGCCCGATGGTGTCCAGGTACGGACACAGCACTACTCGACCCCGAATCCATAAAGGATCCGGAGGAGTTCACAGAATTGAACGACCTTTACTGACAATTCCAACCAGCGTGGACTCATTGGCCCCATCATCTCTCGCTTCGAGAACCGTGGCTTCAAGCTTGTTGCCATGAAGCTCACCTCCCCTAGCCAGGACCACCTCGAGAAGCACTACGCTGATCTCGCCACCAAGCCCTTCTTCAAGGGTCTCGTCGCCTGTTAGTTAACTCGCTCGAACCATTCCGCAAATCGCAAGACACTAACACAGCTCTAGACATGCTGAGCGGCCCCATCTGCGCCATGGTCTGGGAGGGTAAGGATGCCGTCAAGACCGGCCGTGTCCTCCTCGGTGCCACCAACCCCTTGGCTTCCGCCCCCGGTACCATCCGTGGTGACTTCGCCATCGTAAGAAACCCCCCAATGTTATAATGTCGCGTTCTTCCATACTGACAACTTTACTAGGATGTCGGCCGCAACGTCTGCCACGGTTCCGACTCCGTCGAGAACGCCAAGAAGGAGATTGCTCTTTGGTTCGGTACCTCCGAGGTCCTCAAGTACACCTCCGCCCAGGCCGCTTGGGTTTACGAGTAAATTCCTCGTCTTTAAGTAGACTGGTCGGGCGGACTTCCTTTTCGGATACCTCTAGCATAGAATAAAGCAGCGGTTATGAGGAAGAAGTCCAATGGCTTGGAATAATACACAATATACAAATTCATATATATGAATACGGTTCTCCCTGATATCACAGTAATGCTCGGCTAGCTCAAGCTCTGCGGAAGAACCGTCTGGCTAGGTTTGCTGCCGGTGTAAAGACTGACCTTGCAAACCACGGTGTCGCCCAAACACTCGCTGCCAACCGGGCTGGAAACAAAGCTTTCGTGATAGCATAGGCCGTGGCAAATTCAAGCACCAATCGAACCCCTGCTCGGTCCATTGTCTTCTCCCCGGTTGTTTCATGCCCCGCGACGGTACTCACGTCGGCTTCATCCACCCAGCCTTTCTTTTTCAGCCAGCGGCCGAAACGCGCAACTCCTTCGTCGAAGGCATTGGTCTCGCCTGTCTGCGATGCAAGATCCGGAATCCAGGCGCCGTAGTGAAATGCGCCAACCAATCCGAATAGTGGAAGAATAGCAGTGATTTCATGAAGTATTAGAAATGATGTGATATGGGTAACTGGCGCTCCAAGTAAGGGTGTGGTATATGTGCGGAGAAAGCGAGGGAGGCGGTCATTAAAGCGACACAGGCGAGAGCGAGAGTCATTGGGTCTCGGATGTGACGACTTTGGTGGTTGTGGAGGAGGAGGAGTAGAAATAGTTCGTCGCGACGCATGCGATCTAGTGTTTCGAGCTGTTTGGAGACGGATATAGGGGAGAAAGTTGGGTGGTCTGGAAGCCATGTTTTCGTGGAGGAATTGGCTTAACTGGCGGAGTCCAAAAAGATATTTTTTGTATGTTCAAAAGAGAATCGTCCTCCGACGGTTAGTATATAGGAATGCAAAACAGTCAAGTTAAGCTCGTCGATCCCGCTATAAGTTGGAAATCACCTCGGGAGGATGATCTGGCTGAGTCATCTCCAGCGCTGACACTTTTTTTTTCTTTAGCTCTTCGGGATCAAGATATAGTCCCTCCTTGCAGAGAAACAGTATTTAAGCCTTTAAATCCATTTGTAGTGTATTTGCCGTAGACCCTTATTGCGCGATGGCCACTCGGCAGCTGTAGACATCATCGTTCCCGAGCAGATGGTTACATATGGTCCACTTTTGCCCGAATCCTCTCTTCTTCATCCAACCCCTCCCATTGCCGCCCCATACACCTAGAGGACGCAATGGAGAAGAAGATCACTGAGAAGATCGCGGCTCTGCCGCCAGATGCCAACTACTTTTCACTGGAGTTCTTCCCTCCAAAGACCCGGATGGTGGGGGTTACCCCGCGTGCTGAACACATCGTGAACATTTGCTAATGAGGCCTACTATAGGGTTTCGCCAACCTGTCCGCGCGTCTGGAGCGGATGGCTCAAGCACTCCGTCCCCTGTTCGTGACGGTGACTTGGGGCGCCGGTGGTAGCACTGCGGCACGATCGCTCGAGCTGGCGGAAGTATGCCAGCGCCAACTGCAATTGACGACCGTCCTGCACCTGACATGTACGAACATGAGCCGCAAACTGGTGGATATGGCTCTAGACGAGGCCAAGGTTCTTGGAATTCGCAATATCCTGGCCCTGCGAGGAGACCCACCCCGCAGCGAAGAATATAACATGCACGGAGAGGATGACAGCAACAAGGATTTCACTTTTGCTGTTGATCTCGTACGGTATATTCGCCAGACACATGGCGACTACTTCTGTGTTGGTGTTGCCGCATACCCGGAGGGCCATCCTGCCGACACTTTCCAAGACGTCCAGGATCCGGTCAGAGATATACCTTATCTGGTCGAGAAGACATTGGCTGGGGCAGATTTCATCATGACCCAGCTGACCTACGACATCGAAGCTTACCAGAAGTTCGAGAACATGCTTCGCAACCATGAGTCTGGTGCTTTCAAGACCATCCCCATCATTCCGGGCTTGATGCCCATCCACAGCTATAAGATTCTGACTCGGGTCACTAAGCTTAGCCATGTCACCATCCCACCTCCCATTGCCAAACGCATGGAAGAATTGAAGCACGACGACGATGCGGTCAAGCGCGCGGGTGTGGATATTGTTAGCGAGATTGTGGGTGGCATGAGAGACATTCCATCCCCAGGGCCGCGGGGATTCCATTTCTACACCTTGAACTTGGAGAAGACAGTATCATTCATCCTGGAACAATGTGACTTGATTCCGGCATTCTCGGATGCGGGAGACCTTGCTATCGATGATGATCCTGCGTCGATTCCACTCGACTTCCCTGGACGTGTGTTGCGAAGACGTCGTGCGTCCTCTATCAACTCGCAACCCCACAACCGCGTCATTGTGGACAAGCTATCTGCCCACGACTCATCACATGCCTCCGATCATGAAGCCCGTGCAGACAGCGCAGGCATGCCGGCACCCCCGCCAAACCGCAGCACTACTCTTCTCATCTCCGAGGGCCTTGGTGCCCTTGGCAGGGAAGCAACATGGGATGACTTCCCCAACGGACGATGGGGTGATGCTCGCTCGCCAGCTTTCGGTGAGATTGATGGGTATGGTCCCTCGCTTCATATGACTGCCAACTCCGCACGTAGGCTATGGGGTCACCCGGTGGACGACAAGGACATGAGCACACTTTTCCGGCGCCATGTCTCGGGCGAGCTACACATGGTTCCGTGGTCAGAGGGTGGTGCCGAGGAGGATGGTGACGGTTTGAACGCAGAGACAGATCTGATTCGACCGGAGCTGTTGAAGCTCATTGATGGCCGCGGCTGGTGGACACTTGCCTCGCAGCCCGCCGTGAACGGTGTTCGCAATGACCACCCCATCTTTGGCTGGGGTCCCCAACGAGAAGGATTCGTGTTCCAGAAGCCATTTGTGGAGTTCTTCTGCTCGAACAACGACTACACAAACATCCTGAAGCCCATATTTGCTAAGCACGGCCACGACAAGCTCACCTGGTTCGCGACAAACATCAAGGGCGATTTCGAATCCTCGCTCCCAACCCAGCCTGCCGATATGGAGCTCGATGACCTTGGCGACAACCCCGACAGTGTCAACGCTGTTACCTGGGGTGTATTCCGCGGCAAGGAGATCGTCACCCCAACCATCATCGAGGAAGTGAGTTTCCGTGCTTGGGGCGAGGAGGCTTTCCGAATCTGGGACGAATGGCGTCGCATCTACCCCCGTGGATCACCCACTGAAACCTACCTGGACACAACCAAGAACGACGCTTGGCTTGTGTGTGTTGTTGGCCAACAGTTCGGTGCTGGTACCAAGCGGGGCTCCAAGGAGGAAGAAGACGAGGTCAAGTGGATGTGGCGGGTTTTGGCGGGTGAGGATGTTTAAGACTGGGTCTTCCTACAAATCGGGATAAAGATATACCCTGTATCAAGAAGGGTTCTTACGGTTGACGGTTTAATGAGGGCAAGCCTGGACATATGAACTATGAATGGCACAAAATATGGATTTCTGTATACTAGTCTTGACCCCATCCCATTGAGATGAATATTACGATTATGCGTGCGCTCCTGCTTTTATATATGCTTCATGTTGATTGATAGATTTCATACGCCAATTGCTAAGCAAATGCTTCTATAAATACGCACCGTTTCTCATGCAAGCGTTTGCCAGAAGCGATCCTCATTGCTGCAGACATGATCACAACTTCTCGGCAAAACCGTGTTCCTCCAGTCCGCTCGCGTCGGTGTCCGGGGTAGCGATCTCGGACTGGGTCTGGGACTCGTTGAATTTCTGTATAGCATCCTCAAGCCCGCCCCATATCTTGGGCATGCGGCGGGGTTGGTTGGGCCCGTTGGCCGGGAGTTGGTATCCACGTAACCTGAAAAGATTGTTAGTTTTGCGACAAAATAACAAATTCGGTATTGGCATACCTAGGACCTGCCCCGCTACTCTCTGGCATCGATGAGGCGTAAACACGAGCAAACGTCTCAACGTCCTGATCGAAGGACCCCCGTTGAATACTATCCCGCACTCCGGCGAAGAAGGTATCCATGACGTGGAAATTATGGACTTGAAGGAGCGCCCAAGCGGTCATCTCCTTGGCAAGTAGGAGATGGTGGATATAAGCACGATGGTAATTCTTGCAGGAATAGCATTCACATCCCTTGCCCAGCGGAGATGTGTCTGTAGCGTGGTCTCCAGTCCACAGATCGATGCCCAAAGGCCGACGCTCGGACTTGCCCTCTTGCAGAGCAGCTGGAGCGGGGAAGACGAATTCCATCGCGATACCGCCGTCTGACGCTGCGCCCAGCAGGGGCGTAGTCAGGAGATCTGCTCCGAGGGATATGTCACGCAAAATAGTGTGAGGAGTCTCGGGCTCACTGAAGAGCAATCGAGGAAGGTCCGCCAATGATTCTGGGACGAATCCCAGTGACGCAGACTGATATAGCGCAAGACCGGATATATCCCATCGGAACTCGCTCTCCAAATCATCCAGATAGAGGGACTGCTGCGCGTTATCGAGAGGCAAAACAGGTGCAAAAAATGCGCTCTTTGACTTGTCTTCCTCTGCGACACCGTCCCCGTAGAGTTTCTCCAATGCCTCTTGAGTCCAGGCATGTGTCCGGTCAACCATTTTGCCCCGCCTCTTGGATCCGGGCTGTTTATTAGCCAGGTCCACCATTCCAACTGCAATATCCGGTCTCAGCTTTTGGATTGACTTCACATAATCCGTCGCAGTCAACTGGGTGAACCCGACTGATGTCAGCAGCGCGATGGAAGTCGATGTGTTCGCGGGAGGACATGGGATCGGAGGGAATCGCCGCGGGCCCAGGATCAAAGGCATATCGTCGGCCACACATATGAATTTCTTCAATGGCGACTCATGATTTGCGGCGGGTGTCTTGTATACGGGAGCGTCCTTTTTCGCGATGACTTAATATATGCCATGGGCTGTCAGTTATGTCCAGAACAGATGAAAACCAATTGTAGTCATATATTATTTCGCTTACAATCTTCCAATCCAGCATACAAGCTGTTGATCTCAGTGTGGTCGCGCATCACATCGTGCGCAACATGTGGGACTGTGCCCCGCGAAGTGAGCGGGACATGGTGCGGCGTCGCGAGGGTCTTGCGGCCTGGAATGGCCAATCTACCTACTCGGGGCGCAAGGACTGGAGCAGTGGATGTCAGGACACTGAAGGTCATCGCTGGGGACGCGGACGTCGCTTGGTCCATGGCGTTACTGGTTTATTGAAAGAGCGTGTTGGGGGCGCCTGGATCTTGTTCTTATCGGCCAAGAGAAATTGGATTTCCCGATAAACATCGCCCTCAATATCTTCCAGAAACATCGTTGGGCTATTTTGCATATATTTAAGTGGAACTGAGGATCTTAATTTAAAATTCTCAACCCTTCTATACCTAATCACACCCCGGAACTCCAGTCAATCATGACAGGCACATCAGCGACGCCGACGCGACGCGGAGCGCTCATTGTTGTCGAAGGACTCGATCGCGCTGGCAAATCGAGTCAGTGTGAGATGCTACGGGATTCCCTCTCGCGGCAAGGGCATGTGGTTAAATATATCCGATTCCCAGGTACTTATTTGCTCTTTTATTGTGCGTGCCATTGGTCTAACAATGTCTAGACAGAACGACGCCCATCGGGCAATTGATTGATAGCTATCTACGTGGCACATCGCACCAAGACGACCATTCCATTCACCTTCTTTTCTCGGCGAACCGGTGGGAAATTGCAAAGAGCATTGAAGAAGATATCGCGAACGGCACAACGGTCATTGTAGACCGCTACTCATATTCTGGCGTTGTCTACTCCGCCGCGAAAGCGAACCCCACACTATCATTGGAGTGGGCATGGCAGCCGGAAATAGGTCTACCGCGCCCGGATATCTGCCTATTCCTTAGCATTTCACCCGAGGAAGCAGCAAAGCGCGGTGGGTTCGGTGCTGAGCGATATGAGAACGAGGCAATGCAAATCCGCGTGCGGGAGCTCTTCCGGACAATCTTTGAGAAGCAGGAGGATGTCTCCATTATCGATGCGGGGGAATCTATCGATGAGGTGGCTCGGGAGATACAGGATGCTGTAGCTGGTTGCATTGCGCATATGGATGTGACGGGCGCGTTGAGGAAATTGGAACCTCTTGCGAATTAGTGAATAGGAAATAACCGGGCTTGGTTTTGCTTGGCTCTCATTCGATGAGTTCTGCGTCATCCCACTCGCTGTCTTCAATCACGATCTCGAGTTTTGAGGGAGGTCGAGCCGAGCGGTTCTTCTGTCGGCCCTCGAAATCAGAGTCGGATTCTATGTCGACTTCTTCGAACCAATTTGGCCCGAGGTCGTCTTGGCTCGGATCTTCTGGCAGTGACCTTGGCTCAATGGAAGATGACCGAGGTCCTGAAGATGCCTCTATGGCGGCAGACTCTTTGCGAACACGTTTCTCTTTCTTTTTTAGAATTGCGCGCGCTTCTTTCTCTGCTCTGTTGCGGAAGCTTAGCTCACGCATCATTGTCACCCACTGTACGGTGTGCCCGCACGACGGGCAGGTCCCCTGAGTGGGCACCAGCAGGTCTGGTTCGTTGGTCGCGTCAAGGAATTTTGTAGATAGACATAATAAATGACTCGTGCCGCGGCAATTTGGATGTGGACACACTACTATTTGTTCTTGGTCTGGAGAGATCGACGATTTACAGACCGTGCACTGTAGATCCTCCGGGTCTTCCAGCATGAACATAGACTTTTCGAGATGATCTTCAATCCTGGTGTGGTCAATTGATAGATTGTTAATGCTTCTGACGGGTGCGAGCTCATCGTCTTTTTTGACATCGGGCGCCGTTGCAAGGTTGTCTCCATCTAGAATAACCTTGATATTGTCGGGCAAGCGACCATCAACACGATCATTCCAAGCCCGCCAAGCACGATAGACATCGGCACAAAAGAAACGGACTCGTAACGGCCAAGAGGAGAAATAAGTTGAGCGAAGCAGGGAAAGTAAATCCTCCAAATGGGCCACTAAGGATCTCCTAGTCCGCGCCTTGGGTTTCGGTTTCGGCTTTCCCGTCTTCGCATTGGTATTAGCCTTAGTTCGAGGCTTGGGGTCCAAATCATCTTCAGAATCAAGATGCCGGGATCTTTCCGGATGTTGCCATGCCCATCTACACGAGATGAGAAATTGAGCGATGTATCTAAACAATTCACATGCGACTTACTCAAATTGCAACGCGCCGACTCTGCTCGTGAAACCCTCTACAACAAGGGTCATTTCCCAGGGGCGTAATTTATCTCTGGCGGTTCGCTTGGCCCCACCTTTGGCGACACCGTTGTGTTGAGGGAGCCGTCTGATCGGGTTTGGCGTCGAGCCGATGTACAGCGAGGCGTGTCGAACGGTCGAACGGAGGAGATAACAACAATAATATGCCGGGATTGGCTTGGGATTTTCAGACTCCTCCATGATGATTGATTTGGAGAGGTTTTGTAAGTTTTTTTTCCACCTTGATATGTTCAATTCAATGTTGTAGGTTTTGTCAAGTCCTTGAAATTAGCTCTGCCTATCGAATCCGTGCGGGTCCTAAACGGTACCTAGAATACATGTACATATACACCGGATCACATGATAATGTATTTTTTTCTCTTTAGGAGAAATATAAATGGAGTCTAGGGATATTAAAATAAATAGGAATTATTATATGTGTACATATGTAGTTAAGGGATATATAAAGAATGACAGAGGGAGTGTCTATAAAAATATGCAATAAAACAATAAAACAATAAAAAACAACAAAACCCTATCTGATAAAGATTTGAACATATCAGAAAGACAAATAAAATACAGATTTGATTGAAATATACTACTAGTATGTAGCAAATTGAAATTCTACCCCGTATAGGTAATATCGCGTTAGACACTATCCGAGGTTCATCTATGTCACAAGACTATATATATACGGCGTAATATTGGGCTCCCATAATAATAAAGGGACACCGTATGATGTCCCGTTTGCAGCATTGCAGTATAATTACCAAACTTTCAGGTGAAACTCAGGGCATAAGCGGTACCTGAGCTCAGATTAGCTCATTATTACAGTATCTCCTGTACTGTACTGATCGGTACCATCGCGGCTGGGTTCAAGGTCCCCCCAGGGTCACTCATTGGTTCCTTTTTTACTGGCTGGCCACACAAAAGGGACCTGGCGGTACTTCTGGAGTACCACCCCAGTCGATCTGTACTGCACATAATCTTCCTCCACTCTTAAGGTTTCTATCCCATCTATCCTTCTTTCCTCTCTGCGATTTGGGCCTCTGTTTTCTTATATCGCCTTTCGCCCGACTTTCTCTCTCATTTTTACTTCCATTCCCTAGCCTTTGATTCGTCACCGATCCTTCACCCTTCGGCCATATTGACAGGACTTCGGCAGCCGCCTTTCCTGATATCTATCATCACACCCTGCCTCTGTCGCATAACAGTCATTGTTAATCGGATTACCCTCAGACAGACACGCTCAATCCTACATATCCCCTAATCGTCTGTCCCATTTCGAACAATGGGAGCTCCGGCCTCTGCCGGGGCGACCTCGACGGCCGCGGAAAGCCAGCAGACTCGGTCCTCGAGCACTCATCCGTCGCACTCCCACAACGTGCCCCTGAGCGCTCGCAGGTCCACACCTCTTGACTTGTCCACCGTGGAACGACGTGGACAACCCAACAACCCCAGAGAGCCATCCAAGCGCATTCGTCCTCATGGTATCCCAGAAGCCCCGACTTTCCGTCCAACGGAGGAAGAATTCAAAGATCCGGTGGCCTACATTCAGAAGATCGCCCCAGAGGGAAAAAAGTATGGAATTTGCCGAGTGGTTCCACCAGAGGGCTGGCAACCGACTTTCGCAATCGATACAGAGGTAGGAATCCTCCTTCATCGCTTCCCGCGCATGATCACACCTGACAATGGACACAGCGATTTCACTTCAAGACCCGTCGACAAGAGCTCAATTCGGTCGAAGGAGGTAAGGACACGCATTCAGCATATCAGGCTGCCCCAGCTTGTAGTATCATACCGCGGTGCGGTTCTAACCCTCATTCAAACATAGGAAACCGCGCGAACATGAACTACGTCGATGGACTTGCCATGTTCCACAAACAGCATGGCACTAACTACAGCCGACTACCCAGCGTGGACAAGCGACCCTTAGATCTCTACAAACTCAAAAAGGCAGTAGAGAGTCGTGGTGGGTTCGAATCCGTATGCAAGACGAAAAAATGGGCAGAAATCGGTCGTGATCTTGGATACAGCGGCAAGATAATGTCTTCTTTGTCCACTTCGCTCAAGAACTCCTACCAGCGCTACCTGCAGCCGTATGAGGAGTACTTGGCCCGGGCCAAGCCCGGTGTCCAACAACAGCTTGAGCTCGAGCACGGTGGTCCATACACCCCTTCGCCTCTACAATCCCCCTTGACTCACAAGCCCATGATGGACGAAAATGGCACGCCTTCTAAAGTCCGTGATGACACTCCTAGCTTGCCGCGAATGGCCGCTTCACATACCCCGATGGCGTTTACTCCTGTGGCACATACTCCTGTGGCACATACTCCAGTGGCACATACTCCAGTGGCACATACTCCAGTGGCACATACTCCAATGGCACATACTCCAATGGCACATACTCCAATGGCACATACCCCAATGGAGAAGTCCCCGGAGAAGCCAACGCCCCCCATCGAACCTACTCCCCCCCCCTTCACGCTCAGCGGCCGCAGGCTTTACTTCCGTCAACTCCGGACTCGGTGGCTTTACCGCTGTCAACCACTCCCCTTTCACCCCCGTGAACAACGGCCCGCCAATCAAGCGGGAAGGAGAGAATGGCACGTTGACACCCAAGGTCCCTTCCGAGCATGCTTTCGTTTCGACTCCTGTACACAGTCAAGATGAGGAGTCTCTGAAGCGTGCCATCAGCCGCGAGGACAGTTCTCAGTGCGAAAATGGCGATGACGATGATGGAAGCGGGCGACGCAGCAAGCGTCTCAAGAAAGGTACACTATTTTTTGCTCTCTCAATGATCGAAGCAAGCCTTGCCTAATCTTCCTCCCAGATTCCCTCCCAACGGTTGCGGGTTCTCATATGTCCCTTCTTCGCCCAGCGCCGGTCAAATCGCGCAAGGATGGCTCCCAGACAGCTGGAGAGGTAGGCGGAGGTTCGTGTCAGCGTTTGATTCATATACTGATTCAGGAACAGAAGTGCGAGACTTGTGGCAAATCGGATGATCAAGGGATGATTCTTGTATGCGACGGTTGCGAGCTTGGATATCACAAAGCGTGTCTCGATCCATCCACCACCACACCATCGGAGCACGATTGGCACTGCCCCAAGTGTTTAGTCGGCACAGGGGAATTCGGATTTGAAGACGGCGGTGTTTACTCACTTAAACAGTTCCAAGAGAAGGCTAACGAGTTCAAGAAGAAGTATTTCGCTTCCAAAATGCCCTTCGACCCGGTTCTCAACACACATCGGCGCGAAACCGAAGACGACGTGGAGGCCGAATTCTGGAAGCTTGTTGTTGATCTGCATGAGACCGTTGAAGTCGAGTACGGCGCGGACATCCATTCAACCACGCATGGAAGTGGATTCCCAACTATCGAGCGGAATCCCCTTGACCCATTTTCTTCAGATCCATGGAACCTGAACGTGCTTCCATTCTATGGAGACTCGCTCTTCCGTTATATCAAGTCCGATATCTCTGGCATGACCGTTCCTTGGGTCTATGTGGGCATGTGTTTCTCCACTTTCTGCTGGCATAATGAGGATCACTATGCTTATTCAGCCAATTACCAACACTTCGGTGCTACCAAGACGTGGTATGGAATCCCAGGTGCCGACGCAGAAGCCTTTGAGGCGGCCATGCGGGATGCGGTTCCCGAACTTTTCGAAGGCCAGCCCGATCTTCTTTTCCAGCTTGTCACCCTGATGCCACCAGACAAGCTTCGCAAAGCCGGCGTCAACGTTTATGCGGTGGATCAGCGAGCTGGCCAATTTGTGCTCACGTTCCCACAAGCATACCATGCCGGCTTCAACCATGGCTTTAATTTCAATGAAGCGGTCAACTTCGCGCCTACAGACTGGGAGCCATACGGTGCAGCAGGTGTTGAACGTCTTCAGAACTTCCGCAGGCACCCGTGTTTCTCCCATGATGAATTGCTTCTTACTGCTGCTGCACGTGATGCTTCTATTGCCACTGCGAAATGGCTTGCGCCAGCATTAGCAAGAACCTGCGCTCGTGAACTGGGTGAGCGGGCTGCTTTCCTGTACCGACAAAAGGAAGTGTCTGCCCATACCCCAGGCTTTGGTCCAGACTCCATGACAGACGATGCGCAGCCGAGATTCGTAGTTGAGAATGAAGACCTTCCCGAGGATGATTACCAATGTCAACATTGCAAGGCCTACGCTTACCTCACTCAGTTCCGTTGTCACAAATCAGGCAAAACTGTCTGTTTGTCGCACGTGGACACCTATGACTGTTGTGGCGAAACTTTTGCTCAGAAGTTGTGCGGCCCAGGACATACCCTCCGTTATCGCATGAGTGATAATGAATTGCAGGGGCTTGTGCAGAAAGTCCAAGAACGGGCCAGAATCCCCGAGGCATGGTCTGAAAAGCTCGACAAAACCCTGGAGGATGAACCGAAGCCCCAGCTTAAGGCCCTTCATAACTTGCTCAATGAAGGTGAGAAAATCCCATACCACTTGCCAGGCCTTCAAGATCTTGCGGCCTTCGTCCAGCGTTGCGATAAATGGGTTGAAGAAGCCAACAACTACATTACCCGGAAGCAGCAGAACCGGAGAAAAAACGAGAAGGCTTGGCGCAGAGGAAGCACCAAGGCAGCGCAGCTGGACGATCGCGATCGCGAAGTCCGCAGAATTGAACATATCTACGCCCTTCAGGCAGAGGCTGATAAACTTTCGTTCGACTGTCCACAGATGGCGGCGTTGGAAGAGAAAACCCGCGAAATCGAGAAATTCCAACAGGATATTAATAATGCCCTCATGCACCCGCACACCCGGCCTCTCCAGGAGATTGAAGAACTTATCGAACGCGGCAAAAACTTCAACGTGGAAGTCCCGGAACTGGAACACCTAGAGCAAGTTTCCCGCCAAATCAAATGGATTGAACAAGCTGCGCGCAAACGAGACCAGTACATGACCCTTACTGATTGCCGGGAACTTGTCGCTAGTGCGGAGCAGCTCGGCCTCTCCGATACCAATGAACACTTAGTTCATTTCAAGGAGCTTGCTCGCCACGGTGATGCGTGGGAAATGAAAGCCAAGGAATTAATGTCTGTTGAAGCCGTTCACTATCAGCAACTAGAAGCTCTCTCTGCGCAGGCGTCTCGTTTCCCAGTTTCACCTGATACTCTGGCAGCAGTCGATGCCATATTGACCAAGCAGCGTGAGGCGCAGAAACGGATCCAGACTCTGTATGAAAAGAGCAAGGATGTGGAAATGAAGAATCGGCCTAAGTACAAGGATATCCGTGACCTCATGGAATCTCTTGAGCATTTGACGAGTCGACCCATCGGGGCGATCGACTTGGAACGTGAACAAAAGCGCCATGAAGACTGGATGAGAAAAGGGAAAAAGCTATTTGGCAAGGCGAACGCTCCTCTTCATATTCTGAGATCCCATATGGAATACGTCGAGAAGCGGAACTCGTACTGCTTCGACCTGGAGGACAGTTACCGACCGCCTGTGGAGCCTTCGTCTCGAGACAATTCGCCCGAAGGTTTGCTTGAGAATCCTGGCAATCCCAATAACATGTGGGGTCCAAAATCACGAAAGCGAGATGTGTTCTGTATTTGCAGGCACTCTGAAGCAGGAATGATGATTGAATGTGAAGTTTGTCACGAATGGTAAGCCAACAAACCTTCAGCTTGTGGTTTTGTTTACTGACCTATGTAGGTACCATGGCAAATGTTTGAAGATTGCTCGGGGAAAAGTGAAGGAATTCGACAAGTATACCTGCCCTATCTGCGATTGGCGTCAAAAGATTCCGCGCGATGCTGCTCGTCCCAAGCTTGAGGACCTGCAAGATTGGCACGCGGAGATCGCAACTTTGCCTTTCCAGCCCGAGGAAGAAGAAGTTCTCGAGAGTATCATCAATCAAGCGACAGCCTTCCGTGATTTCCTGCATGGCTTCACTAATGCCGCCTGCACAACGACCGAGGAAGTGCCTACTTTGATATTCTACCTCCGCAAAATCGAGGGCGCCGAAGTTCTCCTCACCTTTGAGACGAATTTCTTCCGGCAGGAGATACACAAATGGGCGCCCGTCGCACCGGAACCTCCTCCAATTCTTGAGCAATCTCTGTCAACACGAAAGCCGCGACCGACCAAGCAACAGAAAATAATGGCCCAACTTGGGGTGAATCGTCCAGAAGATCTCCCGGAGCATCTTCGCCCGAAGCATATCGGCGTAACCAAACGGAAATCTGTTGATGCTCAATCCCAGTCGGTTCCTGGTCAGCCTGCATCCATGCAACCAGCGCCACCGACTTCTAGTAGCGGACAACCTCCTAGCACAGGTCCGACGTTGGCTCAGATGGCAGATCCGAACACTGCACCATACCCCTTCTCTGCGAACTATTCTTTGCCTGCAAGCGATTCTACTCCCGCGTTTGCACCTACCTCATCCTCGGCTTTCCTCCCCCACGCAGCCGCTTCTCAGTCCCCCTCATTCCTACCACGCTCCCCTCCCCAGCCAGACCTGGAACCCTCCCTTTTCAGCCCTCCACGCTTTGGTCATGAACCTCAGTTCGCGAGCAGCAGCCCTCGTCAGAACCTGGATGACGTATTCGCAGACTTGACCAACCAAGAAATTGACCCTGAAGCTGAGAACCAGGCAATGGACAATACTCATGCTAACGAGGCCCTGGAGGCCCTCGTGGTCAGCAATGGTAGTAGTCGTCCAGCCTCTGTTCAAGGGGAATTGACTCAAAATGGTGAACCTGGTGAACCGCAAGGTGAGCCCAAAGTTGACGGCACTAATGGGGACCTTGAGGACGAGGAACTTTGACCGAGTCTTGCTTTTTTCGTAATGAATCTTTGGCTTTTATCGAAAACTTGACCACCTTCTTTTCGGTCTTTGTTTGGTACGTTCTGATTGTTTTCTTGTGCCCCTTTTAGTCTTTTGTTTACTCGCCTCTCCTATTTTTTTTATTTTATCGTTTTGTTCGGATCAATTCTCAAAAAAGGTGTACAAGAGACTGGACTGGCGAGTCCGGGGGTGTTTTCCAGCGATTCCACGCTTTTCTGTTTTTCCATACCACAAGACTATGTCTGTCATGACTGCTTTTCTTTGCTGCTACACCATGTAATACTAGTTGAATTCAGCCATTCTTATTATTTCCGACTATAACCCTTTATGTTTTATATGACATCCGCATAAGCTCCTAGAGCAGCCTGTCCACCTGTATGAATGAATAACACATTCACCTGCTCCAAGGGTTTATCGGAATCCGCGACTTCTCCCTCGTTCACCCAATGCATCATGCCTCTCGCGACCTTGGCTGTATAAACCGGATCCAGCACCATACCCTCCGTCCGCGCCATAGTCTCTAGAGCCTGTTTACTCTCGCCATCAAGCACACCGTATGCAGTCCCAACAAACCGATCATCAAGCCGTACATCCTCAACCCCAATATCCCGCTCCCCATCGAGCCCAATCAACTCGCCCGCCCTCCGCGCAAAGGCAAGCACCCGCTCTTCATGATACGCCTGCGGCTTAGTCGGCGAATTAAGAATCCCAACAACCTTCCTCGGCTCCCCATTCGTCTTTTTCACATCCAACCCCCTAATCTTCTCCAGCAACTTAAACCCAGCCACCAACCCACCAACCGTACTCCCGCTTCCACACGCAACAAAGATATAATCAAACCTCCCCGAACCCCCAAGTCCCATCTCCTTCTCCTGTGCAGCAATCTCAAACGCCGCTCGCGCATACCCCAGCCCACCAAGCGGATGTAAGCTCGCGCCACCAGGAATCCAATACGGATTCTGTCCCGCCGCCCTCAATTCATCAAGAAGAGGCGTGGCATCATGCGCTAGCGGATCACCTTCCTCACAGACGCGAACTTCCGCGCCGAGAAGGTGATTGACTTGCACGTTTCCGCTGCGTTGGAAAGCTTCCTTGTCACTGGCTGCTGCGAGTCCGCCGCCTGTGCCGCGGTGTAAAAGGATTAGGGCTTTTAGTCCTAGTTTCCGTGCAAGAGCGACGACTTGCACGGTATGGTTGCTTTGGATTGCGCCCTCTGTAACAAGGGTTGTTGCTGCGCCCTGTAGCGGGCCTGGAGGTGTTGGGTTGTTCTCATGGCTGTGATAGAGGGGTGTTTGAGATAAGAAATCTGGAACTATGTATTCTAGTTTGCGATATTTATTTCCTGCGCAGGCTAGTGGGGAAGAATGGTCTTCTCGTTTGGCGTGGATGGTGATGAGGTGCGGGGAGACTCTTGGGGATGCAATTGAGGTTAAAGGGTGGATGGGAGATGGATTGGAGTATAGGATCTTATAGCGGGGGATTTGGGCAAATGTTTCTGGTAGTAGTGGGAGAGACATTGTTTTATGCATGGCTTTTGGTGTGATCAAGTTGGGATGTCGCGATGGTGCATTTAACTAACGTAATCGGTAAGCGAGTCGGCCATGTAAGCCAGCCGGCCACCCAGCCCAAAACGCGTCCATAGATTAGCACTTAGTCAATTCAACCGCGCACCATGCCACCAATTCGCTCCCAATCCTCTAGCAATTCAGCAGAGCAAGAGGGTAGGGTTTTATTAGCTATTGAAGCTTTTAAAAAGAAAGAAATCTCTTCAATTCGCGAAGTGGCACGCGTTTTTAACATACCACGTTCAACACTTCAAGACCGACTACGTGGCCACCAAAATCGCGCGATTTGTCGCGCAAATTCGCATAAATTGACCGAATATGAAGAGGAATCTCTTCAAAGATGGGTTCTCTCTATGGACTCTCGTGGATCTGCCCCCCGGCCTTCTACTGTACGAGAAATGGCGAACCTTTTACTTCAACAACGTGGAACCACCCCGGTTATTTCGGTCGGCGAAAAATGGGTTTATAACTTTGTGAAACGACACCCTCTCCTCTCATCCCGATTCTCGAGACGCTATAATTACGAACGTGCGAAGTGCGAAGACCCGAAAATCATCCAAGGGTGGTTCGATCTTGTTCAAAAAACAATCCTCCAATTTGGAATCCACCCCGATGACGTTTATAACTTCGATGAGACCGGCTTCGCGATGGGGCTAATCGCTACAGCGAAGGTGATTACAAGGAGCGAATTCTACGGCCGGCGCTCGCTTTTACAACCTGGAAATCGCGAATGGGTGACTGCTATTGAGTGTACAAATTCGTCGGGTTGGGCCCTCCCTCCGTGTATCATTTTTAAAGGCAAAGTCTTTATTGAATCATGGTTTGATGGCCTTCCGGATGACTGGCGATTTGAAGTTAGTCCGAACGGTTGGACCTCTGATGAAATTGGACTTCGTTGGCTTGAAAAGCTCTTTATTCCTAGCACTTCTTCGCGTACGAAGGGGGGTATCGTCTCCTAATACTCGACGGACATGGAAGCCATTTGACCCCTAAATTCGATGAAATTTGCGAGCAAAATAAGGTTATACCAATTTGTATGCCTCCGCACTCCTCTCATCTTTTACAACCCCTGGATATCGGTTGTTTTGCTGTGTTAAAGCGATCATATGGTCGGCTAGTTGAAATGAAAATGCGGAACGGGATCAACCATATCGATAAACTTGACTTCCTTGAAGCATACCCCCTCGCACGAATCGAAGCTTTTAAATCGGAGACTATTAAGAATAGCTTCGGAGCAGCTGGCTTAATACCTTTTGCACCTAATCGAGTGATCTCGAAGCTAAATATCCGTCTTCGAACCCCGACCCCCCTCCGAGTAGGGGGAGCGATTGGGACCCAAAAACGCCCTCGAACTACGTGCAATTACAAAAGCAAGCTTCGTCAATTAAAGCTTTACTTCGTGCTAGATCAAAGAGCCCTCCGAGCCCGCTAAATTGCGCGATAAACAAGGTTTTAAAAGCCTGTCAAATCACAATGCAGTCCGCCGCTTTACTTGAGAAAGAAGTGAGCGATTTACGCGCCGCCAACGAGAAGCAGAAGCAAAAGCGGACTCGGTCTACGAGGACGATAGTCCACGAAGGAGATCTTTCAGTCCAGGAGGTTCGTGAGCTACGTGGGGAACCATTCGAGGCCCAAGTTGCACGTATCAATACCTATCGTGAGCAGGTATCGGAGGGTTTACAGCCACCTATACGGGCCGGGCGAGCCTGTGGAATATGTAGGCAGCCGGGGCATAGGAGAGAAACATGTCCAAATAGATAAATGAATTTAGTTACATTAATTTAATGGCGTTGTGGCTATGATATATCCATTTAAACTTAGTATGTTAGACTGGGTGGCCGGCTGGCTTACATGGCCGACTCGCTTACCGATTACGTTAGTTATATTGTTTTGGCCTCAGCTGTAAGGCATCAATATTATATGATGTGTCAGCAATTGAATGACGTCGGGTATTCTGCCCGCGGACATATGAAGCTTGGCTGCGAATTGATTCAACAAACATGACTCTGCTCCAATTTTTACGACAAGCCCGCCAAGTACACCTCAAATTCCTCTCGGGTGCACTGTCCGAGCCTCCAATCTATGTAATCGGAAATCCATCCGCCGACCTTGACTCCATCGTCTCGGCGATCATCTACTCCTACTGCGCGAACAACAAGCTCCCGGCCAAAACCCCAAGACCCCATATCCCACTCTTAAACTTGCCCAATTTCCCCGCTGGAACAGAGCTGTACCGACTAAGACCGGAATTCTCAGCTGCACTATGGTCATCAACCAATTTCCCCGCACTGAAGAATGAAGAGCAATTCGAGAACACCCTACAGTCTGCAGGGAATTTCCTACGCGAGCATGTTATGACTGTCGCAGACTTTGCACAGTCTCTTGAAGACCAGCATGTCTGGAAGCAGATACTCACCGATGCAACCCTGGTAGACTGGAACGCCTTCCCGCGTCCCTCAAAGACCGATAAGGGCTCTGGATCCCTAACCGGGCTACCGGGTGTTACCTTCCGGACTGTTGGATGTATCGACCACCACGTGGACGAGAACTCCATGCCAAGCATTGACGAATTACCACAAGGCCAACCGATGATTATTCAACCGGGGCCTGGGTCATGTGTATCGCTCATCACGCGCGAGTTGCAACAGCGGAAACTCTGGGACGCGAGCCCGGAGATGGTGCAGGTTGCGAAGCTTGCTCTTTCGGCTGTGCTGATTGATACATCGAACCTCACTGCCGAAGGCAAAGTGACCGATGTAGATCGTATGGCTGTTGAATTCCTGCGGTCTCAAATCGAGGGAGAATCACAAGGCGATTGGGAGCTGGAGGCGTTCTACAAAAGCATTCTTCATGCTAAGCAGAATAGTCTCGATCTTCTTACGATGGATGAAGTGTTGGACCGCGATTATAAAGACTGGACTGAGACGTCACAGTCCTCTGGGAAGACTGTGAAAATGGGCTTCTGCTCTGCTGTCAAGCCCATGCGATGGATTGTACAGAAGGCAGGTAGCCCGGAGAAATTTATCGATGCTGTGCGGTCGTTTGCGAGTTCCGCTGAAAAAGACTTGGATGTGCTTGTTGTTATGACAGCGTTCACAGGCACGAACGACAAATTTCGTCGTGAGCTGTTCGTCAGCATTATGCGTGACAATGAATCGGCTGCTAAGGGTGTTAAGAGGTTTGTTGAGCACTGCTCTGACCATCTTGGGCTCATAGAATGGTCCCCGCTTGATGGGGAGGATGTCCCCGAGCTGACGGGAGATTGTCTTTCTATACTGAGCGAGGAATCACCTCTCTGGAGGAAATTGTGGGTGCAAACGAATGCGGCCGGGAGTAGGAAGCATGTTGGGCCATTGTTGCGGGCAGCGGTAGCTAAATTGTAAACGAAACCTGTAGATGAATTGAGTTGACTCACCAGATGCCTGTTCGCCTTGGGCTTCCTCGTTTGAGGCCTACAAAGGCACAATTTCCACTTGGTTTCCTGTATTGTTCTATTACTACGACGCATGGCCTTTTGAGTTACTCTATGATCACTAATGCGGACTCGAAATTCTCGAACTCCATTTAATTCACTCTCTAACACCGACATCCAGATCTCTGGAATAGAACCTGGACGAAATGCAATATATGCAATGCTCCAAGCTAACCTCATGCAAATACCAGCATGCCAGGAGGAGAATATGATAAGGAAATATGCAACCCGCAAGAAGGCAAAGCAAAATAAGGAAAATAAAAGCAGACAGCCACCTCCTCCTAAGTCTGGTATGTTAGAAGGCTTTAAGATAAACGCCCATAATATGTAAAAGAAAAAAATCAAACACATTCCCACTCGCAAAATACACACCAGCGGGCAGCTCGGTCGGCTAGCACAAGACCGCGCCACATACCACGCTCGCCGATCTTAATAACAGTCTCCCAGACACTGCCCTCGGCGATGGCATCGGTGACGGATTCGGTGCCAGTATCATTGCTAATAATGTGCTCAGCTTTACGGGTGAGTCGAAGGATCTTGCCGGACGGGGACTGGATGGCTAATTTCGCAGCCTTGTCCCGCCCAGAAGCGGATCTTGTCGACGAAATGGCCGAGGTCGATGCTGAGAACTCGTTCGAGGCACCCGATACAGTCGAGCCGCCAGCTGTGCTGGAGACCATGCTCAACGCACTAGACGGACGAGTGAAGACGGACGAGGGCGAGCCTCGGCCATTGGAGGTCTCGTCCTTGGCGGATGCGGGAGCAGCAGGGTGCTGTCGGACAGCGAACACGAAGGTATTGTTAACTGCGAGGCGAGAGCATTGTGGCTGCATGATGTACAAGTCGTGTCGCTGGGCGTGGGGTGTAGGATGGCGCAGCACAAAGTCGTAAGATGGATTCTCTCCGGTGTGGAGAATTGGGAGGGCTAAGGCTAAGGGATGGGGGATGTCTCGGCTTGAGTGCATCAGGCCTTTCTTGCCTGCATAGACCCTCAACACAGCCTGACCTTCGTCGCCTGGTAGTACAGCCTTGATTGTGATGCGCTTTTGGCCTCTGATCCAATCCGGCTGGACCAGGGCGCGCTTGCGCACGACATCTCCACTTTCGAAGATGTCGCCATCCGCGTCGCGGGCGAATCCTGGAGCTTCAACTTCCGCGGCACATTCGACATCTGCAGGAACTACCATGCGTAGTTGCATGACCTCCAATCCGTCGATGCGAATAAGACTTGTGTCGTAATCCGGTAGCTGGACGTTAAGCTTGAAGAATGGTGGGCACACGGTAGGCAAAGCGAGCAGAACATCTGGTGAAATTGGCGGGCAGATGTGCTGTTCTTCCGGATAGAGCGGAACATGGGTGTAGCAGAGATCAAGCGGGCGGGTAAGGAAATACCAGCTCTCCGCTACAGAGGAGTTGTTTGAAACGAATTTACTGCGTTGAGGATTTGTGGGGTTTGCAAGTGCGCAATCCATGAAGCGCCATTCGCCATCGACCAGAACAGAGTTCCACCAGTGATTGGGATGAGAGAGGCTTTCCAGATTAAGGACGTCACCGGGGTTCTTGAGGAATCCTCGGATTATTTCTGTATGCAGGCCAACGGCTGCGCACATCTCGTGCACCAATATTGCAATTTCCTCTGGGGTACCTCGTTTTGCCTGCAGAAGTCTCTTCATGTCAACTTCGAGGCCGTCGACAGGTTCTTCCCACGATATTTTCTCGCTGACCCAGGTAAAGATGGCCCGAAGGCGCTGGACGTCACTCTTGTAAGGTCGACAAATATAGGCTTGCGCGAGGCTCATGGGATTCGTCATTGGAGGCAGACTACTAATGAAGCGTGCACTCTTATCAACGAGGGTAAGATTGGCTGCGTTGAAATTCGTTGGCTCGGTGATCGGTTGCCCATCGATGCTTTCATCGCCCTCCGCGGTATCGTATAGCTCTTCCACGGAGTAGATAACAGGGTGGTCCATCATCTGGCATCGTTCTGCCCTATCGATCCTCTCATTTCGACTAGGAGAGGACGCTCGGTTAACATCTCGGCGCACCTGAACCCAGTCAATGGTGCCCCCTCCGAGTCCCAAGTCACGACCACTATCGCGATTTGAGTGAGACGTAAGAGCCGGTGACACGACGTCTATTCCTCTGTTGTTCTTGATTGGAGAATTTGCTCTCTCACCGTGACCAACCGAAATACTACTCCTTGCGCTGGCCGCGCCAGTCTTGGCTGTTTCAAATATCTTTTTGAAAAACCCTTGCTTTTTGCTCTTTGGCGTAGTGAGACCACCAAAAACCCCGCTATGATCCGTCGCATCGAGACCAGTGGACGACCACGGAATAGCCGATGATGCACCCTGACGAGACGAGTTATGACTGGAGTGGTATGAAACACCGGTGAAAGGCGTCTCCGGGCGTACGTCACTGAACCCTCGAGAGCGGATAGTGTCCATAGCAGTATTCGGCCTCTCATGCCCACCTCTCCTGGCAAAGCTCCCTGCACTCGTAGCACTAAATCCACCCGCAGAGATACCACTCATAACGCTTTGACTGGTTTTGTCTGTGCTTGTTGTCATGGATGTGCCATTGCTTTGCACCCCACTGGACGAATTGGTAGCACTAGATTTATTGGTAAATGACCGATTAAGAATATCGCCCCGGAGATCATGACCCGAACGCCGTGCCTTGAGGGGAGCATATTGTCCAGGTATAGAATTATTTCGCGGGTGGTAGGTGGCATGTTTTGGAGGGGGAGGAGGCGCGTTGTCGTCGTCCTGACCGGCTCTTCGATCCTCGGACGGTCTATTCTGATTTTCCAACTGACGTAGGCGGCTCTCCATTCTTTGGACATAATTGTTCAGTTGAGGTGGACCATCCATCTGTTCATGGCTATAAACGCTGTTCCGGTGGACAAGTCCGTGTGGTTGCTCTTTGTCTCCATGAAAGCCTGTTGAGGTCAAAGCCCGGCGTCTGTTACCTTGTGGGGTCCTTTCTTGCGAGGTGTCAAATTCTTCAGGGGCCCAGGGATTGTTGAATACTGGGGACGGGGAAGGCGACTGGTCTTGGCGACCCATGTCTTCCAATGAAGTCATAACATCCTCCATGGCATCTCGGAGTGGGGATGGTGTATTTCCATGAATGTCTGACTGTGCCGAGGTCGCAGAAATAGCGGAGTGCGTTGAGGCCGCAGACGGAGATGGGGTTCGGTCGAATATCGCGTAACGGTCATTCATAACTAATGGCGTGGGGGATCGTGACGGAGGCGGATAGTGTGATGGTGGGTTAGGAGAGTGTGCACGATGCTGGGATGAGTGCATTGGTGGTAGCGGCGAATGGCTTCGTGGTTGAGAATGCATTGGCGGCTGAGGAGAGTGTGCGTGATGCTGGGATGAGTGCATAGGTGGTAGCGGCGAATGGCTTCGTGGTTGAGAATGCATTTGCGGCTGAGGAGAGCGGGTTTCCGTACGACCGATGACGACTCGGTGTGGCGGCGGAGGAGGGGGAGGAGGTGAGTCTCCCCTCTCTTCGTTCATCTGCACTGGAGACGGCTCCCGAGATGGGACCCGATACGATGACATACTCCCATGAGAGACCAGCGCAGATGAATGTTCCCGCATTGGCAATGGCGATGGAGCCCGGTATGAGGACATACTTCCATGTGGCATGGGCGCAGGTGAATGATCCTGCATGTACAATGGAGATGGCCCACGTGAAGGAGCCCGGTACATACTGCCATGTGAAATCATTGTAGAATGCTCCTGCATTGGCAGCGGAGATGGTGCCCGATAAGATGGGATACGCCCGTGTGGTACCATTGCAGATGGATGATCTTGCATTGGTAATGGTGAGGGAGCCCGGTAAGAGGACATACTTCCATGTGGCATCGTCGGGGGTGGATGATCCTCCATATACATTGGAGATGGCTCACGCGATGATGCCTGATAGGATGAGGTCACCCCATGGGGAATGGTAGAGGGCGGATATTCTTGCATTTCTAATGGAGATGGCTCACGCGATGGGCCGCGATAAGATGGAATACTGTCATATGGCCTAGTCGGGGCCGGATAATCCTGCATTTGCAACGGAGATGGCTCACGAGATGAAGCCCGATAAGATGAGACACTGCTTTGTGGAACCACGCCAGACGAATTCTCGCGTATTGGCAAGGGGGACGGATTGCGAGACAGAGGTCGAGTAGATGATACGCTGCCCTTCGACGTCATAGCATATGAACGTTCCTGCGTTTGTAATGGAGATTGCTCGCGGGATGAAGGCCGAGAGGATGAGAAGCTCCCCCTCGGCACCATCGATGGCGACCGGTCAGGCTCCGCGGACGAACGAGGAGAGACACCACCGCGCGACGAAGGCCGCGACGAGGTTGATTGGGGTCGAGATACTGAGCCTTGGTTCTTGACTGCTGTCGCATGCGTGCGCAATGGCTTCGTACTTCGTCGAACACCTCCATCCCGAGGTGGTGGTTGGGGAATCGCGGGTGCGGCTGGACTAGATTGGGTTGCGCGCCGAGCGACGGAAGCTGGTGATACGGCTTCCTTATGCGCCTGGAAGGGTTTCCGCCAAACGGTCTTCTGTTTCTTGGGGGCTGATGTGGGATTGTTTATCGGAGAAGATCCCGCTAGTACCATTGGACTAGTAGTATCCCGGCTCACAGGCACAAAGTCTTCACTCAGAAGCTCAACAAAATTTGACGGGAACAGTCCAACCGCGCGCCTGTCACGGCGCAACCGACCCATCCACCATTGTCCGTCGCCTGCATTCAAGCATTCGATCAAGTCACCCTCCACGAATCCCAGATCTCGTGTAGTCTCTCCGCCCCAGGAATAGACTGCTCGGCACCAGCATGGAAACCGCACCGGGAGCTGAGCCATAGTTGTCACTTGAACACGGTTTCGTCGAGCGCAACAAGCGGGATCGACCCAATACGTTGTTTTGATACCTAGCGCACTTCTGACAAGTCCACGTCCAGGTGAAGGTAGGAAAGAAATGTATCAATCGATAAGGTTGTGTTGTTGATTCGACCCGATACAACACAGCTTGGTCAGGTGGGTGACAAGGTCCGCACGGCCGCAGGGATAGCAACAATCGCTCAATCAATCAGCATTTTTGGGAGAATAAGGAGGTTTCAATTGGGTGTTTGAAATAAAAGGGATTGGCGAATAGAGATTGAATTGCACAAAATGGAACCAACAAAGTTGCAAATGCGTGGGGGGGAGGCAGGGCGGTTCAGATCGGTGAGGCCTAAGACGACACTTGGGGCGTAAACGGGACTGGGGTTGTTTGTTTGTGGCCCGATCGGGACTAGCGGCGGAGCGATGTCTTATCGATAAGCTTAATGCACATTATGTAATATCTCCTGTTCCCCGAGTCGTAGGAAAGCATGATCATTATTCCTCTTAAAGATTATCTGCCTGTATATAATTCATGTGAATGTCTCCAAATCAAGCCCTGTAGTGTATAGTAGTCAAGCTTCCCCCGAAGATGCTTCCTCATCTATTATAACTATGAGATAGCCGGATCCGCAGCCGATCCATGGTTCGATGTTGAATAACCCCTGGTACTCACGACAACAGAGGGTCCCTGACGAACTAGAAATATATTTATTTTCACTTCTCCAGTTGATATTATCACGACTATTAAGCTTAATGACTGCCTTGCAAGGCTGAGATATTCGGGGAGTGTTAGATCTAGACAGTTGGGAGGGCATTAGAAAAGAAATACCAATGACCAAAGCCTACCTTATAGATGAATATTTGTAACTGGTTTGAGGCTGAAACCAAAAAGTCTAATTTTACTACGCAGCAAAAAGGTTTTACGGCATCTTAAGTATACCAGAAATATCAATGACTGGGATGTGAGAAATTTCGCTGGATGGATGAAATATATAGGCGCCGTAGTACTCATGTATTTCTTGTCTGTATTTCCATTTATTGATTTTTCTTTTTGGCCGGGGGATTACTCAAAATCTCAAATAGTATCAATTCGACCTGAATAGTTATGTAGTTTCCTATCTTCCTAAAAGCGTCCCATAACCCGTCTCATCCATTCATTGTGTGAGGACTACTCCACAAAGCCCCTCGAACCCACAGAGACACCCAGCTAGCATTCCTTAGCCAGACAACATCAGAATTTCTTCTTCAAGTTATGTGAGCTACTGGCACCTCCCCTATGACTTGCTGTCCGAGCTACCAATATCTCACATAACACATACTTCCATGAACCGGTCTTGGCTCAACGAGACATTGTAGATGAGCAATCTTTGATTATTCAGAAAACCAGACCAGAGACGGAGCTAATTTGTAAGCAATGTGATCTATTAGAGTAGTTAACTAGTTACAGTATATGACTCAACAGTCTATGAAGGTTGGGATAACTAGCAAATGCCATTTCACACTAGACTGCCGGATCGGGGAATCGCCACATTCTCGTTGTGGCTACGAAATCTCCAGCCACGCGCAAACAGTTTACTTTTCTGGATCGCCAATCCCTTACATGAACTTGAGACATCACCAAGAATCTCAATAACCAGGTTTTTAGGACATTGTTCGGTTGAATCTCCGAGCAGTCTGCCAGCTCGGGTGATCTCATCTCGAAACGGAAAGTAATTTGAAGCCAAAAATACCCCAGCCATCTTCTGGTGCGAATTGAAACTGTCCATCTTTTCTATCTATGCAAATTTGACAAACACAAGCCTGCCTCCCTAATTTGTCAAAAATGCAAACACGTTTGCAAGTATCACATGCTTGTTTATGTAGCCAGCCCTAGCTAGGAGCATAGGGATAATAATTGTCATAATAATAGTAATTTAAACTATTCAGATAGTTACCCCTATGGTTTACATAACTAAGCCTTACTGTTGGGAGTTTGATAAGCCAACATGACCTATTCCTTCACCCTCAGGGCCATTGGACCAAATCTAAAGCTATATCCATTCAATTGATTTAATATAAACCGATACGTTCATTAAAATGGTACCGTTGAAGGCCTTTGCAGCCTTGGCTACCACTGGGCTTGTGCAGCTAGCGTGGGCTAAGCAAGTTAACTTCGATCTGGACCTGACTTGAGAAAGGGTGCGCTCGATGGCAACATGCGCTCGATGGCAACATGCGCTCGATGATCTTCATGAACGATCAATTCCCTGGCCCCGAGCTGCGCTTAGAGCAGGGCGATAATGTTGAGGTAGGTATTATCAGAGGGGGTATCGTGCAGAGAAAAAGAAAGCATATTAACTGCCCATGGTTCGTTGTACACAACCACAGGCCGTTCAATACCATCATTCACTTCCACGGTATTGAGCAGCTGAATACTCCATGGTCTGACGGTGTGCCTGGTCTTCCCCAGAAGCCTTTCCAGCGAGGACATAGCTGGACATGCCGTTGGACCGCAACCCAGTACGACACTTACTGGTATCATGCCCATGCTCGGGGTGACATGTCCCATGGCCTCTATGGGCCCATCTGGATCAGGTAGGATATTTGATTTCCGATTCCGCTCAATATACGAAAGCTAACTAATACAGTCCTGCCCCGGATGTACCTCAGAGACTATGAGCACATACAGCGGTCAGCGCTACGCCGCAATGATCAAGCTCGACAAGACTTGGAAGGAATACATTATCCGAGTTCCAGACACTTGAGCCGACCAGGTCATTTCTGGATTTGCTAAAATGAAATACAAAGGCTCTCAGGACACCACCGCGTCTCAGCTCTACGTGGATTACAGTGGAAGAAACACATCTGCTTCAGTTCATGCCCTAGATAACAAGAGTATGAGGAATCACCCTGCTGTCACTATCCCCAAGACCTCTGATCAACTTGCCAACCTCGCCATTAGCCATTTGGGCCCATCTTACACATGGGCTACTTCAGGCAGTGGCTTGTATGATGTGATGGCAAACTGGGATGACCCGATTCTTTATGACATCAACACAAAGAACAACTTGGAGGCGCAGGTAGCCATACAAACTAAGAACGGGACCTGGGTCAATTTGTTGTTGCAGTTGGGTGAGATGCCCAGCAGCCCTGCTATTCAGGCCCCTCATATGATGCATAAGCGCTCCAACAAGGGTTTTATTCTTGGGGTTGGTCCTGGCCTTTTCAGGTGGTCCAGCAACGAAGAAGCTTACGCCGAGCGCCCTAAACTCTTCCAACTGGAGAGAACCACCATCCTCTTCCATTGCCATATTCATACTCACATGGCCAATGGAATGGCTGTTGCTCTACTCGATGGTGTTGATGCGCGGCCTCAGGTGCCCGAGGAAGCTAGGATACCACTCGTTTTTTATTATTATTATTAATGTACACTATTTCTCTTGTTTTTTGTAAAATGCAGTCCGTTTGCAGCCATTCAACTCTCGTGGGAGCTCGGTCCGAATGATCCGGGTCCACTCGATCGATCCATTACTTGAACAAAATCCGGGTTGCCATGGGGTGATCAGCCGATGAGCCACGTGTGTTATGGATTGTTCATTCCAACTTCCCAATTGAGTGACTGATATCAACAAGGCAACAATTCATTCTTTTAAAAGATGCACATTCCACCTAAGCAGGGGAATGGGCTTCGGATATCTTACTGTACAAATGCGAATGAAGCCTTTTTAGGCTTCTACCATCTGAAATGAGGCTTCATGTCTCAGAAATGAGGCTTCATGTCTCAGAAATCATGCTTTGAAGCTGGAGTCATGACGTATGGAAAGTATGGAAAGCACTACGATGATGTCTCCAGGGTATCTAGACCTTACTGAAATTGCAAGATATCTGCATAATTTTAATAATTGTTTTATTGCGTTCGCATCATGTACTCTACATTGCGATGAATTCAGGCCGTGAAAAGCCTTGATATATTAATCGAAAATAACTGGTCTAGAAAACTGGGGAGGTTGGGCTATGTAGGGCAAATCAGGTCATGTGATAATGACTGCACTGCAACCTTCCGAATGCGGCCACATCATCTCTCTAATTGTAACTTCATGGTAGTTTTTCTAGAACGGGTCCATTGTCTGTCTATGACTCCACTGGGCTTGGTTTGTTTTCTCACGGATAGCTCGGCTGAAATATCCATTTCAAATCTTGATTTCTGGAGTCATTATCCGCAAACAGCACTCATACATCTGTGGACTATCATCGGTTTGCTGGTAACTTTAGTGGCTCAAATCCATGATTAAGGATTCAATCAAATTATTCAGGGAATAGAGCTTTCAGTTTGGTCCAGCCCATCCTCATCCAGACTCTACTCCAGGCAAACATCGAACTTTTGGAGGCATTACGGAATCTGCTGCCGTAAACGTGTCATTGGTCCATTATAGGACGTAAATACCAGAACTACGAAAACAATGGATCTTCGCCGAATGCTGGGGCATAAGCCGGGATCATACATTTCTTATTAATTTCGGCCAGAGTACAATACCATAATCCTGATTCCTGAGAAAGCATCTGAGACCCAGACTCCCGCATTTTCCCTTTCGATACAGCCAAGACAATAGAAGGTGGTCTGTGGCAATCTGGAACTGACCCACTATATGGGAAGCACCCCCCGTCACCTCCTCTATAAAGTATGATATCCGTCAATTCGCGCTACTCCTAAACTTTTCTTCTTCTCCCACATATTTTTGAACAAATTATTTGTCACCGGGGAGATTATGGAAGGTCCCAGTCAGGTGTATCTCTTCGGAGACCAGACTGCGGATTTCGACTCAGGTCTTCGCCGCCTGCTACATGCAAAGAATGATTCGCTTGTGGTGGCATTCTTCCAAAAGACTTATTATGCGTTGCGCAAGGAAATTACTTCGCTTCCGCCATCCGAGCGTCAGGTGTTCCCCAGATTTACCAGTATCATTGATCTGCTCGCGAGGTTCAAAGAGTCAGGGCCAAACCCAGCTCTGGAGAGTGCATTGACGACAATTTACCAACTTGGATGTTTCATCCAGTAAGCATATTTCCCAACTTTTGATAAAGACACGACGGTTGGACTCAGATTTGCTGACAAATTTCGATAGCTACTACGGCGATTTGGGCCATGCTTATCCCTCGGGTGATGATAACTGCATCATTGGTCTTTGTACAGGCCAGCTCGCATCTGCGGCCGTGAGCTCTTCGAAAACTATCGGGGAGCTCATTCCCGCTGCCATTGAGACAGTGGTTGTTTCCTTGAGACTCGGAATGTGCGTTTTGAAAGTACAAGAGCTCATAGAATCAAGCAAATCGGCAACATCAAGCTGGTCTGTACTAATTCATGGCATTCGCGAGCCCGAGGCTCACGAATTGATTCAGCAGTACGCGAAGAAGAATGTAAGTCTCTTTCCCAAAATTATCTTAAGAGTAAAATAGGATGATTTTTAACATTTTCAAGGCTTTGCCCCGCGTTTCCAGACCTTATATCAGCGCAATCAGCCCTAATGGGCTCACAGTCAGTGGTCCTCCGACCTTCTTGGGCCGCTTCATTGAGGATAGTCTCTCAAAGGAGCACAAGGCTACAAGAGTTCCGATCCACGGCCCTTACCATGCCTCGCATCTGTATGACGACAGGGATATTAACCGAATCATGGAATCTTGGCCCACCGAACAGTTCATGGCCTACGCGCCTCAAATCCCGGTGCTGTCAACTCAGACAGGCAAGGAATTCCAAGCTGATAGCCTTGAGGAGCTCTTAAGATTCTCTCTCGAAGAGATTCTGCAAGGACAGCTCTGTTGGGACAAAGTCATCGAATCTTGCCAGTCAGCCTTGCAATCCGCCACAACATGCACTCTGTTCCCGATTTCCAGCACTGCAACCCAAAGTCTGTTCAACTCATTGAAAAAGGCTGGAATATCCAATCTCGAGGTTGACAGTACAATTGGTGATGTTCAAAAAGATTCCGAGGAAAGCAACCGCACCGGCCGTGCCGAGCAGTCCAAGATTGCAATCATTGGTCTTTCCGGAAGATTCCCAGAGGCACCTGACACCGAAGCATTCTGGGATCTTTTGAAGAAAGGACTGGATGTCCACCGCGAGGTCCCCCCAGAGCGATGGGATGTTAAGGCTCACGTCGACCCCGAGGGAAAGACAAGAAACACTAGCCAAGTTGAATATGGATGCTGGTATAACGACGCCGGAATGTTTGACCCTCGGTTCTTCAATATGTCTCCCCGTGAAGCGCTTCAAGCAGACCCCGCCCAACGTCTGGCACTTCTTACTGCTTATGAAGCTTTGGAGATGGCAGGCTTCATTCCTGATAGCACTCCGTCTACGCAGAAAAACCGCGTGGGTGTCTTCTATGGAATGACTAGTGATGACTACCGTGAGGTGAACAGTGGACAGGATATTGACACCTACTTCATCCCTGGTGGTAACCGTGCTTTTACTCCTGGTCGCATCAACTACTATTTCAAGTTCAGCGGCCCTAGTGTCAGCGTGGATACAGCTTGCTCCTCAAGTCTTGCGGCAATTCATGTGGCCTGTAATTCCTTGTGGAGGAATGAAAGTGATTCCGCCGTGGCCGGTGGCGTCAACATCCTGACAAATCCTGACAATCATGCTGGTCTCGACCGTGGGCATTTCCTATCAAGGACTGGAAACTGCACTACCTTTGACGATGGCGCTGATGGCTATTGCAGAGCAGATGGAATTGGCTCCATTGTCCTGAAGAGACTCGAGGATGCTCAGGCAGACAACGATCCAATCTACGGCATCATTGGAGGAGCCTACACCAACCACTCAGCAGAGGCTGTGTCAATTACTCGGCCTCATGTAGGAGCACAATCCTTCATCTTTGACAAGCTCCTCAACGAGTCTAACAGCGATCCCAAAGAGATCAGCTATATCGAGATGCACGGAACCGGCACCCAGGCAGGTGATGCCGTGGAGATGCAGTCGGTTCTCGATGTCTTCGCTCCTGACTACCGTCGTGGACCGAATCAATCCCTTCACCTCGGTTCAGCAAAGTCAAACGTTGGCCATGGAGAGTCCGCCTCTGGTGTCACGGCTTTGATCAAGGTCTTGATGATGATGCGGAAGAATATGATTCCCCCTCACTGTGGCATTAAGACTAAGATCAACCACAACTTCCCGACAGACTTCCCTCAGCGCAACGTGCACATTGCGCTTGAGCCTACCCCCTGGAACAGGCCAGATGGCGGCAAGCGAAAGACTTTCGTTAACAATTTCTCGGCTGCCGGTGGCAACACTGCTCTGATGGTTGAAGACGGCCCCCTCAATGAGGATACCGTGGAAGACTCCCGGTCTGCCTATCCCGTGGTTGTCTCTGCTCGATCTCAGTCTGCGCTGAAGAACAACATCTCTGCTCTCGTGCAGTACATCGACACAAACAAGAACTCTTTCAATGTCAACGAGGCTAGCCTCCTTGCCAATCTGTCTTATACCACTACCGCGAGGCGCATTCATCATCCCTTCAGGGTCGCTGTCACTGGATCGACTCTGGATGAAGTGAGGAGTGCATTGGCTCCTATCGTCAACCGAGACAGCATCAGCCCGGCTCCTGTCAATCCACCTGGCATCGGCTTCATATTTACCGGACAGGGTGCTCAGTACGCCGGCATGGGACGCGAACTCTTTGAGAATTGCTCGCAATTCCGTGCCCACATTGAGCACTTGGATTGTATTGGGCAGAGCCAGGGCTTCCCATCAATTGTGCCCCTAATCGATGGTAGTGTACCGATTGAAGAGCATAGCCCGGTTGTTACCCAGCTGGGAACTACCTGTGTGCAGATGGCATTGACCAAGTACTGGACCTCTTTGAGTGTTACCCCTAACTTTGTTATGGGCCACAGTCTCGGCGAGTTTGCTGCGCTAAATGCTGCTGGTGTCTTGACAACCAGTGACACCATCTACCTCGCCGGGCGACGAGCCCAACTTCTCACTGAGCAAATCAAGGTCGGAACGCACGCCATGCTTGCTGTCAAGTCTTCAGTAGCACAGATCAAGCAGTTCCTTGATGACGCTACTGAGGTGGCTTGTATCAATGCACCCAGCGAGACTGTTATCAGCGGTGCAAGTGAGAGAATTGACGAGCTTGCACAACTTCTTACCAACGAAGGTTTCAAGGCCACCAAACTGAATGTACCTTTTGCTTTCCATTCCGCTCAGGTTGAGCCCATTCTTGAGAGGCTGGCAGAGATTGGGAAGGGTGTCACCTTCAATAAGCCCTCTATTCCGTTTGTATCTGCCCTTCTTGGAGATGTCATCAATGAGGCCAACAGCGAGCTGCTTGGTCCTAACTACCTTGCCCGCCACTGCCGGGAGACTGTCAATTTCCTAGGTGCTCTGGAAGCTACCCGGCACTCCAACTTGATGAACGACAAGACCCTCTGGGTTGAGATTGGCTCCCACCCCGTCTGCTCGGGAATGGTCAAGGCGACTTTCGGTCCTCAGGCAACTACTGTAGCCTCTCTCCGTCGCCAGGAAGACACATGGAAGGTTCTCTCAAATGCTACTTCAACTCTTTATCTGGCTGGAATTGAGATTAAATGGAAGGAGTATCACCAAGACTTCACTGCCGGACACAAAGTCCTCCCACTTCCTTCCTACAAGTGGGATCTCAAGAACTACTGGATTCCATACACCAATAACTTCTGTCTCCTCAAGGGTGCACCGGCGGCAGCACCAGTGCCTGAAGCTGAACCAGTCTCCGTGTTCTTGTCATCAGCAGCCCAGAAAGTTTTGGAGACGAGTGGTGATAATTCGTCAGCATTGATCGTCATCGAGAATGACATTGCAGACCCCGAGCTCAATCGTGTCATTGCAGGCCACAAGGTGAACGGTGCCTGTCTTACTCCATCGGTATGCACATTTCCAAATTTCTCACTTCAAAGTTCTGTTTGCTAATCAAAACTTAGTCCTTGTACGCCGATATTGCACAAACACTCGGTGAATTCCTAGTCCAGAACTACAAGCCCGAGTGGAAAGATCGTGGCTTTGATATCTGCAACGTGGTGGTCCCAAAGCCGCTTATTGCAAAGGGAGGCAAGCAACTCTTCCGCGTCTCAGCCACCGCAAACTGGGCCGAAGAAAGTGCCAAGGTGCAGGTGTGGTCTGTGACCCCAGAGGGAAAGAAGATTCTTGACCACGCCACTTGCAACATCAAGTTCTTTGACCCTATTCCTTACGCGCTAGAGTGGAAGCGCAGCTCTTACCTCATCAAGCGAAGCATTGATCATCTCCAAGAGAGCACGATATCCGGCCAGGCTCACCGCATGAAGCGAGGAATGGTCTACAAGCTCTTTGCTTCTCTGGTCGATTATGACGAGAACTACAAATCCATTCGGGAAGTCATCCTCGACAGTGAACAACACGAGGCTACCGCTCTGGTCAAGTTCGAGGCCCCGCCAGGTAACTTCCATCGCAATCCGTTCTGGATCGACAGTATCGGTCACTTGTCTGGCTTCATCATGAATGCTAGTGATAACACCGATTCGAAGAACCAAGTGTTCGTCAATCATGGATGGGATTCGATGCGATGCTTGAAGAAGTTCGATCCGAGTATCACTTACCGCACCTACGTGAGGATGCAACCCTGGAAAGACTCTATTTGGGCTGGTGATGTCTATATGTTTGAGGGAGATGATATTGTTGCTGTGTATGGTGGTGTTAAGGTATGTTGAAAAGTTACCCGAGTATTATCGACGAAACACTAACAGAATGCAATATAGTTCCAAGCTCTGGCACGGAAGATCCTCGACATGGCTCTTCCTCCAGGTGGAGGAGCCCCGGCACCCACGCCAGCCGCCAAGCGTGTTCCTGGTCCCATCAATGTCCAGAAGGCAAAGCCTAGCGCTGTCAAGAAAGCTTCCCCTTCGCCAAAATCTTCAAAGCCAAATCTGGCTACCCGCGCTCTTGCAATCCTCGCCGAAGAGGTCGGACTTTCAGCTTCTGAGCTGACTGATGATCTCAACTTCGCTGATTACGGAGTTGACTCCCTGCTCTCACTCACTGTCACTGGGCGATACCGTGAGGACATGGGAATCGATCTTGACTCCTCTGTCTTCGTGGATAACCCAACAGTGAAAGACTTCAAACGTCTCATGGCTCAAATGGGGCCCGCTGAAAGCAGTGATGGATCAAGCAGCGAAGGTGATCTGTCCTCGGCAGTATCCGAGAGCGACATCTCGTCTCCAAACACCAGTGGTCTACCAACTCCTGCAAATGAGAAGTCGATGACACACGGATTGCAGGAGCAGAATGACAGCATGAGGCAGATTGCCGCAATCTTGGCCGCGGAGATCGGTGTTGGTCCCGAGGAGCTCAGTGGCGATGCAAACCTTGGCGAAATGGGTCTGGACTCATTGATGTCGCTCACAGTCCTGGGTAAGATCCGTGAAGACATCGATCTTGATCTCCCGGGAGAGTTCTTTATTGAGAACCAAACACTCGATGATATCGAGGTTACTCTGGATCTGAAGCCCAAGCCTGCTCCAGCGGAGCCAATCAGACTCCCCGAAGAAATCGTCGTTCCAGTCGCCCCGGCAGCCACTCCCAGCACTGGCCCCAAGCACCCGCCGGCGACTTCGATCCTCCTTCAAGGAAACCCAAAGACAGCGACTCAAAGGTTATTTTTGTTCCCTGATGGATCTGGCTCTGCTACCTCCTATGCTACCATCCCTGGAATTTCTCCCGATGTGTGTGTCTATGGACTAAACTGCCCATACATGCGCACCCCCGAGAATCTCAAGTTCAGCCTCGATGAGCTCACAGCTCCTTATGTTGCTGAGATTCGTCGCCGCCAGCCCACTGGCCCATACAACTTTGGTGGTTGGTCCGCCGGTGGTATCTGTGCCTACGACGCCGCGCGCCAATTGATCTTCAATGAAGGCGAGCGTGTCGAGCGCCTGCTCCTCCTGGACTCACCATTCCCCATTGGACTGGAGAAGCTGCCTCCCCGTCTGTACAGCTTCTTCGACACGATCGGACTGTTTGGTGAGGGCAAGGCGCCTCCACCCAAATGGCTGCTGCCTCACTTCTTAGCCTTCATCGACTCCTTGGACGCCTACAAGGCGGTCCCATTCCCCTATGAAGACCCCAAGCTGGCTGAAAAGCTCCCCAAGACCTTCATGGTGTGGGCTAAGGATGGTGTCTGCTCTAAGCCGGGTGATACCCGTCCTGCACCAGCTGCAGATGGTAGCGCAGACCCTCGTGAGATGCTCTGGTTGTTGAACAACCGCACTGACCTCGGTCCGAATGGTTGGGATACCCTTGTCGGGCCGAAGCATGTTGGTGGCATTACCGTTATGGATGATGCCAATCATTTCACTATGACACGCGGCGAGAAGGCCGGTGAGCTGGCTGCCTTCATTGCTAAGTCTATGGCTTCGGTGTAAAAACATTGCGTGTTAGAATTGCACCTTGTCTATTTCTACAAATTTTGGATACGGACTGGCTCTTTTCTCTTCTATTTTTCTGTTCATTTTGTGTGCTGCTGTTCAGCACGCAGTTCTCTCCTTCATCCAATGTCTTATTATCTTAGTACATACATAATCCATAATTTCGCGGTTCTTTGCTACCTTTGAGGAAAATTTTAGTTACCCAATATGAAATCCAGATTGACATTTTAACATTTGGAGGAGTTGTTTTATTTTCAAAGGCATCAACTAAATGGTTCAAGGAGATCTAACACTGAACACCCCTCTAGTCTTGGGAGGCCGGGAATAGTTGCTGCCTACAAAGCGAACAAAAACACTAAGATATCTGTCATTAGAGCTGTGGCATAAAAGAACTACCACTAAAATCGAACGAAACAGTGGCACCTTTTTGGAAATAACACAAAAGATTCAGATACCGTTGCATCCGAGACCCGCTCTACTCTCGCGAAACAAAAATCGCTCATGGGTAAATGGGAAAGCTGCAATGGAGGAAACGCCAGGAATATGCGATGTCGTAATGAGCGGACGAAAGGAATAAATATCCAGCTAAAGTGACTGTGAATTGCTTCGCAAAGCGCAAATGCCCTGTCTGTGTGTCGTGTCTAGACGTCAAAGATTGGCCAGGGTGAGAAAAATGCGTGCCAAGAACATGATCAACGGTAGAAAGCTTGGGAAGCATGGGGGAGATTGAGTAATGTTCTCAGAAAGGCATCTCAGAACTGTATCGTAGCGCACTGCCTCTTCCCCCAAGACCATTACCATTCCCATTATGACCTACCCCTGGGCTGGTCGGACGGCTGCCGGCCCACTTGGGACTTCGTGGTTGAGTGCTAGTCGAGCGAGTAGATGGACGATTCTTCCGAATTTCACGAAGCTCATCTTCCTTCCTGCGTAGGAATTCGTCGCGCGTAGCGAGAATCAATTCTAGCTCTTCAATTCGAGCTAGATGACGAACGGAGTCGTCCTTCATGTGTAGCTCACAAAGTTGGACGGCATTGCTTTCGGCCTTGCGCTTTAGTTTCTCATTCTCGGTGGCCAAACGGCGGTTTTCGGTGCCAGACTGAGCGGCTGATGTAGATGCAGTCTGATATTGCTCTCGGGTGTACTCGGCTTGGTTTTTCTCGAACTCAGCCTTGCGTTCAAGGTTCGAATTTTCTTTGGCCAGGCGGCGGATTTCCTCGCGTGCGGTCTCCAGTTCAGCAGAACTGCCACCACCATCTTTGAGTGCTTGCCTGGCTTCGTCGAGCTCACGCTTCAGCTCTGTCCGTTCTTCTTTCAGACTAGAGATAGTTTCTTTTTGTTTCTCGACGCGCTGTTCCAGAGACGGCTTGGTTTCAGTGACGCGATCACGCTCTTGGCGAGTTGCATGGAGTTCATTGGTCCGACTCTCGTAACGGTGTTGTAGAATACCTAGTGCCTTCTCCATTTCTTGGAATCGAGAATTTGCCCGAGCAAGCTCAGCCTGCAACTGGGCCTTTTCAGTTGCGTGAATGTGTTTCATCTGGACCAGGTTCCTCTCGAGTGATTGCAAATCCCGGTCCAATGTTTGACTGGGAGGCTTAGTTGACTCGGTCAACTGGCTGTTCTCTTGAGTACCGACCCGTGCGCGCTTTGACGAGTGTTCCTCCGGTTCGTCCTCCTGGTTCTAAACGTTAGTTGAATGCAGATACACTAACAAGTGGTATACTTACCAGTGTACGTTTCTGGGTCGGCTGCATCGCCTCGTCAGATGAAGCAGAGCTGTCGCACTCTAACTCCTCCAGGGACACAAGATTCAAAGGCTCAATGGTAGGCAATGGCCAGCCAGCAACACGATCCAAGAGGTATCCAAGAATCTCTTCAGCGTCTTCATGTACGCCAAGGGCATCATCCTGGAGATCACCGACCTCGTCGTGGAGACGGGCAATATAGTGCACAAGTAAACGCAATCGATCGGGCTCTGGTGACTCGGGCAAACAACGCTCAATATGTTCGCTCGTGTTGGCGACAAGAAACCAGATGACTGGAAGCAAGTTCCCGTTTCGGGCATAAGTTGTTCGGATGTGCTGTATGGACGGACTTTTGGGTCTAAAATATGAATCCAATGCAAAAATAGCAGACGGCGGCTTGTAAAGTTCACGGGCGGTCTCGCTGGAATGGATTCCAAAGCTGAGTGACCCCTTGGCTAGGGAAACTTCCAAGATGCTGCCCATTTCTTCACGGGGTTTGGTGTATGCAAAGCCCTTCCCTTGGAGATAACGCTCCAGAACTGCCTGTTTCTTCTCGTCTTGAACAGCAAGAATCAGATGGAGCTCGTGTGTACCTACAATCTCCATGAGATGACCTAGTAGAAGAAACTTTGCACTAGAATATTCGGCCCAGGCTGCCTCTTTCGCAAGGTCGGGGTCGGGGTCTTTCAAGTGGTCAGAGATGTTTAAGTCTGGATGGGTTGAAACATTGCTCAACCGCACAACGACCTCCCGCATTTGTGAATGTAAAACCTCTCGCTGTGTATAGGATGTAAGCAACATGAAAAACATTTAAAAAAGATTATCCACGCACCTCAGGCTCAGAAATTTGAGAATTTGACTGAAAGCTGTCGAAAAATTGACGTATGTTTGTAGCTGCATCTGATAGCACTCGCTCGTAGTCATCCTTCACCCGAGAATCCATCGGAAGGGTGACGGCAAATTCAGACGGCCCAAGGTGGACTGATCCAGGCGCAACCTCATCCATGCCGGTGACGGTCAACGCGCTGGGGTGGATAGTTTGGAGTGAAGGTTGACTCATGTGGCCTCCGTGAGCTAGTTCCGAGGGTGGCAGTAAAGGTTCAGAGTGACCATGGTGGACTGCAGTATGTGAATGGGAAAAGGAATCTGTGTCGGCTCTGACACTAAGCGGTGCAGTTGTTTCAGGGACAGACACAGGGATCGAAGCCTCGATATCTCCCACGGAAGATGGAGTTTCGACAGCGTTGGCTGTTTGGGATAGCTCGGATTGATTTTCTTCGCCGAGTTGGGCCCAGGCATTGCGTATCCTTTCCACAGGAGTGGACCCTGGCAATTCACTGTATCGGTCCAAAGGGGCATCGGAGAGAGAAGGATCCGATGACTTGGGCTCTTTGTCTTCCATGATCTCGGCAGAGGGTTCTTCCACAAGATTAGAAGATGAAAGCACTTGTCGAGTTAAACCTTCAGCACTGAGCTCTTCTGGATATTGTGACAGTTGTTGAAGATTTGTCTCTGGGATTGAGCTCAGGTAAGTCGACTGGACGAATTCGCAGTCTGTGAAAATGTGAGCAAAATGTAAAATTGATGTGGCACGTGAAGCTAAGTACCTCTGATGACAGAGCCACACGACTCAGGAGGCTGGAAGGTCAAATTGTTGTAAGATGGAGTATTATCAATAGAGAAAGAGCCGAAGCGCGATAAATCAGCTCCTAAGCCTGGTGGCTGAGCAGGCGTCTCGGCTATTTCGGTGACCTTAGAGCTCAGTCCAAGACCTGGTGTGTTCGGATATGATAATCCGAAAATGCTGTTGATTTCCGCAGAGTACTGTCGATGCGATGAGCATCTACTAACCGAATCGGCCTTTGAGTCACAAGTCGGATCACGCTGCTGCGTATCAAACACGACGTCGTCGTCCCACTCACCCGGTTGCAGGTATTCAGGCGGAGCAGATGACTCGGAAATATATTCAAAAAATGCGGTGGTGGCCTGCGAGCGAGAGTTTGTGGATACAGCCTCTAGAGGCGGAGAACAATCGGAAAAAGACCGGGGTGGAGAGGCGGTCCCGTAAAAGCAGCCGGAGGCTTCAATGTACTGAGATTGAAGAGAGTCTACTATCTCTGAAAGGCCGTCTTGTCGCACAAATAGCGATGAGGAGACCTTTGAATAATTATCGGAATCAGTGCTGCTCTGTTCGGTCTCGTTGTCGAAGGGCGAGTGGTCCTCTGGGCCTATGTTTGCTTCTGGTGATAAGGAAGAGACCTCGATGACACTAGGCGATTTAGGGGTCCTCTTGCGTGTCGGTCTTTGATTTAACTCGCTTGATCGCCGGGCTTTCCGCCGGTTCCAAACTTGTATAGCAAGCTCACTCGCGTTCTCTTTGGGTTCCTAGGCAAGCAACGGAACGCAATTGTTAGTTCAAGTTCAACAAGCATTTCTTTGATGCATTTTATGTCCAATGATACCACATGGACTCACCCAAGTTGGATCGTAAGGACCCTCCCAATCAATAAGATACTCGGTGTCTGTTTCACGGAGGATACACTTTATAGGCCACTCCTGGTCGTCCGAATCACTACCGTCGCTGCTTTCACTGCTATCGCTAATAATCACAGTTGCAGCTGGAGATCGGTCAGCATTCTTTCTGTGGTGACTATCAAGTTTCGGCTTAGGCTGCTCTCGAGACATCATGTGCGGGCGAATGTCGGGGAGATGTTGGATAGCATAACGGGGGTGAAATGAGAGTGTAGGTTCAATACTTAAGAAAAGCTCACATGAGCTGCATTGATCTGTGACACATACAATTTTTGATCCTGGGCAACATCTAACACTTCCCCAAAACAATGCGACGGTATGTGAAAGAGGGTAAATGTACGGCGCGACGGAGGACGGATAGTGAACCCGCTTCACGTGATAACGCTTATCGGCGGTAGATCTACAATATTTGGGAATAGTGACATGTGGTCAACGGGTAAGGCATGTGTCTAAATGATAATTTAAAGATGCAAAACTATTGTATATCTATTTGATTTAGATCACCGTTAATGTTGTATGTACAGGTTGAGATGTGAACTTAGACCATAATCATCATTGATTATCTTGTTGCCTCTTCCACTCTTCAAAGCTGAACCCAAGCTCTGCTAGATTCTTGATCTCGCTCCGCTCGTTACCTCGTTTCACGAAAGCGCGCCTGATATCTGGGAATTGGGCCCGCATCCATCTTTCCCGCTCACCCCACCGAGTACCAACTTTGCCTTGTCCGTTGTTAGACAGTCCAGGTCGAGGGTTGGCCATTTCCGCCCAGTCGTAGAGGAAATTGAGGTAATCAGCATCCATGGGAAATGGAAGCAGGTGGAACTCCTTTCCATCTCCTTTGGCATCAATTTCGGAAACCTCCCATGCCTTCATCTCCTCTTTTGGTGGAAGTGTAAGCCGTCCGGACCACACGCGTGAGAAGACAGCAGCGTGGTTCTCAGCCATAGGGAATGGAATAACCCGCTGCGAAAGCACCGGGAAGACGAGAGTGGGGTGCTCTATATAGAAAAATTGCTGGTAGACATTCATTGTTCGCCATCCATGGGTCACAACCGGTGGATTGAGTGAAGAAAGGAAAGGGTATGAATAGAAATACCCAGTGCAGAAAACAATGGCGTCGACATGTTCCTCAATGCGACCATCCGCAAATTTTATACCTCTGTCATAGGTCGTCGGAGGAAGAAACTCGACTATCTCCGGGCATATGATTTTGTCGCCATATGGGGGTGCGGCCAAGTAGGGTTCAGATCGTTGGGAGACCAACAATCTGCCTAGGCTTACTTCGTTGATCTGGGAACCAATGTCAAGCCCCGAAGCAGAACTTCCTACCACCACCACTTTCTTTCCTTGGAAAGATTCTGGTGAGTTGTAAAACTTGGAATGAGAGATAGCACCTGGGTGTGATGCATCCCAGGCTTGTATTCCCGGGATGTCTGGCACATAAGGGACCGTGAAGTGACCACTTGCAACCACAACAGCATCATAAGTGTGGTTTGTATCGATGCCAGTTCGAAGACTCTTTGCTGTTAGACTCCAGGTACTTAGAGCCTCATCCTTGAGCTTCACATCTAAGATTTGGGTCTCAAATTGAATGAAGCCTTTGATATCTTCGGCATATTCTTCGAGGTATTGTTTCACTGTCCGGTGTTTGGGGAAGAGTTGGGCTTCCGATGGGAAGGCCTTGTCCGAATAACGCATTAACTCCTTAGGAATATTGGTTTCTAGCCGATCATATAGCGGAGACACGAATGTTGCCTCACGCCCCTCAGTACGATCGATCCATACTGGCTTCTCAACTGGCTCATGAGGGGTTAAATGTGGGACAGGTGTCGACATCCCTTTTTTAGAGGAACTTGGACTGTAGTTCCAAACTCCTCCCACGGAGCTTCTTTGCTCAAAGACTTCAATTTGATCGAAACACTCCTCGGCGAGCAGGTATCTGAGTCGGTCAGCATACCGTGTTGGGGGTGACTATGTAACAACCCCGCTTACTTGACTGCAGCAAGGCCAGATGGCCCCGCGCCGATGACAGCTACTCGACGAATAGGATTTGTGATTGTCATGCTTTCAACAATCTCGGAAGCTCTTGATGGTAACAGGTAATCTATGTAGTAAGAAATGCGAGTTGGGTTGCGAGGTAGAAGTGGCCTCGGATGCCAAGCGCTTTCACCATAGTGGAGCTATATGGCTTGGAGTCTCAAACGATATAGCGTAGAAGGATGAAGAACATACAATATAGAGATATTTCTATTGACATTCAAAAGTATGTAGATTCAATGCTCTATAAAATCGACCAATCAGCAAGTTTCATTGGACATCAAAAATCCAATGAAGGGGGTATTCTTGGTTTTCACAATACGCCAATTACGCCTTTGTTCTCTTGTTATTACCGTAGTATTACCCGACAGAGCTCCAGCTAGTCACGTCTTTGCTGCACCAAATCCTGTACATCTCCTTTCAGCCCTCCGGTCTTCTTTCCTCGCATATTGTTACCTTTTTACCTTATCTTCCTATTATTTCAGGACATGTGGACAGCTTGACAAAACGACAGGGCGTGGGAAAACCGGCGCAATGAATGCGATCGAATCTCCCAAACAGTCTCCCGCGCCGAATGCGCTGGCGCATTTGACCAGGGTTCCGATAGCTCAGCTTTCTCCCGACCTTGAGCAATTGGCCGAAAGTTCTTTTCTTGCCGCTGTAGCCCTGGTATGGCCATACTCATCTTCGACCAAGTCTGTCAGCCTTCTGTTAGCAGAACCGGATTTCCGCCTGAGGGGCGCCAAAGGACAAATCAAAGTCACATTTCATGGAAACCTCGCAGAAAAGGTCGCAGAATCACATGTAGGAATTGGGGATGCCATTTGTCTGGCTTTGAAAAACACCAAGTTTGTTAGCAATGAAAGTGCCCAGCAAACCCCGGGAAGGTCTGTCGCGTGGGATGCGCACTATGAGAACGGCGGGTCTCTCGAGGTATGTTGCTCTTAAACTCGATCTGCGGCTTGCAGAGACTGATTTCCGCCCATCTAGGTCTATCGATCTTCCCAATCCCCGTTGATGATATCCGTTGAGCCTCAAGTGTCAGCGCCGCGTGAAACCGAACTCGCACCGCCTACAACTCCTAGTGGGAAGTTGATCAATCCCGAACTCGACCTGCCTTCCAGTGCACGCCCCTGGGGATCACCGGTATTCCTCAAGTCTACTCGAACCTCAGTTGGAGGAATAATCCGTTCCGCTTTCGACCCTTTCGTGGAAGAAGATGGATTTGTGCCAGGGAAAGGAAGGAAAAAGCCGAGGTACAGCTTGCACAGGGAAGACTGGCGTGTTATCAATGAACCAGAAAGCCCCCATGAGCAAGAAGCGTCGGTGGATTGGGAACAGGCTTTGAATCAATCTATCGACCAAGAGCTCAAGGACGCAGATTCGGCGAGTGAGCCTCCAGATGAACCAATGACGGATGCTGCCCAAGCTCCAAAACACACAGAGGATCTACCACAAGAGACACTTCCACTATTTGCAAAGCCTTCCCTTGAATTGACCGGGAGTATCCTTGAAAGACGTGCCGGCGAGTCAAATGTTTTGTCTCATGAACAAGTTGATATTCATGGAACACCTTTTCATCTGCCAACGGATACACCACAGATTCGACCCATCCCTTCTCCGGGGCTCCCGATACCTTCCCCGCTTACATCGGATCATTCTGGCTCGGCTGGCTATTTCCTGCCATGGACCGCACCCACGCAGCCCGAAGACATCCAATCTGTTCCTGTGGAAATGGAGATCACAGCAACGCCCGCAGAATCCTCCATCGAGACTCGTGATACCGATGCCATTGATCCAATTCTAATAGGAACAGCGGAACCAGTTGATCCGGATATTGAAACCATCCAGCAGGAACATGTCTTGGATGCTGGTTTCGTCTTCCGCGATGATTCGGCATCAGTTCCAGGCTCAGAAGGGTTACCAGAAGAGCAGGACGTTGAGACAATCGACTCCTCCAAAGCTATTGATGGATTAAATGTCATCGAAGCTGATGTGATCATCCATCCCACCGGCGACGAACCTCAAATATCAAACGAAGCACAGCAAAAGCGTGCTTTTGATGATGATAATATATCCCACGACCATCCAGCACCGCATCTGGACTCGGAAGGCGAACCAATCGACTCCCCCAATGTCAGCGATGAACCAGCTGCCGCTCAACCTGATACTAGTACCGAAAATCCGGCCGATGAAGCTCAAAAAGATGATGAAACAGACGATGAACGTCTCATTGATGTCAGTTACCTATGGCGCGATGATTCAGCATCATCTTCGCGCTCGGATGAGGACTCCGAAGATGAATCACTTGAATCCTCACAAGCGATCGATGGATCAGATAATCCTCAGGCTGATCCTGCCATCGAAACTGCCAACGACAATGTGGGATCTTCTCAACATCCCGGTGGATCTCATGACGAGGAACCTACTGAACCAGAGACTCAGTCGGTGAATTATCCCCAACCAGCCTCCGCCGTTGATCAGGATGCCATCGATGCCCTCGGAAGAATGATAGCCGTTCGAGAGGAGGAACTTGAAAGGAAGAGAGATATGGACGAGGAAAAACAACGCGAAGATGATCTCGATGGTTCATCTCTGGCCAAAGGGGATTTCGATCGGTCACCTGGTCAAGGATACAGTGAAGAAAAGCATGAAGTGTTTTATGCGGAGTCAGTGGAAAATTACGATTCACAAAATGACTATGAAGAGGATGAGGACGATGATCTCCGTTTTGATGCTCATTTGGAATCACGATTGGACGAATATGACTCCAGCGATGAATCCAGTGGTAAAAATTCCGAGCAGGAACAACAGCATATGCCTTCTCAGACGGGAAAGCACGAAGTAATCGTGCTGGACAGTGACAGTGATGATGAGCCTGCCTCCAATCATCCGGCAGCCTCAGCTTCCCAGTCAGCAGAGCTTGATGATCGCTCATACCGCTTTGAATCTGGGCATCCAGCTGTCCCTTCAGCTACAGACAATCTGGCAACGGGTGTACAGGAATCTCCAGAGCCATGGTATGTCGATGGAGAGGGTGGCTATCACGGAGCTGTGGAAGAAGATTTCGATGTTGATGAGGGCGAGGAAAGCGAAGAAAGCGAAGAGCGCGAATACAATCAACAAGATGACCGAGTTCACCAGAGTGACATGGATGATGACGAGTCGACCCAAGACCACTATGAAACGGACCATCCATCTGAAATCGCATCACCAGCCCCTGAGCAGGACGAAGACGAAGAAATGGATGGTGTAGAGCCCATCGAAGGAGCTGAGAACGACGAATCTTATGCTGCGACCAAACTTGTCGCACAGGTAGAAGTGGCAGTTGATCAGGACTCTGACGAGGAGCAATCGGGCAATGTTGATCCAAATCTTGTTGATCCAAATCTGCTTGATATGCCTGAATCTCACCAACAAGGCCCATCCTCGGAAAGGACATCACCCAACCCTGAGCAGGACGAAGATAAAGCAATGGAAGATAGGGAGCTCATCGAAGAAGTCAAGAACGACGAGTCTTATGCTCCGGCTGAAATTGGTGCACTGGTAGAAGTGGCAGTTGATCAGGACGTTGACGAAGAGCCGCCAAGCAATGCTGATGCAAGTTTACCCCCGGCTCTCATCATCCAGACCCATATTCGGAAATGGCAACACCGAACCCTGTGCAGGATGAAGATGAAGAAATGGATGATCCAGCACTCATCGAAAAAGACGAAAAAGACGAGTCTTATGCTGCGGCCAAACTTGGCGCACAATTAGAAGTGGCAGCTGACCAGGATGCTGACGAGGAGGAAGCAATTGATCCAAATTTACTTGATATGTCTGAATCTCATCATCGAGGCCCATCCTCGGAAATGGAAACCCATGCTGAGCAGTCTCTCGGTGCGGACCAACACCTTGATTTCTATATTCCTCCATCTTCGGGAAATGTTATGGCTGATTCTCTGTCAACGCATGAACCGGCTGTCGAAGGACCTGAGGCCCTTGGCGGTCGAGGCTCCCCGTCAGTTATGCCTCCGTTTGAGCGACAACTCCTGACCCCAGACCCCACCCAGGAAAATGCACCCACACGTGAATTGGATTATGATATTGAACCTGAAATTTCATTCGAAGAAAACGAACCTCCTAGTCTGGATGAAATGCCGCAGCCAGCTGGCTCACCGGAGTCCGAGCAAAATGATGATAACGAGGAAGAACTCATAGAACTCATACAAAACATCCAACCGGAAATGCACGTTGACGGACATGACGATGCCGCGGCTCCTTCGGAATTCGCCGAAGCCGCGGAACCTCCAGCAACGCCCGAACCCAGCCGCTCCGTGGAGGTTGTTATCAGCACCGAATCCCCAAGAACACTGGCAGCCCCCGTTGCACAGCCCGCAGTCCCCGACCGTAATGCCTCTGGACTACGTAGCAAGCTTTCCTACTTCGCCCCGCTTGCTACACTCATCGATCATTACGATGCTTTGGTCGATACCATCTCAATCGTGCACGAGGCTTCGCCAATATCCCGAGCCAAATCCGGTTCGAAAGACTGGTTCGTCACAATTCAACTTACCGATCCCTCCATGGCTGGCACGACTCTTCGTGCTCAGATTTTCCGACGCTACAAGGCCTCAATGCCGTCATTGGTTGAAGGTACCGCCATACTCTTACGCGACTTCAAGGTCCGGAGCCTCGATCACACGGTGATGCTTGTCAGTGTGGATTCCAGTGCATGGGCCGTATTCGACGGATCTAGTCCCGATGCCGAGACGAACGGACCCCCTGTCGAATATGGCTCGCAGGAACGTGCCTATGCGTCTGGACTACGTCGATGGTATGAGGAAGTTGGCTCGGATAGGGTCGCAGACCGTATGCTCCAGGAAGCTATCGCAAGAGACAGCCAGGAGCGCGATGTGACACCAAGCAGTCAAGTGCCAAGCGAGTCAGGGAGCCCGGATTCCAGGCGAGGCTCCCAGCGTAAGCGCAAAAGCAATCGCCGAGTCACTATCCATGAGCTGCGGGATGGCACTCGTTATACCGAGGTCGGGTCCCCAAACAGTCGAAACAGCAGTGTTCACGAGTTACGCGATGGCACGTTGTATGCCAATATTTGAAATGGTTGTCTTGATATCTTATCTTGACTTGATGTGACATCTCTGTCACAATTCAGATGTACCTACGGAGTAAAACAAAATAATTCACATGAACAAATCAAATCTTTTTTCAGTGTATTCAAGTAACTACCTACACGTAGCTAAGTACCTGTTTAATGACAGAGGATGTGATTAAACATCCATGTATCCCGTGGGATCTGTCAAATTGCTATGATGTTCTCCCGCTCCTCTGCAGTTTCCCACCCAGGCAAAACAACAAATCTTATATTATGCATGATATATCCATGATCAAGGCAAAAAAATGGCCCCGGGGGGGTCAAATCCCCGGTCTCCGTGTTCCTGTGTGTTTGAAATGTACAAGCACGGCGCGTTAACCACTGCGCCACTAGGCCAATTTTGACTGCAGCCGCACTTCTCTCGTCTTTCTAGGAAAAGCCTACATCTGATATAAGCCATATATTAGGGATTTGATAGTGAATTGTCAAAGCCTGCATTCGCGTGTACCGATTTCTTCCTAACATGACCCAGAAGGATTCGCTGTACTCTATGTTGTAATCCAAACATCCATCTACCACATCCGCTCTCTACCTATAAAACTACCCTGACAGAACCATCTTGCCCTCACTTTGGTATAACGTCACCCTCTCAGTCTCCGACACTTCATCACTCTGTAGCTTCTCGTTTTGGCCATTCTTATAAACAGATAAGAGTGGGATCGTATCATTCTTCCATGTGGGAATCGTAGCTTTGCGAGTCTTCCAAATGGTGCCTAAAACAGTGACAAGACCCAATAACCACACCAGTACCGGAAGAATGATCCATTGCCAATGGATAGAAACATGTGTCATACTCGTCATTGCCTGGCCGGTCGTATTGGAGAGGTTGAAAGAAGACGGCGTATCGCGAATGGTCTTCGACATTGCTTCGGCGACATTATCCATAGCACAATGCATCTGCTTGGCAGTTCCACCCAGGCAACCAGTGATATTCGAAAGTGTGATAAGCTGTATCAAATCTGCACTTGCATATTGATATTGAACGCTCTTGGGTAAAAAGTGGAAACCGAAGGGGTCGAGCTGCGCTCGGCCGGCGAAGAAGTCTTGAAAGAAATATCGTATCGCTGTAAGCGTCCGCTTGTATATCAGAAAATCTTTGTTTTTCTCAACGCCCATCTCCGGCCCCCAGGGGGGATGCATGTGGTAGTTACTACCCATGAAGAGGTTCTCAAAAGATCCGTTTTTCGCTATGCCCAGGGTTTCTTCGTGATAGACGCCCCGCCTGACTGTTGGACGAAAGCTGTGTACAACAGGATCAATGCTGCACTCTATTGCTTGCCATTTAGGCTGTATCTTAGACTCAAGTGCCCATAACTCTTCCACCGGTAGCAGGTTATCTGGGGCCACAAGTTGGATAGGAGGTATGATGCTGTCTGTGTAGATCAAAGGTTCCACGGATCCTATAGAGACTGGCGCACCCCAGAGTGTACCCGACTCCTGAACATAGGCAGAAATATTACTACTGCTATCTTTAAGATAAACAGAGCAGATCTTTGATGATGAATCCAATTTCTGACCCTCTAGGATATTGTCACATTTGGTTTTCAGTCGGTCTGTGATGTTTGTGCAACTCGCCCTCATTTCCAGGGTAGCAATCGGATCCCAGGTACAGTTTCCTGAGCTACAGGTGTACTGTGGAATGTGCCATGGCTTTGTCGGGTCGCTGTTGAATAGCGAATTGTAGATATTAGCTTTCATTGCCGGATCAAGATAGTACGCCGCTATACACGTAGGTTAGTTACATTCAGGTCAACAGAATCCCACACATCCTCTTACCATTATTTAATGGAGGACCTAAGGCGTCGTATACAGGGTTGCTAGACACGATTGCAGTCCCTGCGGGGTCGACAATGAGTTTAGGATAGTAGTGGATCAAATTTTGAACGAAAGGGTCAAAGGCGATCGCAAGGATAACAGCTAGACTGCCCAGGGCTGCAAAATGTCTATATTTGTAAGCTCTAGTCAAGACGCAGCCACGGGGATACATATACATACTTTGCTCGTTGTCTCCAAACTAAGGCTGCGCAACCCCATAGTCCCCGACTGGCCCCATCGAAGATACTCAGATCAACCAAGGGTCGACTCTTTCGTGTGAACCACACCCACTTCAGCTGTCCTATTCCCTCGCTGATAGAGAACAAGACACATCCTTTCGAGACCGTGCTTAACCAGGAGATTACCGAGTTCAGCGACAACGTCCAGCTTGGTTGAGGGCGATCATCGTACTGTGTCAATATCACAACGATCGCGACCAGAAGTGCCGAGGATAAGACCATTGCTAGTATCTCCCAGATAAACAAATCCGAGATAAGTTTCCATATGGTTGGTTTTTCTTTAGATTTGTGATCTGTCGGTACAAGCGGTTCATTTGCTGGTTCGGGATGAGGCTCAACGGGGAGGATCCTGGGCGATTGTGCGGGCGATTGTACAGGTGTGTTCGTCTCTGCATTTCGAGCTTCATTTGAATGTCGGGATACAGGTAGCTCTCTTCTATCTTGGTTTGTGTCCATTTCGAAGACGCATAGATATTAATAAAGAGGTAGTTTTGTAAGGGACTGCCATTAATATTAAGCAACAGTGGTGTAAGACGAGCTAGTTTCGTCTTGGCAATTGGCCCCTGGCTATGAAACAGTCTAAGGCTGTGCGGGGCTATGGCGAGGGATAATTATTGGTAAAATTGTCCTTTGGGGGCCATTTCGTCCCTTTGGGGGCCATTTCGTCTGAATCAATAAGAACTGGGTAGAATACGAATCTTGAGTTTCCAGGGTAATTGCGAAGATATTGCTGAATCCTTGTCAAGGAGAGACTCCCGAGATCAGCCTCACATGCAAATGTTGGGAGATTAAATCAGCCTAAACCTGAAGATTCCGATCAAGTTTCTTCTATGAAAATGTTAGTCTTATTGCCAATATGTTGAAGTGAGTGGAAAGTGGGTGTTGATTTTATACTAGGTATATACGTCCGGCGATCTAACTTGTTCATGATCGACCGTCTTTAAAACATTAACACCTCCAAGTCATATTTATATTTGTGTCGAGATGTGGCGCACTATTTGCGCTCAAGGGACTTTTTGGTTTCCCTTCCCTAGCGGATGAAGAAGATCTTATTAAGGAGAAAGCAATTGTCGTGGAGTTCAGAGATGCTATAGTGAGTGCCCTGACTACATACGCATGGTAATACTTCTACTAATGTTCATCAATAGGCTGTTGATGTCGAGAAAGGGAAGTCTGATGAAACATACTTGTTTTACTTCGGCTCGTGATACATACTTAGTCTTGATAGTGAACGTCTAAATTCAACAATGGTATATTTGCTGGCTTGGCGCAGTGATCAGAAGCAAGATTTTACATCTTAGACTGCTTCTCTGCCGCAAAATATTCCGCGCTCACAGCAGCCTTGATCAACTGATTGGCAATGGCCGTAGGAGGGGGCAATCGCAAGCCGCCCTTGTATTCCGGACCAGCCTGGGCGCTCAAGTCACTTGTACCAATGCGCAGCGCCTCCTCCACCTCTTCAATCTCAAACCACCGCGCATCCTCCAACTCAGGATCGTGCTGTAAAGAGATAGTCTCATGAGAAGGGTCACTGACCTGGGCAATAGCACCAATCATCAGATTGGCCGGATACGGCCAAGGCTGCGAGGAGTGGATAACAACGCGGGACAAAGTGACACCTGATTCCTCCCACACCTCTCTCCGCACAGCATCCTCAATTGACTCGGCTGGCTCAATAAACCCAGCCAAAGTGGAATACCACCCTGGCGGGAACCGCTTAGAGCGCCCAAGCAGGATCCGCTTGCCGTCGGCGGAGACCACTGCCACGATGATAGTCGGATCGGTACGGGGGAAGCAAAGGTTTGATAGCGTAGTACGGGTATTGCACTCCGGACGCTCTTCCGTCTTGGCCTCGGTTGCTCGTGCAACATCTGTCGGCGGACAGGCACGCTTGGTTCCTGCATTCACGGCCAAAGTCCGGTGGCCACATGTGCCACAGAAGATGTTGCGAGTGTTCCAATCCATCAGCGCACGTGCCTGTGCGTAGATAGCAGCTATCCCAACTTTATTAGTTCCCTTTTATCGATGTATACATTTCGCATTTTCATACCTTCATCTGCGGAAAAGGACATGACAACTCGCGCCTGGAAGAAAGACAGTCCCTTCTCCTCCATGGCACCGATCACATCCTTCGCTGCAACCTGCTGCTCTTCGGCGCCCCTAGGGGTCACATCGACTGCGAAATACGGCGTGCCAGAGTATAGCTTCCATGACAGCCCCCTTCCTTGCGACTCTCGTCCAATCCGAGGAATATAAGGGTCGGGTGTGTCTTGCGCGAGTCATAGTTCTTGATCATATCTTCCTCGGAAGTATCGAAGATATCCTGGGGTACAAGCCTGCGCACATCTTCATACTTGGCATAGTGTAGCTGTGCCGGCGACGGAGTCAAGGGTGCTAGGTTGTTCAACAAAACAAACCGGGCCGAAGGGTGCTTCAGGGCTGTTGACAGGAACGGGTGGTCGGAGCGCAAGAACGACAGACGATTGATTGGAGAGCCTGCAAATTCTTTAGCGCTACTTCTCCACATATATAAAGTTGAAGACATCTTTACTGGAGAAGTAATTGACCGTCTCTTTGCCGAAGTGTCGGGACAACATTGAATCCGCGAGCGTATGAGCCGGGTTGGGGATCTGAGGGGTTGTGCTCATTCTGTAAGGGCTAGGTTGCCAATAATAAATGTGTAATATGATAAGTATATCAACAAGAAAAAGATCGGTCAATACTGAGTCTATGTCTATATAAAATATGTATGAAGAAGAACGTGGAATCCAGGACAGTCCTGGTGGACGCCCAGGAGTCGCATTAATCAGCGGCTAGCGGCCCACCTCGGCACCACGTGTACAAACGGATTACACATTTTTGTTCGGAGTTAAGCCGAAAATACCAATAACAGAATATATTACAGTAACTTACAGTCATACCATTACCAGCGAAGCGGGGGAACCTGAGCTCCCCACACACGTGACCACATTCTTTTGACTCTTATCGCCGACGAGCATCTGTGCGAAGCACACGATACGGACGTCTCAGTCATATTCGGCATCATGGGGCACCTGGTCACTCTAGCAACATGGTAAGGCTGACCTACTTAATCCGGATACTCGAAAGCCCCGCGCTAACTCGTTCTAGCTCTTTGAATCAGTGGGCTCTCGACTTTGAGGGCAACGCGGAGCGTATCATTGAGAGTATTAGGCGAGCTAAGGCTGCTGGTGCCACTTTGCGCGTTGGACCAGAGCTCGAGATTACCGGCTATGGAGTTCTGGATGGTTTCCTTGAGGGCGACACCTTCTTGCACTCATGGCAAATGTTTGCCCGCATCATCGATCACCCCGATTGTCAGGATATTGTCGTTGATGTCGGATTGCCGGTTCGCCATCGCAATGTGCGCTACAACTGCCGGTGAGTATCTCCGATACAACTTGTATTGCATTAGCTGACATATACCCTAAAGTGTGATTTTCTACAACCGGAAGATCGTCCTGATTAGGCCTAAGATGTGGCTTGCCAATGGTTCGTTCAATTGCCCTCTATACTTCCGAGAATAGTTGCTAATATTAATTTTTTCCTAGATGGCAACTATCGCGAGCACCGACACTTTACGCCATGGCAGCGTCCACAGGAGGTGGAAGACTACTACCTGGAATCAATTGTTGGAAAGATTACTGGCCAGTACAAGGTTCCATTTGGTGATGCCGTTATCAGCACGAGAGACACATGTCTCGGCCTTGAGACGTGTGAGGAGCTGTTTACCCCTAATGGGTATGTGTTGAACTCTCTGTGTGGATTTGGATGCTAAAAATCGACTCTAGCCCTCACGTTCCATATGGCCTAGCTGGTAAGTCTCAATGTTCAGACAACCGCAATCATTGTCTAATCCGAATCAGGTGTTGAGATTATCTCCAATTCTTCGGGCAGCCACCACGAACTGAAGAAGCTTGACACTCGTATCAATTTGATCACCCAGGCTACCAAACTGGTGAGTGAAAAACGACGCTATAATAGTATAACACTTTTCTTACACCTTACAGAGCGGTGGAATCTATCTTTATGCCAATCAGCAAGGCTGCGACGGTGATCGTCTGTATTATGACGGATGTGCTATGATTGTCGTTAACGGTGACATCGTGGCTCAAGGTTCACAGTTCTCTCTGAATGACGTGGAAGTCGTCACTGCAACTGTCGACATCGAAGAAGTCCGCACCTACCGGTGCAGCGCAAGCCGTGGAATGCAAGCGAGCAAGCAGTCGCCCTATGTCCGCCTTGATCTTGACATCAGACTTTCTCGCCGGGATGAAGATGCCGAGCCTAGCCTCGCGACTGCTCAGCCTATCAAGCCACGGTACCATTCTCCCGAGGAGGAGATTGCTCTGGGGCCTGCCTGCTGGCTATGGGATTATCTTCGGAGATGTGGAGCCGCTGGTTTCTTCCTTCCTCTAAGCGGTGGTATTGACAGCTGTGCCACTGCAACCATTGTGCACTCCATGTGTCGCGAAGTGCTCAAAGCAGTGGGAGAAGGGAACGAGCAGGTCATCATGGATGTCCGCCGGCTGTGTGCGAAGCCAGCAGATTCGGACTGGCTTCCTACCACCACCCAGGAAATTTGCAAGTAAGTCTTACAAGTCTTACAACTGTTGAGCGTCTATCAGACCAAACTTTTCTATCGTCGTAGTATGGGGCAACATTGACCAAATTTGCTAGATCTATCTTCCATACCAGCTACATGGGCACACAAAACTCAGGCCGGGAGACACGAGACAGAGCTACTCGACTGGCCAATGATATTGGGTCTTACCATATTGACTTCAACTTCGATACTGTGGTCACTTCTATCATGAATCTCTTCACTGTTATCACTAACTTCCAGCCTCGTTTCAAGATGCACGGGGGATCTCCTGCGGAGAATGTCGCGCTTCAAAATGTGCAGGCTCGGATGAGAATGGTTCTCTCATACCTGTTTGCCTCGTTACTGCCGACTGTGCGTCAACGCCCTGGTGGTGGTGGCTTGCTTGTTCTCGCATCATCTAACGTTGATGGTAAGTCTATCAAACATGAACATCGTACCTTGTTGAGCATCATCACTAACCGTTATTACAGAATGGTACGCCACATAACTACACTAATTTCCTTCCTGTAACTGACTAAGCCCATCTAGTTTGCGAGGCTATCTCACCAAGTACGATGCCAGCTCCGCCGATGTAAGCATCAGTTTCCACAAGTCCAAGAACCAGTATGTTACAGACTGACCCAAACGACCAGCTCAACCCCATCGGCTCCATAAGCAAAGTCGACCTTAAGAAATTCATTTCCTGGTCCGGCCGAAGCTTCGGCCTCCCGATCCTCGAAGAATTCATCCACGCAACACCCACCGCCGAGCTGGAACCCATCACGCACGACTACGTTCAATCCGACGAAGCCGACATGGGCGTTACGTACGCGCAGCTGGGTGTTTTCGGATACCTGAGAAAGGTCTCCAAGCTAGGCCCGTACTCTATGTACGAGAAGTTGCTCCACATGTGGGGCAACGAGTACAGCCCGCGCGAGATCTACGAGAAGACCCGCCATTTCTTCTACTATTATTCCATCAACAGACACAAGATGACTGTTCTTACGCCTAGCTACCATGCTGAGCAGTACTCGCCGGAAGACAATCGTCATGATTTGAGACAGTTCCTTTGTATGTTTTCTCATTCTTGGGTTCTTGGGTTCTTGGGTTGCGTGCTAACTTTGTTGTAGACCCGCCGTTTACTTGGGCGTACCAGAAGATGGAAGAAAACGTCAAGTACTGGGAATCTAAGGGATGGACTACTGGCAAGGGAGGGAAGAAGAGTGTCAAGGCTGATTAGACGTAGATAGTGTGGGTGTTGGAATTTTCAAGATGTTTTGTGTACCTAGCTTAGGTTTTGCTTGATATTCATGTCTCTATGGCAATTAAGATTGGGTACTTTTATCAATCACAGACTATTTCCCATAAGATATCAAACTAGCTGGGGTTTACTTTTCCGTGCGGCCTTGGGAGGGGAAGGCAATAATTGAATGTACATAGCCAGGCTCGAAACCAGGGTTGGATGTAAATTGCAAAAAGACTAAAAGGGTATCTACATAAGCAGCCGACTATATAAGAACATAAAAACTTCCGTATACTTCGGAGGTTGAACTATGGTTCTTGGCTTTAGCTGCAGTGGGGCTCTTAAGCTTGAAATGACGCCAGCGGCTCAACACAATTGTGTTTGTATAGACATATGCAGCATGTTTGTTAGATTGTTTTCTTCAATTGAATTTAGATGGGAGAAAAAGTAGAGAGTGTCATATATTGTACACTCACATAGAGGAATAGGGAACATGAATAAAGCCACATTGAAAAAAACAAGGCAAAAATACAAAAATACATTGGGGATCACGTGGCGTTGAGTGGGGCTCCCCAACATGTATTCAACTCTGCATTCAACTCTCTCTTCACTTTTTCCAACCTACCGAGGTAGTATCGCTAGTCTCTAACCTTATCATCATGGGCAAGGAAGACATTAACCGCAAGGACATTTCAACTCAGAAGGACTGGGCTGATGATGAGAGCAACCCGTTCGTCGCCTTCCGGCGCTACGCCGATGAGCAGGTCTCCACCATGCTTCAATCTATCACGGGCCTCCCCTCAATGTTGACACAGCCTCACAACGGCCACTGGGATATATTTGTGGATAATCACGGCTATGACAATCGGTTGGCTCGTCAAATAACCGGTGATAATACGAACAGTTATCCAGACCGCGACAGTGAAAGTGGTTATCTGGGCAACGGAGGTGGAGATGATCCACGCAATGGAAATCACTCACCGCGCTGGCCTGAGAGCGATGACCCATCACACTCTCAATCTCAATCCCAGAGAAACTGGTCTAATGGACCATCCGACTTCTTTGGCCTCGATTCCTTCTTCGACCGATTCTGGCTTGAGGACCGCTTCTTCCCCTTTGCATCCCAGCTTCTGCACTCCGGCCACAACCTTCTCGTCCGAGATATGTTCGAGGACACTGACTCGCCAACCTGGCCGATCGCGTACATCATGTTCAGCCCGTACTCGCCTCTCCATCTAGAACAACAAGCACATTACCAAGCACACCGTGAAAAGGGTGTTTTCTCGTCTATCATGTCATCTTTACACCTCAACTCCGACCGTGACCCATCCGAGCCACAATGGCGAGAAGCCTTCGAGGATTTACTTCGACTCGAGAACGATAAGCCGATGCTCGATCGCAATACGTCCGTTACAAGATCCGAGGCCGGAAAGGATTGGATACAAGGGCTTGTGAAAAGAGGCAGCTTGGGAGATAAGTGGAAGTATGTGAATGGCAGAGAGGGCCATCCTTGGTCGGGCATTACGTTCTCCGGTGCAGGCCCAGAGCAGAACCAGTCTCACTCTTGGTCTCTACCCGAGAAAGAGCAATCCGCAGATACGGAGGCTGACAGCGAGCTGGATCTGTATGAGCGCTTCTTGCATGATATCGAAAACCGCGAGCGTGAATTTTTCCGCGGTGCCTCCGAAAGCCCTCTTCTACGTCTCCTCCTCGAGGAGCGACGACAGCAACAGGAAGAACTTGAGAAATACAGACGCAGCCCCCCAAAGCTCGATGAGCACAGCCGTGACGATAATGAGAATTGGATCGATCTTGTGTCTGGCGGAAACAAAAAATCAGTTCCTGAAACAGCCAAGGATTTGCCAACCGAGATCGAGACCAAGCCAACTGAAGCTGAAGCTGTCTTGGAAGCGCAGCCTCGTATCATCTCCACTATGACTCGAACGGAACGCGTGCGGCTTCCTGATGGCTCGGTTGAGAGCAAGATTGTCAACACGAGGCGTTTCGCAGATGGCCGAGAGGAAAGTGACGAATCTGTTGAGGTGTCTCATCCTCAGGAAGGTTACAAGCCTGGATCCGATACGTCGAAGAATGGTTGGTTCTGGAAAGACTAGGACTTTGCGCAATATCTACGATGAACGATCTCCTCCGGCTATGACCTTTAATATGATTCCCTTTTATGTCTAACTCTTCAGCGCGTTTCGATTTATGATTTGCGTGTTCCACTGTTTTCCGGATGCCGTCCCCTTTTATTCCTTGTAATTTGATTCTCTGGTTTCAAGCCACCTGGCTGTGTGTACATTCAATTATTGCCTTTCCCCCTGCCGCGTGGAAAAGTAAATCCTAGCTAGTGTATTTATAACCAGTGACAAGAATATTTGGCATTGAATCAATATGGTAGTCTTCTCAGATGTCTCCTTAAATGTAATTTCGTTTTAGATATTTCTTCCCTTCATCAGGGTTATATATAGCTATAAGGATAAGAAGAATGGGCCCCAATTTTATAATATACGTAGTAAAAACAGCGTAAAATGTATAAAACGACTTTTCAACATATAACATTTGATTTGGTATTAAATGATAACATTCTGGGAGATGTTGCAAAGAAAATATAACAAACATCCTGAACATAGCATGTTCTCCATCTCACATATGCGCCTGTTGGGGCTCCCAAGCTTCATCAAATCCAGTAGACCGGACCCACATCGGTCGATCTCCCTCCTCGACAGTAGAGTCAACAGCTGTGGAGCAGTTAGCAAGGTGACAAATGTGTAATATCAGATCCCGCTGCTTACCTATATTCCCAATCCTAAGCCACATATCCCCCTTGATCGGCATCTCAGGATGTTTGCTCTCATATGCCTGGCAAACATGCTGACCATGCGCCAAAGCCCGTGCAAGCTTAGCCAGATGTCCGTCATCACCGGGGTGGGCGATACTTCGCGCGAATATCTGTGACCAGTCTTCCTTCACGGGATAATTCGCCACCTCATCCAGTAGAAGATCGGGCGTTCCGCGCGAAGTATACATCAGGAGATCGATGCGTCCCTTCCATTCCAGCATGCGCAGCTTGGATTTCTGGTCCAGGAACGGGAGGTTGATAATCTTAGAAAAGAAGATTGACGAATTGACGCAATGGATGAAGAAGAAATCAATCCTCATCTCCCTGGTTGGACGCTGTGCGGCACTGGTATAGTAGGCTGAGATGAATTTAGCAATAGTTCCTCACTCACATCACTCATAAAACACCGGAAGGTACATGTACTTCCAAGGACTTACCGACTGTATTGATCATATCCGCCAACCGCTCCTCCGCCTGGTCCTCGGACACAGTAAATTGAGAAGCATACTTGAGCATCTGCTCCGGTGCTCTGTGAAGGACTCCATCCTTGATCTTGTTACCGTCAGACCACTTAACGCTCTCAATAAGAGCCTTATCCGCGCGCATCTCATTCAAGAGTTCTAGCAGCGACTTCTGTCCGGGCTTTCCAATACCCCCAGCCATTTTCTCAGCGGGTAAGAAGAACGCACGACCAAGCCAGTCATCGTGCACAGCTGCCTGTGCAAGTCCTTGAGCTACAATGGCAGGCTGGTTGAATTCTATACCGAAACCGAGGTGGATGAGGGGGTGAATGAGACCTGGATGGATTAGCCCGGAACATGAAATATCAATATAACCCATAACGAGAAGAGAACTCTTACCGCCAAACAACCGACACATCATACTCTCCGCTCGCTCATCGCCGGCGAAGACATACTCCTTCAGAACCTCGGCAACGCCCTTTGCGTCGATCTCATGTTGGAAGAAAGCTAGGTAGTTAGGGTAGTGTTCTTCCTTCCCGGCGTACTTCTGGAATTCAGCAACATCATGCATGGATTGAACGATATCTTGGCTGGCTGGGAGGGCGGGTCTTTGATAGCTCTTATTCCGCCCATAGCAAGCCTTGATATCCTCTGGTGATGCACCAAGAGCGTAGATACTAAGAAGTTGATGAGGTATGTGATCTGTGTTTGCATTAGATATAGTTCTTGGCGAGGATGTCTGAAACATACTATGGAACCTCTGCTCATTGAAGAAGACGTGGTGTGTGGCCAAATCATCCTGCAAGATCTCGCTCACTGTTCGCGCAGAGTCTTCCCTCACATTTGAGCTGTAGATGCCCGAGTCTGTCACCGGTGACAGCTGGATATTAGTAGCGGTGGCCATTGTGGATGGAGTAGCGCGGAACAGGTTCCCGGTGGAACTATACGAGCTGTACTGCGCGGCTAGTCGCGGAAAGGGTAGAGTAGGAGATGTTGAAGCAGAAGAGCAGGTTGTTTGAAATGTTGAATATCGACTGGGATAGTAGCGAGTACTATTCAGAATGAGAAGCTGAGACTGTGTTGTTGTAGGCTTTGATCGGAACAAATGTTGTTTGTGACACTGTAAAGGGCGGAGAAGCATGTCCTTTATATAGCTCCCATCTGGTATATAGTAAGAACCTGTACAACTGTCAGAGCTAGCCAGTTCTCCAGGTAATTTGATAGCCTATCACGATCGTACAATTATTCAGAAACAAAAAAGGCGGAGAAATCGGGCCTGGGGATTTCCCGTCATGACCAACGTCATGGGCCTAGACACCACTAAGGTGGAGGCGTTAGTTATCCAGACCGGTCCTGCTGACTTAATTGATTATAAAGGTTCGAGGTCTAGCCCTACTCTATAACACATAACACATAACGTGTCTTTTTTTATATTTCTGTTTTTAGATGATAATTCGGGGGTATCTGTCATTCTGGGGTGCATAAGAAACGTCAACTACGCGCCCAAAGAAACCCAAAAAAGACAGCAACACATCTACTCCTCGGTCTCCCTCTCCTTCTTGCGACGTTGTCGGTCTCGTTCCATCTTCTTGAACAACGGGTGATGCCCCTTATCCTTAAGCTGCTTGTTCCTGCTCTTGTTGTACTCGATATAAGCCATATCCTCACCACCAGCCAGACCGCTAAGGGTGGTAGCACTGCGTTTAGCACCGCCTTTCTTGGATGTCACTCGTTTGCCAGAGCGCATTGAGAACAGATCATCATTGACCTGTTCGACGTCGGCCGATGACTCATTCTGCAACATGACTTCTTGTAGAAGCTCGCGGCGTTCCGCTGGCGTCGAGTACGAGAGTCCTTCGTAATTATCTATGCCCTGGAGATGGGTGATGACCTTGAAAGCATAACCCTGATCGATCAGGAATGCCTGGCGTTTGGCCGAGTAAACCATCTCATTAGTGTCCTTGGACACGAGCGAATAGAAGAAAGCATTGAAGCCCTCGTCGTTTCGACGCTTGGCTCGCAGGATTCGTCCCAGGCGCTGAGCCTCCTGACGACGTGAACCGTAGTGAGACGAGATCTGAATCAGACAAGTGGCCTCGGGTAGATCGAGTGAGGTATCACCAATCTTGGACAAGAAGATGGTGTTGACCTGCTCATTGTGTTGGAAATTCTCCAAGATACGCATGCGCTCATTTTGAGGAGTTCCACCGTAAATGTAAGCCTTGTTCAGCTTGAGCGCATATCGCTCGAGAGCGTAGACATTGTCAGAAAACACGATGATCTTATCGCCGCGCTTCTCGTGGAAATCGATCAGGAACTGACACGCTTGGAACTTGCGAGGGTTCATGATGTATAGCAGAGCTTGTTTCCTGGAACTTTCCCGCAGATACTCCGAGTAGAACTCGGTCGTCATCGGGCACCACACTTCGGCACACTGGACCTTGGCGATGTGGCCCTGTGCAGCAAGTTCCATCCAGTTTGCTTCGTAGAGTTTCGGTCCGATCAAGAAGTTCAAATCTTTGATCTTGTCGTCCTCACGAAGTAGTGTTGCAGTGAGACCAAGCTTGCTCTGTGCGGCAATTGCGGATGTGACCTTTCGGAACATCGATGCCGGCACGACGTGCACCTCGTCGAGAATCATCATACCCCATTCTCTCGATTGAAGCCAGTCCATCATCTTCTGGGCATCATAAGACCGTGCACGGGTCTGTGACACCATTGAGTATGTGGACACGATGATACCAGTTGATCGCTTGAATTTTTCTTTATGGTCCGATGTGAAGATGGCGATATCACCCGGGTCGATGGTTGTCCATCGCAAGAACTCGTTTCGCCACTGAACCACGGACATGGAACTGGTGCAGAGGACAATAGTGCCTTTCTTGATGGTCGCCGCGGCAGTGATACCCACGAGGGTTTTACCAGCACCACAAGGAAGCACAATGATACCACTCTTGGCTCGCCCGTTACCGAACATTTTACTTAAGCTCTTCTCCTGGTAGGACCGAATCCGCGCAGCGGGTTTCAAATCCATGTCCAGATTTGGATTGACTGTGTCTCCTTGGAAATCATACTCTTCCAAGGCAGGACATCCGATCGATTGGCAGCGGGCCTTGACCACTTCGACACCAGCAGCGGGGATTTCGAAACTGTACGTGGTTGCTTCTTCAGTCTCATCCTCGCCAATGTCGTCGATGCCATAGTTCACGGCTCCTCCTTCTTCAGTCTCATCTCGAGCTATGGCAGCAGCAGCCTCCTGTTGAGTGGTCTCTCGTACACCAGCTGCATCTTTCGTTCCAGGAATGACAAGACCACCCATTTTCGGAGCAGCCCGTTCAATAATTCCTTCGGTATTATCCATTCTCTGGGGACCAATCACTTCATCTTTCAGCAATCGCTGAAGCATTTCAGGATCTGTCGTTTCCACGTAGTATCGATTATGCCTCAACACCATCTTGATTTTTCCGTATGACTTTGTGAACTCGATAATGAACGTGCGAATACTTTCGGGCAGTGGCGTTTTCGACAGACGGTCCAAGAACTCAACAATATCCTGCGGTTTGAGACCGACCGAGACCGCCGCATATAAACTGTGTCCGGTCAAGCGATATTCATGCAGATGGGTCGGACGGGAAAGCGGTTCCGCGATGGTGGTCAGGAAATCTTGGGCCTGGGGTGCCAGCGGGGAGAAGCTCTCGAGGGTGATTGTGCCTTTCAAAGGTTCGATCCATAACGGCCGGTTGTAGTGGTCGCGCTTGAGCGGGAGCGAAGAAAGATCTTTGTATCCAAATCTGGGGTCCGTCTTCTCCACCTGGTTCTTCTTGCCGAATGCCTCGAGAGAGAACTTATTGACGACCGCTTTAGGCTCCAATTTTAGTCTCTGGTTCACTTTAGGTGAGCAGACTGCCACACTATACCTTTCAAGCTGGATTCCTCCGGTAACTCTTCCTGGTCTGAGTATTCATCGCTGCTGGAAATATCGATGTCGGGAACTGGTGTGGCTCGTTTTGAAGCACCGCTAGACCGACCGGCTGGATATAATTAGTCACCTGACGTTTGGAGATATGCACCGGAGACTTACTGTCGGCCGCTTTGCGTTTGGGAGGCATATTTGGACTGGTTCAGTGAGACAAACAAATGAATGTGCTGAGCAGATAGTATCGCAGTAAGTGAGCGTCCGGTGAGACGGAGCGACGCCCCCGTTGAAGGTATCTCACTCCAGCATGGAACCAAGATGCTGCGCCGGATGAACAGGCGGCGGAAAAAAAGATCGACGGTTTATTGCGGAGTAGCGAGATAAGTGTCGGTGCGACAGAAAAGTAATCCTCAGTGGAGGTGGGATGTCGCCGAGAGCGACGATATATATATGATGGAGAAAACGATCAAGGCAGAAGTCGTCCTTATTTCCCAAAGACGATGCGCCGGTTGATAAGCCTTCGCCTGAGGCACCAATTACATTGGTCCGTGCGTAGCCGCTCAACTGACGTAGAGCATCCTTTTCCCGATGTCGGTTGCTTCACACACCTAACTACCGAATTGTACATCATGAATACAGTAATTTCCTCTGTCCAATGCCTCTTGAATCTTGCTAATTATGTTGCCTTCTAGATCCGATCTACCTGGTGAGCGAAGATACCTCTATCTGAATGAAAAAACGAACCCGGAACATAATTACTGATGTGGCTCTCACTTGAACAGGATGGGCTGGGGCACCCTTTGCCTTGGTACGTAACCTATCAATTGCTGGCTAATGACTAGTACCAAATCCAGCACTGATATGTAAAGACTAACCACATCCCTACAGCTGGCGGCGGAGCGTACTATTTCGCAAAGCAATCCATCAACGCCGACCGACAAGCCCGATTTGAAGCCGAAGTCAAGCGCAAGGCCCAAATGAAGCGTATGGAGGACGAGCATAAGCGCCAAGCGCAAGTGCCCACATCAACCCCGGGAAACACTAGCTCGAAGCAAGCAAGCATGGCACGATTCCAGAACGCCCCCGATGACGCCGCCTTGCCTAGTGTCGAAGCTTCTCACGATCCGGCGCCCACTCGGCACGAACCCTTGACCGAGACCGAGCGTGTGCTGGAAAAGGGGAAGTACGAAACGGCACAGCCCTACCGTCCTCCGAGTGGGAACCGGTTTAGCTGAGCGGCTGGCCGCGTTGTATATTTCGATACGGAATTCTCCGTACGCAAACTGAAAAATAGAGGATTGTGGGATAAAGTGGATAATATGGAGAGAGTTCCTCAGACTCGATCTACTTTGTACTACATTTGGTTCGTTCGATGGTAACATCTCACTCGAGATGCGAGTCAATTTAATAATGAATCAATTCGCGCAAAGTTGGCTATCTAATGATCCCCGCATTTCATAGCGATGAGGTCTAACCATCTCCACTCTCAATAGTAACAATGTATCGTAAAAGCATAGAGCCAAAAGAGAACCAAACGCCGAATTCCAAACTCCTTGGGCATAATGCATCATATCGCAAGCGGGTTGTGTGTCAGTGCCTGCACCGACAGTCAAGATTCCAAGTCAACAGCTTAGCGACTAGCGCGCATGGAAGCAAAGTGGGGGGTTCCTATATGTCAAGTTAGTTTCTCCACACCAGCTTGTATTGCAAAAGCATAATGTGATACATTTTCAAGACTTACTTGGCGCTAGTAGCTATGCCCGAGCTCCGCTGTCGCGAGCTTTCCAGAGCAGGTGGGACAAATGGAAGTACCACACCGGATACTATGCAACCCATAGCGACAGCGCGAGCAGCACGAGAGTCAGGACGAGGACGGTGAGCCGAGAAATGACGGATGGAGGGGCGGGCGATTTGGGATGCGATGGAAGCCATATTGTAGAATAAGCTTGAGAGTGTGGTTTTGGTGGATTTTCAACTTATTTTGATTTCAAAGTTGGTTTTTTTCAGTGTAGACTATAAAATTAGAAGAGAAAATAGATAGAGAGAATTTATATCAAAACATAGTCAGGCCATGTAATTGCGCAAGTGGTCCGGGGGGCGGGGCATATGGCCTGATCCTCGATGAGAACATTCATCCGTGATCAGGCGGGATCGGCACTTGTCTTGAAAGCCCATGTCTACTAGTACAGAGTAAATTAAAGGCCTTACGCCATCGCGGGGTCTCAAGTCGCAAGGGTTTTAGTGCTTGGACTTCGCGTTAACTGCGGATATAGACCGGTTCCGAATGAATCTATTAGATCCGATAAACCAAACCTGAGTTAGATAAATCTGATAACCTGAAAGAGATAACTTGAGGGATATGTAACCTAAGGTGGCAGCTAAACCTGACATGTAGGTCCTAATAAACCTCATCATGGATATCTATGAATTGCCCAATATCCAACGTTACTACATGTATCTATGGATATTGTACTCCATTTTAGTTATGGCCAAATGTATAGTTGAATTATGTCACTTCTGTAGTGTTATTCACGGGTGTATTCAACTCCGAGTCCTCATGAACGGGTGAAATTGTACTCCGTACTAAGCATTGAAATAGAGACGATTTGGTGCGGAGTATGAAGTATGAGTAGACGCTTTTAGGAAGGCCATATCCTTAATAAGCAGGCGGTCTAAAAGGCGGTCTACATACTGAGGCGCGTCCTGTTCTCCGATAGAGGTGGAATGGACGTATAGAAGATCACGTGCGATAAAAGCTTCGATAAGGAAGACGACCAAAGGTTGAATATGTTCGACTCTCTTTTCCTCTCTCCTCATATCACTGACCATGGCGACGCCTCTTAGTGTTGTTATTCCCAAGGCTGCATTTGCAGCCTGTCTGCTACGTCCGGACCCTACTTCGGTTCCTCACGATGAGATAAGCGACTTCCACACCTGCCTTGAGCGCGCGCTGTCGCATTGTTCCCCAGTCAACATTCAGGTCTGAGCCTAAGTCACCTCTGTTACCTCTCACGTCCCCACTTACTAAACAGCTCCCCCAAACAGACTTGTAAAGCGTGGTTGCTTCGATTCGTTGCCTTTTCATCTAATAGGGTAAAGGGTCTGGTTAACTACCTGGAAGCTCTCGCAGCATCCTTGCACCCACAGCCCACTGGATCCAAAGTCTCACCAAAGCGCCAGCGTCTCCACATCCTTTATTTGCTCAATGATCTGTTGCATCATTGCAAATACCACCTAGGCACCAGTTCCACCTTCTCCACAGTTAGCGGGTCCCTGCAGCTGCATCTCGTCAACTTGGTCGGCTACGCAGCGACCTGTGATCGCCAAAAGAATCCACGACACCATCGACGGCTAGATGATCTGCTAGATATTTGGTCTGAGCACGAATACTTTCATCCCGAGTTGGTCAACAAGCTTCGAGAAGTTGTGACCATGGGGGCCCCTCCGCCTTCCAACGATGCGGCCAACGATTTAAACCCAGCGAAGAAGTCCGGCAAGGATGCCCCATTTATCGTGCCATCTACACATGGAGATCCATCCACGCCTTGGCACGAAGTTCGTGCGGGCAACATTTATCCTCATATTATTCCCAACTCGACTATTCCCATCCAACCTGATTCCTTAAAACCGATAAAACTCCTAGCAGGTCCCGCCGACCAAAAGACGGTAGACGCCCTCAAAGCCTTTTTGGCTGATGTGAACAAGCTCTACGACCCGGAGACTCTCTGGGATGATAAACATGACATTGACGAGCTGGGCCAGACAGTCATGCGGGGTGAGAACACCTCCGATATCCTCGATGGCCAGCACTACTACGGATGGTCCCTCGAGTTCTGTCAGCCCGCAGATACAGATACCGAGGACTCGCGCGACCGCAGCCGCAGCCGCAGTCCTAGTGGATCACGAACTTATCGCAAGCGACGCTACAGTGATAGCTCTAGCAGTCAGTCCGAGCCAGAATCTCCAAGACAAGGTTTCCGTCAACGCCGTGATGCGCGATCTCGAAGCCGTTCCCCGCGCCGTTCTCCGCGCCCTTTACGCAGTCGTGAAAGCTCTTACACACCTCGCGAAACCTCACACTTCCCGCCTCCTCATCAACCTCAACATCCCTCCGCACCCATCAGCTCCTTCCCCCCTGCTCATCCCCCCACTGGACAGTATGTCCATCATACTATGGGCCCTAACACTGGCTATCCCCAAGCACCGGCACCCAACTACGGATCTTGGCCTCCGCCTCCCCCTCACTCGCATATGCCAACAATGCCCTTCCCTCCACCCGGACCCGCCTCCTCATCAGCTTTCCCTCCTCCATACCACCATCCTCCTTCTATGCCGCAGGGACAGAACCAAGGACAGGGATACGGGGTGCCCGCGGGCCAGTATCACTTCCCTCCTCCTTATTCTGGGGGTCAGCAGGGTGGACCATGGGGACCTCCTCCTCCTCCTCCTCCCCAGGGCGGACGAGGCTGGCAATAAACATTTGCACATGAGACGATGTAAGAGTTATGCTTGAAATGGAATCGGTGGAAATGCCTTGGTCTTTCCAATACTGCGGTTTGTATGATTACGGTCCCGGCGCCGCAGCGGGATATTCATGTTGATTTAAAACAAATGTGAAAGAGTACATGTACATGTAATGACTGTTGCATTTATCTTGCTGTAGATATCCACCATGCAAATCGGCGATTGGATTAGATTCAAACACCCAGCATATATATATATCAGATGAGAAAGTCTCCGGGAGTCCATTTGATGGATTAGCAGAGAAAACTAAACAAATCGACAACTGCTTATAGAAGTATGTGATTTAAGGCATGACCCGGGGATCAGACCAATAATTATAGCAGGGGCTTTTTACCAAGGACTAGATCCAATTAGGTTGGACATCTGTGAACCATGAAGAGCCGCAACTTGAAAAGGTGCGATGCCTAATCAAAGACTTTCCAAGGTTGGTTATACATAGAAAAGTCTTAAACACAAAGTATTTGTTTCCGCCTGTTTCTGCTGTCTATCTACACAACTGAACAGGAGGAGAAGATATCTTAAAGACATCACAAGGCCGCATACGCGGCCCTCTACTCTTGTAGAGCGTCGGTAGGCAACGAAAGTTCTCATGAAAATAATAGGAAGAGAACATGAGACTTACCTGGTTCGGAAATCATGAAAAACAGAAAAAGCTAGAGAATATAAACCCAGAAGCAAGAGGCAAGAAAAAGGTATCAAAGACCCCAAAGCAGATGCTACATAAAGTCAAGAGGGCACCTAACCTAGTAGGCTAGTCAAAAGGGTCTCAATCTACAATTCTATTGCACTGACGTCAATTTGTCTCAGATTGTAAGCCTTGTTTCAGCCACCAATCCGAGGATGATTTGATAAATGGAAAAGAAAAAAAAACATAAAACATATAGGCTATGGAGCTAAGCTTCTATATTTCCCAATCGAGCCATAATTGTAATACGGACTACACTACTATCTCTATCCAAAAGAAAGGAAACGAAAACAAATAGAAAGAAAGACAGATTTGTTCCGGTTTGATTGCGCATAAATGTACAGGTCATCAATAGCCAACAAGGCTAGGTGGTATCGTAACAGGGTATTGTTCTCTCGAGGGACAGTCCAGTATCCACGACTCGGAGAGATGGTTTGTCACATGAAACCAAAAGACATAAGAAATAAGAAGGGAAAAAAAGAGAAATCGCTCGCAAAAAAGTACAAAGACATAATGTACAGGCCAATACTCCTTCACAGAAGGAATATCAAGCAGAAGGGATGATCCCTTACCCAGACTCCAGGAGAATGGACAGTGTTCGAGAAATTTTCGAAACGGTAATGAAATATCGTTTGTAGACTGCCCTCCAGTCCAATGGGAAACTCCAATATGGTCACAGTTGACAAGAATGACAAGGGAGAGTCATCCTAGGTAGTCAAGACCTATTTGATGGAACACACAGTGAAACAATGCGTGATCTGGCCCCGAAAGCCATCGATGAAGTTGGACAACAGAGAAAGGACATGTCCTGAAAATGCTATGCAAAGGCAAAAAGTTCGTAGAAGGGGTTGGGGGGTGGAAAGGACCATTTCGCAGACGCCGACGAGTCTTGAGGGCATAGAGAAATCAAACTCCAAAAAATCACAATATCGCTTGAAAGCAGGCACGCTATCCCGCGCGAATCTCTTAAAACTCCGCATGGGCATTGACGGAAAATGTAAGCGGTTGCTGATGGTCATAGGGCCATCCTCGCCAATGCCCTAGTAGGTATCGTTAATGCTAGATCACGGGCTTGGGTGGAATGGCAATCGCTGAAGACTTTCGTTAGCCTTGTTGTACTTTGAAGCTGTCAAATAAAAGCAGATGCATACCTTAACACAGGGCGCAGCCCTAATATCCAGAGGACTTAGCCTCGGCCATGTCGCGGCCACCATGCTTGGTCTCGACATTGCTGACAGACGTGTAAGATCCATTGCCCTGTCGGGACATACCGCTGGTAGGGGTGATGCTAAAACCACTCTTGCTGCTGCTCTGGCTTCCACGGCGAGACTCGTCCATGTCAACGAAGGAAGACATTTGGCGCTGGGTGTATTGTAGCATGGAGCGGTTGTAGTCCTCCAGCGAGGCACGAGAGGGATCAAGCGATTGGTAAGGTTCGATGTGAGTCTCACTGGTCATGTTGTCCACGTTGCCAGAGTTGGGGAACATGGCGTCGATGTTTTCAGTTGCCTGTTGCATTGGGACGGCGTGAGTCATGGTGGGAAAATGTCTAGTGGTAAGATAGTCAGCCTAGGTTGCAGGAATAGCGGCACGAGTGCTGATTAATAGCATCATGCTGGGTGGTTGTAATATGCGGATAGGGATGAGGCTGATGTATAGGACGATCATGAAGTGGATGGGTTGTGGGTGCGTGGAGAATCCAGTGGTATCAGTCCCTGTCATTTCAACATTGCTCACCTGTGTCGGAAAATTCAAGATCTAACCAGTTTGGCTGGTTATGTTGGATAATAATGGTACTGAGAGTCACGGGTATGCAAGGTAATGTGTGTGGAAATCAGATGGTATGTATGTCGTCCGGGCCGAGGATAGAAAATGTCAAAGGGGAAAGTGTTATGGGGCAGATTCAGGAGTTAGGGCATATACAAAGAACAATTGGATCCAATTTGCGAGGAAGGTTATATATAAGACACCGATGACTCCACAAGGGAGTATGAAATCACATCGGCGGATAGTGGAAGATGGCAAATGCACTCAAGTTTGCAGCCTCTGATAGGTCAATAACCTGCCCAATATCTCCTTCGAGCATCCATGGTAAATACACAATATCTCCACCGATTACACCGAGCGGAGTATGGTGACATAATTGGCCGAAAGGGGTTTGGAGGAGGGGGGAGGATATTTTCTCCTAGGCGATATCATAAGAAGCATCATAAAACCCCAGCCCTCATAGTATTTGTCAGTGATCATAGTCAACCTATGGATTAAGTCGTAGAGCACAGTGTGGAGTCGAACCAGCGTCAGTGGACGTTATGAACCAACTAATATCCACTTGCGCACGGAGACTGGTGAACTCTGAAAGCAATATCATCAGTGTTCCACTTGTGGATGGGTCACTGTGTTCCGATGAGGTCACTGGGGAATGTGAACCATTCGGAGCCGGAGGCGTTTTGAGATCGGCATAACCACCATCCGGTCCCCTGCAGATCTTCGCCTGACATCCACAGGACGAATCATAATTGGATTCTCACAGGATTTTGAGGGGCGAGGCCTATCTCGCATTCTGCGTCGCAACGGGATAGGGTCTCTTTGGGAAGGAAAATGTGGACATTCCTGGTGGAGACAAGTGGTAAGCACGCTTTTACTTGGTACTCCTCGGATCAGGGTATACAATATAGTAGTGGAGGAGGCCTGGATACATTGATTCAAACTAAACCGATAATCAGCTCGAAATGCATATCAAATCAATGCAATTTATGTGACTCAAAAGTAGTAAGTAAATGCGTCAGCAATAAAAAGAAAAAGGTGCCGTAGCTGAGGCTCAGATCGAAGCTATGCCGTCATACCCCTAGACATCGGGGCGACCCGAGCAATCGATTTGCTGTGCTTCGGCCATCGGCCACATTATCCCGAACATCGCCGGTCATGGAAATGTCAAACGAATTCAGAGTACCGAGACTTTGATTATCAAAAGTGGAACGTCTGATAGTGAGCTTGTGAGGTGGAAACAGTTTCGTATCAGACATGCGAGACTTGCAGCCACAGTGGAGACACAGTTTGTAGGTTTAATAAATGCTTAGACCCATTTTCATTCGCTGCAGAAAAGACAATGGACATAAGAGGCAATGGAAAACGTGTGGAGATAAACTAGTGTTTTCCAAGGTTGGGGAATATTGATGCCTGAGGCAAAATGGCACCTGACGTCAGTGAGCCCTCATCTTTCATAGTATACAATAGTATATACATAGTGAGATAGATATTCCACTCTTATTGATATTGACTCCATCTGGACCGTAACAGATGAATTTCACTCATGGTCCTAGAATCAGGATATCCCATTGCCCACGGAGTCTCCGATGCTCGCGACCAAGCTACGTTCCAATATGGTCGGTGTAGTTCCACTATATTGGATTCAAAACTTGTTCCTCGAAAAGAGATTGACATGAAGGATCGGTACGGCACATGGGAGCTAGTGGCAGGGGTGTGCATAAAAGAATAAGGGTGGGGTGAGCTATGTATTTGCCATCGATGAAACTTGGACGGAAGTTGATACCAGCGGGGGAGGCAAATTGTTCCAAGATCTGCGTGACACCGAAGATATCAGAGTCACTCTACTACAGCCGCCTTTACAGTAGTGGTACATGATGCTTAACTTGAAGAGGCCGCGCTACACAGTACTGCAAGCTTACATCGACATATTAGCGCAAGCCGGGGCTCATATCCAGCATATAGGATCTCGTTTGCCACGAGGAACGTTTCATGGTAGGAGTAACACAGCAACGTCAGACGAGTTTCTGAAATAAAACTTATATTGTCGTTTATAGTCATGATCGGCCGTCTGATTTTTCAGACCAGCCATGGTGCAAGGATGAATCAGTCTAATCCAGCTGGCGCCGGTCTAGACCAATGTCAGTAATCTATAGTGTATTATTGTAGTGGGCTCATCATATCACAAATATCAATGCAGGTTGAAGAGACCTCTTTCACACGGTGGGTAGAGAGACTATGATACTAAAATGATATCAGAGTTGACCCGAGCTCTATGCCATGTCGTAAGTAGAAAGGAAATTGTGGAGTGGAACGTGTGTTTAGCCCCTTTTGTAATATAGTCTGATGGGGCTTGAACTATACCGCCGCTGATCCACGTCAAAGGTCTGATCCCGGATATGACAGCATACGATAATGTATATTGTACGTATGTTGTATCAACAGCCGAGCGCGTTAGAAACAAGCGAGATGTGGAGGTACCGCAACGTGCACTTGCGGGTCTTCTCCTGCCATGAAATGTCACCCTGGGTGACCAACATCATAGATGGCCCTTCACGGTCCACTTTCTTCATTGTCCCATTCCATCTCGTGCCTGGTCGAAGCCCTGAACCACATACGACCCCACAAGCTTATGATAAGCCTCAGACTGCCTCAAGTCAAATACAATACATACGTTGTATGTCTCTGTACTGCATGCCGATCAATTGAAACAGTCAGCTACCCGAAATTGACAATGGGATCTCACACCCCAGCCGCTGACGACGATCTGTACGATATACTAGCACGAAGGCATTTGGTGTGCATCGTAGCGAGCATATGAGATCACCGGAAGCAACTTGAATTGCATGGAGCCGCATCTTACCGGCCTTGCCTCGCGTCATAGGACCCCCCTACCCCCATGCCCCTGGGAATCCATCGACAACACCATCTCCACACATTTATTATTGATGTCTCTGGATTTGCTGTGCGCCCCTCGTATATTTCGGGCCGGAATGAGTAGCCAAAAACCTGTTTTTGGATCAGATATCGACCTCGATAGTACAACATTGGCGCTTATCTTGACAGCGCTCGACATGCTGACGTTCACCGATGCATCTGGACTCATGTTTACCATCTTTTCTGGCATCATATATGGGGAAGACAACGTCTAACTGACGTACGGAACCTGTTCAAATCCCATCGGCATGCGAGATTTCGCCTCTGCTCTGCTCCCTGGTTTCACTCCTGGAAATATACGTTGGGAAACCATCCACAGCCTAGCGGGAGACCTCACTTTCCTTCTCTTACAAACAGGTTCCGCCTCTGCGAGCATTGAGTGCCCGCTTCCCCGGCTGCACGGTGATCTGGCATGATACGTGTCGGGAGAGGCGCGAAAACGGGTCTAGCACAAGGTTAACACACTTTTTCATCAGTCTCGACTCAGAAACAGACCATCTAGGCTCGCCGATGAAAACCTTCCTTTAAGCAGAAACCGGTTCTACTCCTTCGAACGTGCAGGATGCAGTATGCGGCATGCGGAATACGGCATACGGCATACGGCAACGATCACCCTCGCCTCCCCAGCCGCGCTGGGTTCAGTGGTCACTGATGTTGTTCAGTGAAATCTGACCTCCTCGGAGACTTCCTTCGACGGAAACCGGTTATATCCTTGCGGGCATGGAGCATGGAGGTTGGGGCGTACAACGTATACCATCGTGAATCTTTGAGCATGCGATTCCCGAGTGTCTTTTGATCCTGTCGACCCTGCGAGCATGGATCATGGAGCTTGGGGTGTACAACATATACCATCGGGCATCTTGAGCATGCACTTCCCCGGTGTCTTTTGATCCTGTTGATGTGTCAACCCATCTTCCCTTGGTGAGATATAAGTCCCCCTGCCTAGTATAACATGGTAGACCTCCAGCTTGAGCTCAAGTTGCTTTAGAAATCAATTATCACCTCAATTACTTTCCCTTGACATGCCATACGATCAACAGGCCACCATGACCCGAAGCCAACTACCATACCGAGTATATTTTATTTCCCAATTTTGGTCCAGGCAGACAAGAACATCATAGATTTTTCAACAGAAATAACTAGACCAACACGCCAGACATAGAAGGTAGTAAAATGCATCATATTATTGTTCATGCTCATGCTCACATCACACGTAACCTGTTTAGAAAGAACGTTAACACAAATCCTCCAAATAGGATAGACAGCAGCGTCAAAATAGTCCAGAAACGACCATGACTTGCGCCCATATCCAACCCTCAAACATGGGAACCGAGTGAACATACCTTTCCGGGCGCCCTGGAAGAAGAAGCGCACAACAAAGACCTGCAACGCAGCCATGGAAACCATCATCAAAGACTCGATCACACTGAAGTTGAAAATCCGACGCTCGGTACTCCGCACGGTACTGAAGTTACGGTTCTCACGTGTGCGGAAGTACTTCTGGTTGCGGGAGACGGTGGAGAGTTGCGCGGACAGCTTGTAGATGGACTCCTCCAAGCTGGATGTTTGCTCGGGGCTAGCGCCCTGGCGGGAGGGCAGTTGGGCGCGCTGCTCGTTCTCAACCTGTAGGTTCAATGGCTCAATTAGCATTTGTTGATCGCTTCCTTAAGTCGATGGATATGGGACGTACGGCAATCTCGAAGTCGACCATCTTCTCGGCGAAGGTGGACATCTCGTTGTTGAAGCAGAAGGTGTACTCGCCCACGCTCTGCGCGGTGAAGACAAAGTCGCCCTGTCGCTCCTTTGTGCCGTCTAGAACAACCTTGCCGCCCGGT